TAATCATATTATGATTTTAGAATGAAATTTATGTTACACTATCTTAAAACTCCTTAATTCTTTATATAGGTTAATTTTATTTTTTATCTTTTAAATCCCAAATTTTCACTTCACAATCATATCCTCCTGTTGCTAAAATTGATTATTCTCCTCCTATCCCAACACAATTTATTCTAGTACTATGAGGTCCAAATTTTTTTATCACCTAACCTGTAGACACATCCCATAAAAAAGCAATTTTATCCCCTCCACAAGATGCAAATTTTGAATTATCTTATAGAATAGCTAGGTCTTATACTTCATAATTATGTGCTCCAAAATATTATTTTAATTATGTTTCTTTATATGGATTCCATAATATTATCGATCTATCTTAAGAACCAGTTAATAAATATTATCCATCAAAATTGAACTTAGCTACATAAATTTGTGCTTTGTGTCCTTAAAGCGCACGTTAAGGTTCATAAAGATGGAAATTTTATGTTTTGCTTTTATTCATTTATTTTTTAATAACTTAATTAATAAAAAAACATAATTCTTATATATTTTATAATAAGAAGAACTGATTTGTAATGCTTTTATTACTCATGGCTTCATTTCAACTTTTTAACCATACCAAAAATTAACTTTGTTTTACCATTTCAAATGAATTTAAAATTGTGGTATTTCAGAAGCAAATATTCATTAAGTTAAAACTTTTGAGTAAAACAGATAGCTTTCAATAAAGAAAAAAAAGTAATTCATTTAAAATGATTGATCGATTTTGAATGGATTCAAAATTAACAAATAAATTGTTTCTGATAGTGGCATGTTTAAAAATTATTGTGTTAAGAGAATTAATGTGAAGACTAATGTACTATCATTAAAAAATATGAAAATCATTTTTTCTAAGTGCTTTTAACTTTTGATTATGCTTAAGTTCCTGCTCTAAAACCATTCTTAGCTCTTCTAGCAATAGATTTCAAATATCTCATTCTTCCTGTTCCTGTTGATCTACGTCTAGCAACTTTTTCTCCCCATCCACTGTCTATGAGCATATTAATTGATTTTCATACAAAGTCTTAATCTTGCAGCTGGATATCCGCATGAAGCACATCTATTTTTTTAAATGTGGAATGTTTATCGACCACATCTCTTACAAAATGTATGAGTTTTTTAATGTCTTTTACCAATAGCTGGTGTACCTCTTGCCATTTAATTATTTAATAAAAGATTTAATTTAATCAAAAAAAAACCACAAATATGAGAAAAATTAGATAGATTATTTTTATCAATAGCTTAAATCAACTTTTTTCCAAAAGTTCCATGGATAATAATATTTTATAATAAAACAAATCATTTTAAAAAATCATATTTAATAATTCTAATCCACTCTTAGATACTAATTTCATATCTCAATATTCATAAATTCTAAAAAAATTTTCATTTTTTTATAACAACCTTATGAGAAAGGATTTTTGAAAAATACATAAAATTGATCTATTAAAAATGAAGCACTTTTAATATCTAAATTACTTAATTTTTCTTTATTGAATTAATATTATTTTATTACTTTAGAAAATACAAAATTGTTTTAGAAATAAAACTATGTATTTAATTATTTAACAGGTTATAAAAATATCTGTTGATGTTTAGATAATTGTTAAAATAGGAGTTTTCAAAATTAATTTTATCATAAGATACAAAAATAAATGTATAAAAATAGCAGCAAACAAGTAAAATTATTAAGAGATCAGTACAATTCTCAAGATAAAATAGAAGAGAATTATATCTATTGAGAATTTATTAAATTTACTAAAGTTAATAATCATTTCCATTCATCGCACTATAATTGCCAACAAAAATACTAAATTAAATTATTGAAGAAACATTCTGGGAAATTAAGGATTTTAAATAATCAATAAAACACTAATATAGTAGAATTCTACTTTATATTAATAGTTCATAGAGATGAATATTCTATCCATTCACAATTAAATAATTTAGATGTTGAAAAAATAAGATAGATATTTTAAGAAGAATCGAGAAGGTAATAGTAATAACAGAAATAGTATTTTAGAAAAACAAAATAATTTGCTATTCTAAACTCAATTAATTTTATCACATCAAAAGCTATTCAATAATAAAAATTAAATTTCATCGCAATAGTTATTATAAATTTCAAACCCAGGTTGTTAGCCAACAAAATAATAATAGCGATTGAGTATTGATGACCTAATGATCTTTATTTAATGCAGAAAATAGGAAGAAATTGATTTTGTTTATTTATATTACTTTTTAATGCTACTTTGATTCGAATATATTTAATTTTGTTTAATAATTTATAATTTAAAGGAAAAATGAGTTTATAAACAAGGTCAATGGAAAGAACATCAGCAGGTGAAAAATAATAGACATGGCACTAATATAGAATATTTATAGAGGAAGTTAATTCATTAATCGGTTCAGCTTTAGTTGAAGAATTTAGGAATGATAATGAAAATGATGTTAATCCAAATATTATTGTTGGAAATGGAGAAAATTTACCCAGAGGAGCAACCAAATTAATTAATGCTGCAGATCCAAAAGAATTAGGTTAAATAGTCTTAGATTGTGATATTGTAATATTTCATCAGAATTATTGCAGAGCTGAATATGCTTACAAATTATTAAAGCATGGGTAATACTAATAGACGAAAACTTTTATTTTAATAAGTAATCCTATGACTTGGTCAACTACACCATTGAAAGAAAGAAAAATTGATGAAACTGCTATAAGATAATCTATGGGAGGGGATACAGAAGATTAACCAATTTTTAAAAAGTATGATAAATTTACTGAAAATGATCTTCCTATTAGAAAAATTAATTTTTTAGAAAGATTAAAGCATTTAGAGCAATAAATTATTGTCTGTGACAAACCTTAATTACATGCATACATAATAACTCCAGGTTTAGTATATGGAAATGGAGAGGATATTTTATACGATTTATTTAAAACTGCATGGATGACTCCTGATGCAGAGTTGCCAATTTATGGAGATGGAAATAATATTATACCTATGATTCATGTTAATGATTTAGCAAATATTGTGAATAAAACAGTTACACTAACCCCAAATGAGAAGTATATTTTTGCAGTAGATTATGAAAATATGACTTAAAAGAAGCTAATTAATACAATTGCTAAATCTGTCGGTAATGGTTTTACAAAAAATGTCACAACAGCAACTGAAAAATTGCTCACCATAAATGTTTGGCTTAGACCAACCTAAGTATTTGAGTCTGATGATCAATATATTGATGCTAATAAAAATCCAATAATACTATGGCAATCCAAAGAAGGATTTACAAAAAATATAATAAAAATCAGAGAATAATTTAAACAATATAGAGGTTTAGATACTGTTAAATTAATCGTACATGGAGGAACTACTTCAGGAAAATCAAATCTTTGCAAATAATTAGCTAACTTTTATAGAATACCTCATATATAAATCAAACCCTTAATTTAAGAATTAATTGAATAATAATCAGAATTAGGGGAATTAGTAAGGAATACTTTAACATAAGTAAAAGATTAACTAGTTGCAGAAGCATTAGCTATTTTTGAAGCAGAGAAAAAAAAAAAAAAGGTTCCAAAAGGTTAGCCAGAACCTGTATTTGATCCAAGTGGCATCTAACCAAGACTTCCTGATTCAGTCTTAATATAAGTTTATAAGTGGAGATTGGACTAAAATGATGCTTAAAATTTAGGTTATGTTTTGGATGGTTTTCCTAAGACATTAGAATAATATGAAAAACTATTCTTAAATGAGGAAGGCTAATTAATAGAATCAATTAAGCCAAAAGGCGTGATTTATTTAGAATATACTGATGATTAATTAAAAGAAAGAGCAAAATAAATAAATGATAATCCCAGATATTCAGAGGATCTTGTAGTTAAAAGATTGGCTAATTTTAGAAAGAATAATGAATAATTGTTGTCATAATATGAGTAGTTAGATATCAAGAGAATTTCAGATTCAGAAAGTGCTTTTGAATAAACTAAAGATTTTATTACTAGAAATGGACCAATTTTAGTGTTACAAGATGTAAAAGATGAAGAAGTAGTATAAATGGATGAATAATAAGATGATGTTTCTCCCTCTCCTTAAACTTCATCAATTCAACAAGAAAAGGTTGCTGTTGTTTAATAATCCTAATTTCAACAATCTTAAGTCGGGCCTAAAAAGAAAGGAGATTAACTTAATGTATTACTTTAATTTAAACTAGAAATCAATAAATGAAAGTCGATAATCAAAGGATAATAAAAAGTTAACAGATGAGCAAAAATAAGATCTTATAAGGCAATAAGAAAGAGAACTCTTAGATTAAAGAAGCTAACCTTTAAGACAATATTTAGCAGATAATGTAGTTCCTTTCTTAACAGAAGGTTTAATAAATATATGTGAAAAGCATCCTGAAAATCCACTATAATTTTTAGCTGATTTTTTGGAATAAAAAGGAAATGAATTATAAGCATTAGGATAATGAAATTTATATAATTATGGCAGTTTAAAAATTAATAATTACTCTAATAAATATATTCAAATAATTGAAAGCTACATTTATAAAATTCTTTTTTCTATACAGTTTTCTAAAATTAAGAGCTTATATTGCTATTTTGAGCTTTTCAATATTAGTTATACATCAATATTTAAAAGAATTAAATATTAAGTAATTCATAATTAGATCTGTAATACTACTCTTAAGCTAAATTGATTTTATAGGAATATGAGATAATTAATATTTTTATATAATTTTTACAAATTTTTATTAAGGCATAGTGTTTTGAAATAATTTTCTAATTGTTAATGAAAAAATATAATTTCAAATTGTAACCTCTTTTCTATTTTTTTATATTATATTGAACAAACCTAAGAATAACAAAAAAAAGTTTCTTAAATCAATAATGACAAGATTTGTAATTGATCTATTCAAATTCTTTTGATTTATATTAAAAATTTTATTTTTTCTTCATGACCTACAGAGAATTAGTTCCAACTGTTGAAGAGCATAATGCTGGACATGTAATTGGATTCATAATTGGTAATCTTTATTATGATCAAAGGGTTATTATATATGTTTGCTTTTGTATACTACATTTATAAGAAGTATTTGTCAAATTTGTTTGAAGACTTTATGAGTTTGTTAGATGTAAGTAAATATCAAAATAGTTAAAATTATAGGATAAAGAATATGAAGAAACTTATAGACCTATACTTTATAGTTTACTAAACTCAATGCAATATTTGATTTTATGTTTTTATTCAACATTTAGCAGTAAATCAGATTTGGGAGTTTCAGTAATTATTGGATCAGATGCCTTTAGTATATTATTCATTTTTGGTTTGATTCTTATTAAATTTCCAAATTCACATCATGGAGTCTTAGACACATGGACGACTTTAAGAGATTGCGTTATTTATATAGTTGGATTGCTTGTGATGTTGTTGTGTCTTTATTATGAATGGGCTAAGATAGGAACAGCATTAGTGCTACTAGTTTACTACATATTAGATTTAATTGTTTTAGCAGGGAATTATGAAATAAAAGAAAAAATAATGGAATGGTTGACCCTTAATAATGAAGATAATGAATTCAATTCAGATTAACATATGGAATATAAAAAAAGAAGATATTCAGTAACATAATTGAGAGATGCAGGAATGGTTGATCTAAAAGATTAAAGTTTATAAAAAAAAATCAACACATTTGAAGCAATTTTGGTAATAAAATATGGATAACAAAATCCTTAAAAGAAAAGAATTAGATAAAGGTTTGGATCTATTGTATATGCCATAATTTTTTCAATCAGAAATTCAATCAAATCTGAAATTCAAAAACGATCAGAGTTTTATTAAAATCTTTACAAACCTAAATAAAGATAAAGATAATAACAAAATGATGAATAACCTTAAAGTGCAATTAAATAAAGAAATGATTAGTAAGATAATGATTAAGATGATAATCCTTTAATAGATTCTAATCCTATGGAATCTGTACATTAAGCAAATAATTAAGATTAATAAAATTCATAACATTAAAATCCTGATGATCAAATGAATTAAGAATAATCAAAACTTGAAATGCCTAAAGAATCTTTAGAAAAAGTATTATTTATAATTTTCTTCCCTATTCATCTGATATTATACTTATTACCAAGCTATAATGAAAATGTTGTACCAAAAAAATTAGTATTGTGCTTTTTTTTGAACTTAGTTTTGCTTTGTGGATGTTATTATTTAATCGATTGGTGGGCATTTGAATTAGCTTTAGCCACAGGAATTCCTTTGTAATTAATAGGAATGATCTTTTTGGGCTTTTTTACATAAATTTAATTTGCTAATTATAACTTAGAAGTTGCCAAAATTGAAACTAAGCTAGAATTCACTTAAGCATTCTTCTAAACTGCAATATGCAAAATATCCCTATGCACAGGATTACCTTGGGTTTTAAGAATAATAATTGATCTAGACATTGAATATGAAATGGATTATAATGATTTTCAAAGAGCCTTTTGCATTTCAATCGCAGTTCTCTGTGTAATAGTGTTTATGTTACTCTTGCTTGCATTAGCTAAAGGATTTACTTTGAAATAATAAGATGGAGTAAAGATAATAGTTCTTTATGGTTTATTTATTTTAATATCTGCTATTATTATTGGATTGAACATTTTAAAGTGATGTTGATTTAAGAAAAAAATCTATATATACAAATTATAATATAATATATAATTATATATAAAAGATAGTATCTTACTAAAAATGTAATACATATAAATATTTTGAGAAGTATTAATAAAAATGTCCAAATAATTGAAATTTAATCAACTTCAAAGTTTATAAGGTGATAAAAATACATTGATAACTGATTTCACTTCTATTTAATATTTGAATGAAATGGGTAAAAAGGTGACTTTTAAAGAAGATGTACTCTACATTCATTTTAACAAAAAAGATTGCCCAATAGCAGTTAAAACATTACTACACAAGCATTTACAATAATAAAGCTATTCTACCCTAACTATATAATGAATATTTTAATGTTTATTATCATATTTTCTTGCTTAATCTAAATTACATTTTTTTTTTATTAATGTACAACATTACTCTAAAAAATTAATTTTCAATAATGAATTTATGGTTTGTTTAGGTTATTAAGTTAATAATAAGAAGATCTGATGATCTTACTTATTATATATTCTCAATTGATTTTCTAATATCCATGAAAAATGAGCATCATTTTTTTTACTTATTGAGCTTTTGAAATAAATAATTAAATATTAAGTTAATGAGTAGGATAAAGAAGCAAAAAATATAAAATCAATCTGGTTATTATATCGAATTATATATTATTTAGATATCAATATAAAATGTAATTTAAAAGTAATTGCAAAAATACACATTATTAGTAAACGAAATTTTGTAAAACATTTTATAAAAATTTAATTGAACTAAATTCTTTATGATACAAAATAAACTCTCGAAACTCAAAGAAACCTTTGATAAGTTAAAAAATTATGCTTATAGCTTTAATACAATGCAATTAGAAAAAGGTACATTATAGGAATTTTCATGTGAGTTATTTGTAAATTCATTCTTAATTTCATATGGATGTGGTAAAAGTATAAAAATTGCAAAATAATAATGTGCTGATTTAGGATATGATGAATTAATGAAAAAGGATTGGGAATTTGCTGAAAAAAATTATTTTATTGCTCCAAAAGAAGATCACTATCAAAATCTCCTGAATATAATATAAAAAATAAAATCTGAACTTCATATTAATGGAGAATTAGAAGAATCAATTAATGAAAATGATAATTATAAGTAATGCCATTTAGAGTTTGATAATCTCAAGGGTGAGGGATTTAGCTTTATAGAAAATAATGCTAGAAAAACTAGTGCTTATAATTTAATCTAGGCAATTATTGAGAAATATAGTAATTTGTAACACCATGATATTATTAAATATTATTAATAGAATTACTTTAATAAACAATCTGTTTATGTTTAACAAGAATCTTAAAAAAAAGTGAAAATAGAATATAATGATAAACTCTATTAAAATAATCATATAAGGATTTAGAATAATATATAAAATCATCAGATTCAACTTTAAGTTACTTAACCTAAAATTGAGATTCAAGAAATTATTTAGGATAAAACTTAAATCAATGAAAATAGCACACTCTGTTTTTAATTAGCAAAATAACTTTAATTAAATAATGAATCATCTTTTATCTTTTTAACATTCATATAACAATTAAGTTAATTTAATTTCCAAATTACTGGATCATTTATTTCTAAATCAGTTAGAATTACTAAACCAGAATTAGATATAATTTTAGAAATTCCTGACCAACATGAGAATAAGTTTTAATAATTTTTAAATGATTCTGAAACAGATTTTAGAATGCAAAAAGAAAATAATATCATTATTTTATCATATACTGGTTAGCCAATATAAACTAGATTAAAAATTTAAGTACCACCTCTTAAGATTAAATTATTTTGCTACAAAAGTCTTATTGATGAATAACTATTATTACATTAAAAAGAGATGAATTAATACAGTTAAAAATATGATTAGTTATATTTTTCTTCATTATCTTTATGTCTTGTACATTAATGGAGAGATGATAATTTAGAAGTGTTACCAAAATAAGTATAATATAGTCACAATAATATTTTAGCTTTTAGATTATTTAGTAATTTAAACAACTAATCAATTCAATTATTTAAATTCACCATATCAAGTTTTATGTTAAATAATTTACCTATTAAAAATGGGAGTTTTAGATGAATTAAGTTAGAGAAACTTGAATGAAAAAGAGTTGAATCCATTTTTATAATCAGTTAGTCCTTATTACTTAGAGTTAATACACAAACTATCTAGCGAAACATTAAGTTATATTAAATAAAGTGTAGGATAGTGGAATAAATTATAAATTAATATTTGGGTTAAAAAATACATTTGATAAAATTATGTTTATTAAGTGCATCTTAAAAATAATTATTAAATACTGGTTTTACATTATTTGAATCTTAAAATTAAATAAGACTATTTCTCAAATATATTGATATAAATTGATTATTAATTTTATTAATAATTTCATAATGGGATGTGGTTGTATTACATCGGCTGCTGAAAACCCAAACAAAGTATCAAAAGTAGATGAATTCAACATCACAGCAAATGATCTTGTCGTAAAAAAGTTAGGAAAAATAAATAAAGATTATGAAATAATTAGACCTTCAATAGGAAAAGGTTTGTATAAAATTCATCTACCTTATAGGTAGTTTTGGCAAGGTTTACAAAATTATACACAAAGTTTCAGGAGTTCAAAGAGCTGTTAAAGTAATCAGAGCTACTTAATTTGATTAAGATAAAATTGCTCAAGAAGTGTTAATTTTAAAAAAAATGGTTAACAAATAACATTATATCTAGGATCATCCAAATATCTTAAAAATTTATGAATTTTATCAAGAGGGAAACTATATATCAATTGTTACCGAATTGTGCACTGGTGGAGAATTATTTGATAAATTATCAAAAGGTTAGAGTTTTAGTGAAGATATGGCAGCCATTACTATGAGATAAATACTTTCAGCAGTTAATTATTGCCATTCAAATAACATAGTTCATAGAGATTTAAAGCCTGAAAACTTACTATATGAGAGCAAGGATAAAAATGCACTTCTTAAACTAGTTGACTTTGGTACCAGCAGCATTATTTAACAAAAAATGAAATAAAAGCTTGGAACTCCATACTATATAGCCCCAGAAGTTTTAAATGAAAGTTATAATGAAAAATGTGATGTTTGGTCTTGTGGTGTGATACTTTATATCTTACTTTGTGGATATCCGCCATTTTAAGGAGGCACTGAAGAAGTTTATATTAACTATACTTGTAGATGATTATGGTAAAAGTAAAGGAGGGAAAATACAATCTTGAAACTGAAGATTGGCAGAGTATTTCTGAATAAGCCAAGAATCTTATTACTAAAATGCTAAAAAAGTATCTAAACGATCTATTTATATAAAGAGATCCTTAATAAAGAATTAGTGCTAACGAAGCCCTTAATCATCCATGGATCTAAAAGTTCAGTTCTGTAGTGGATGTTTCTAATTTAAATAAAGTTTTAAATAATATAAGAACTTTTTAAGCTGTTTGTAAGTTGTAAGAAGCTACCTGGATATTTATGGTTAATAATCTGGCCACTTCTGATGAAAAAGCCTCAATTATGAAGGCATTTTAAGCTTTGGATTTAAATCATGATGGATTATTAAGTAAAGAAGAATTGATCATTGGATTTTCTTAAATAATGAGTGAAGAAGAAGCTGAAAAAGAGGTTTCAAGAATAATGAGATTGATAGATAAAAATAATAGTTAACTTATTGATTATACAGGTTGATTTTTATTATTATTTAGAATTTCTTATGGCAAGTACTAGTAGAACAGAATTTCTGGATGAAGAAAGAATTGAGAAAGCTTTTCAAATGTTTGATCTTGATAAAAGTGGTGGAATATCATAAGAAGAAATTTGTGAAGTCTTAGGTGGAGGAACATTGTACGATAAAAAAGTTTGGTCAGATTTAATTAAGGATGTTGATATCAATGGAGATGGAGAAGTAATAATTATTAATAATATTTTAGATTTAGTTAGATGAATTTAGATAAATGATGTTGTCGATGATAACAAAGGAATGATGGTTAATATTATGAACAAACTATAACTATATATATTCAAATTTTTTGAAACTTCAAATTAACAATTTAGATTTCAACAATATAGATCTTTTCCTATAAATAATATAAATTTAATTTACTTTTAAATTTTCTTTTTTAAGAAGGTATATTTATTCCAATTAATTTTTATATTCTCCCCATAAAATCCTTTTATTAATGATTATAATAGATTACAAATAGGATTTTTTTATTCCTATTCTATTATTATTTGTTCATTATTAGGTTTTTCCTCAATTTGCGAAATTTATTTATTTTCACAGTCTATTATCTATTAAGATTATTTTTTTTCATCATTTAATTTCTATTCATTTTATTCAACTTTATTTTTCTTTTCTTTTTTCTTCTTTTTATTAATGATTCTGCTTTTTTTTTATTTTTTCTTTTTCTTCTAAATAAGTCTTTATTCCACTGATTATTATTAGTTAATATTATTTTATTGATCACTATTTAATTTATTCTCAAGAGGATGAGATTCTTAATTATTTTAATATTATTTGATAATTTATTATTCTTAATTGATTTATGATTCTTATATTTTCTCTATTTCCATTGTTTAATTGATTATGAGATGATTATCAGATACTTATATTTAAGTTTAACCTATATCATTAATTTGGTTTTGTAATTATATATCTGATGACTCCTGAAAATTAATATCTACACTTTTTGATTAAATCTAACAAGGATATTCATCTTATTTTTATTCTTATATATTAATCTCTTAAGGAGGGGTTTCAATTTTTGGATTCATTTCAATTTAAGGTTAAGATTCCAAGTTTTATGTGTTATTAACATCCAAATCAACGATATTTATTTTTTCAATATTTTCATTTTATATTCTGATTGATTACTGAAGCTATTCTTAATTAATTTCTTCATCTTGATTTTGATCAATGGTAATTTTAATTGGGCTATTTTGCTTTGATAGCTCTTAATTACTCTCTTTAATACTTGGATCATGTTAACAAGATTAGTTACTTTATTAATTTTATTTTATATTCAATTCTTAATTATTACAAAGAGATATTTGATTATCATTATCTTAACATTACTGTAATTGTTAATTATCTTATTCTGTTTGATTTTAATTGTCTTCATGAAATTTATTGGTAATTAATGGTTTTAATTGAATAGAGGAAAAATCTAAATTAATATTGTTATTATTTTATTCTTATCTAATATTTTAGTCATAACAATTAGTTTTGTTAGAATTTTCTTATTAATATTCATCTGCGAATTCATCAATTTAAGATAATCCTTTTTCATTTTTTTATTCATTAGGTTAAATTAAACTGGTTTATATATCAAAGATTGGACTTTTACTTTCTTAATTTGAAGAGATATTTAATATTTTAGATTAGTTCTATTTATTGGTTAAATTAATTTCTAATTAGTTATTCAATACTATAATTGAATTAATTCTTTAATAATTCAGTTCTTTTTTTTATGAGGAATTCTAGAATAATAATCTTTATGAAATTCCACTATTGTTTTATTTCTAAGGTGTTTATCTGACCTTAACATTGGGAGGAGTCATTCCAATTTTCTCTAAATATTTGTAATATTAAATTTCATAATCATCATTATCAGCCATTTGATAAAAATATTAATGAAAAAAATTAAAATAGAATTCATTATTAAACAATCATTTCAAGTTTTCCAATCAGTTCATATGAATCAAAATCTGAAACTTTTATCTTTGAAATTAAATCTTAAAATTTTTAATTATTTAAAAATAATTATGGTCTTGTATCACATAAACTTGCTATCCACTTCATACAATTAATTTATAATTTGTGATTATTAATTTTTTTCAATAAAAATGAGAATAAGGCTTCACATTTTGAAATAGGTAATTCTTTAATTACATCAGCAATCAAATTTTGGTCACATTCAAGACTTGATATGATCATATTTGAGTTCTTAGTTTATAAGCCTTCAAGAATCTGAATTAAAATTTCCTATTAATTCATAATAATTTTGTTTATTATTTTAAAATTTAAAATATTAGAAATAAATCGTATATGATATTCTTATCTAAATCATTTACTTAAGAATACAACCATTAAAATAATACCATAAAATATGATAGATGGTAAATATGTCATAAAAAATCTTCCAAAACTATTTTTATTTAAAGAAAGATAAATACCTAACATATTATCCACTTACAATAAGCATTAGCCATATATGAAACATAGTAAATGATTATTTTTCCTTATATTTCATAATATTTAAAGCCTTTGCAACATGACTATGACAATTATTTGTAAATAAATTATGCTAAAATCTTTTTTTTGTTATAAATACCATCTATTAACCGAATTCATCATCTGCTTTTAAAACTGCATCATCCCATTTTTATCTTGAAATTTCAAAATCTTTATTTAATTTAACATATTTTAATGGTTTTCCAAATGTAAAATTATCAATTGCAATATAATATGGTCCACCAAAATCATGAATAGTCCCTTCAGATGTACAAATTCCAGTATGTCCTATACAAGGAATCAGCCATGTTAAAACTGGTATACTAGTCCAAACAATACAGAATGGATATCTACAAGAATTAATTGTTTAAATACTTTTAGTTTTCAACACTAATCTAATCAACTTATTCTATTTCCATATTTTCTTTCTCTACATCTTGTACTTAATTTTCATCTTACACAGCTAAATTATGATTTTTAGCATGATTTACAGCCATTGCACCCATAATTTTAAATAATAAATATTGAATAATAATATATCTATCATAAATTTTGTTTATTTGTATTCATTCTTATTATTTTCTTGTTCTTTTAACTGTTGTTGTCGTAGTAGTTGTAGATTAAGAAGATTCATCTTAATTTGGCTATTTATTTTTTAATACTTCTGATTCATGCTCAAGTTCAATTAATTTTTGCTTTGTTTCATCATATGTTTTGTTTAGATTAAGATATCTATTTTTCCAAGTATTTATTTCATCTTATAGTCCTACGATTGTAACTGATTATTCCTGTTTTTCTTTTGCTTCTGCTATCTTTTACTTCAATAATCTAAATATAAATTATACTTTTACTCAATTTTGTCATCTCTTTATTAATTTTACATAATTTCCTTTTCATATTTTGTTTTCCATTAATTAATTAATTGATCTTTACTTTATATGTCTTAACTGATATCTAAACTTTTTGCTAATTATTGATCTTTCCTTTATTTTTCATCCTTTAGTTGTTAATAAGAACGATCTAATAGCTTTTAATGTTCAGAAATTAATATATTCAATTATTACATAGTAGCTAATTATCCTTAAAGTTGTTTCTAGTTGTTTCGAGCTATTTCTGCCATTTTATTGCAGCAATGCCCATCAAATTCATTTTCTCCAGTAAGTACTTTATAAGCAGACATTCCATAGAGTTGAGTTAATTCAGAATTAGTTTTATCATTAGCTTATTCTTACCAATTTAAATAACTTGAATTTTCTTACCGAGGACAAAATGTCTTTGTTACCTCATAGGGAATTTTTGGTTTATTAGGACAGATTGGATTAGAAATAACTTCGCTAGAGTCCATACTAATAAATAAATTAGAAATTAAATTGTAAACAAATAATATATTTTTTTTATTTTTAATAAGAATATTTATTTTATAAAAAATAACTTTAACTATTATCAACCAAAGTTTATACAATAAAAATATATTGAAATAATATTTAGAATTAGTTTTGTTAATCATTAAGTTTATACAATTAATATTTGTATAGATATAATTCATGGTTTATGCAAACCTTTTGTACAACCGTAAAGACAATCTCTACATCTATTACAACAAGTAAAATATTCATCTTAACCACATAATCTACAAGAAAAATATTTTAATTTTCCAGGATGATATGTACAGCTAGCTTCATTTTAACCTTCTTTTTAAGCAAAACCACATCTTATACATTTCCACATTATTGGAGATTATTCTATTTCTTTTGTAATATTTTATATTTCTTCCAAATACTTTTCAAGATTACCCATATTATGTTCAATTCCATTTAATTTTTTGAGAACATCATTTTTTATATTTTGTACATATTCTTTATCATCTAAATTTGATTTTAATACTTTTAATTGTTTCTCTTATTATATATTTGATTTTTATAAGTAGTCAATTGATGCTTTATAATCTTAAATTTAAACTTTGATTTCATCATGTTCTGAAGTCACCTTTGCTAAAGTTACATTGCAAGAGCTTATAATTCTATCAACTTCTAATTCAGAAAGAAATGAATCATGAGTAGTTTATAATGAAGACCTATGTCGTGTTTTTAATAACATTTATTTTATTTAAATTATAAGAATATAAATTGATATTAGATCATTTTTATTCCCAATTTAGTATTCAACTAAAAAAATAGATTCTTATTTATAATTTTGATTTAGTTCTATAAAACAAATAAGAAGATATTTAATAGACTATGATATCATTATTATAAAATCATCGATTCTTAAATTGAGGTGAACTATACATTTTAAGTGAATTTAAATTTCCATTTTAACCAACAGTAAGTGATTATATTAAATTCAATTGATCTATAAAGTCTTCGCTATCTGAAACTGACTCTGCAATCATCATTTAATATGAATTTTCAACATCATCTCTTTCTATCATTTATGAATGACCTTCTTCATAATTTTATTCAATATTCTCTTAAACTTAAGCTAATTACATCTTTGCTTATTAGAGACTTGTTTAAGATTTAAATGTTTTTAATTGTTATTATTCTGGTGTATGAAATAGATCAATGTTTGTAATAGGAACTGATTTAAAAGGAGAACTTTCAGTTTTTGGAGTTCGAGGTAATGATGATAAAGTTTTTGATGTTTTTTAATAATTAATAGAGTCTCTTTTTGCAATACTTTCATATACATCTTCATTTGTAATTGTTCTCAATCCAATATCAGATAAATTTTTCTTTATTAAAGATGTTTTTTGTAAACCTACAGTAACAAATTCATTTATTTTATATGGTTCATTTAAAGTTATTTTAATTACTTCAATAGGTTTCCTCTATAGATCTTCAATATCAGAGACATACTTTTCTACTGTTTTATGATAACAATTCATTATTTCATTGAATGGTTCTTATGCAATTTGTTTAACAATTCGATCTAAATTTTATTGTACATCATTTTTCATGCCTATACTTTCTTACTTAGAATTTTAGAGTGATTTTATAGTTTCTTCATATGACAAAGAAGTCTGTTTAAAATTTTAAGTTAATTATTGTATTAATTTGTCTTTCTCTTCTGATAACTATTAAGTAACCAATTAATGAAATCTAATTACTTTGTCTACCTATTATTCAAAGTATTTTGTAATGTCCTATTTTTTAGTTAATAAACCGGATAAAGCTTTATCATATTAAGATAAGTTTCTATTAACCAAGTTCAGAAATCTATCAATTACATCTCTTCGTTATCGCTCTTCAAATCCGTTTATTTCTTCAACAACAAAACCTTTACCTGCCATATTAATAGCACATTTGGAACACAATGACACTGAAAGATCCTTTGCCATACAATATTTAGCAGTTTTTTAAGGATGATTCATACAACACATATTCTTAATAGTTTTAGATTTGTTTAAAGAGTTAACATTTTCATTTCCTGCAATTGAATTATGAGGTGTGAATTTCATTGATTTTGGTTAAAACATTTTATATATTTTTGAATTTTAAATTTTATTATAAACGAATTAATTATTGCTTTATCTGATTACAAAAAATACTTAATAATGTCCAAAGTATTCATAAAGTTTACATACTTGTAAATAAATTTCTAAATAATATTCTTTATAAATTCATTTATTACAGTTTTATCATTTGGGTTTTATTAGAAAATAATTTAAATGAAATAATTACTTTGTTGTTTATAAATAATTGATCTTTTCTATTAACAAAATTAAATCTACTGAGATAATTTCATAGACATAACCAATATATAAATATAAAGAAATTCTAATCTATTGATATATATTTGAACTATGATTAGAAATAGTAGTAATTTAACAACTCTACAAAGTTTTTATTTTTCATGGTTTTAATACTTAAAAATTGATAACTTTAAATATTTTATAACAAAAAGATAACTTTCAATAAGAAGAGGTTAATGTATATATTATTATAACTATTAATATAGGGTAATTTCATTAGAAATGATATCAATAATTTTAATTAATAATGAGTGTGATTAATCCGCAATTTAAACCATCTAGATTTAGATTAGAAAGTTTAGGACCTTAATTGGCTTTTAATCCAACCTATAATCCTGTATGAATTTAATTTTATGATAGAGATTTTGTTATATTGGAAGTGAAGACTATTTAAATGATTTATTATAATTAGAATAACAGTAGTTGGAGGAACAAATGATTGCTTTGATCACTCAATAGTCTATTGATATGGAAGAGAAAAGTCCATAAGTAACAACTTTAGCAGAAAAGCAATAAAATAATTATAAGAAGAAAGTATGAATAATTTATATCTCTTAAATAGAAAGTCTTTGACAGTGCTGATTATTTTATGTAACAACAATAGAAGAAGGATTTGACAATAGAGTAAAAGTAAGAAGAGATGTTGTTGACCAAATATGCAGCTTCAGATTTGTAGTTTAAGACCCCCTTAACAAAGAAATAAAAGAAGGTGTTTGACTCAGCAGACTACTTCCTTTCACTATACAAAAATTGAAATAATTAAATCCGTTTTAAAATATATATATGAAAAAATAGATTGTCTTATTGACTCTATTCATTGTTTTGACATACAGTCAACGTGGAACTTTGGTTACCCATTATGATTTGGATGGTAATTTATTATCTGAAGAATTTATGGCTCCAATAGAAGATGAAATAACTTATTATGATAGCAATGAGTCTGCTATAGATTCTAGTATGGATCAATAAACATAAAATTAACCAAATCCAACATCTGTTTAAGAAAGCTAAGACTCAATGTCAATTGATGTTCCAATTTAAATAAGCAATACACTAGATCCAGTGTAAACCGATTAACAATAAACTAATTTGATAGGATCTTCTTTTGAGATTTAACCTGTTGTAAATTAACAACCTAAAATAGAAACATCAATAGAATAATAGCATAATTTAGAATAATAAGTAGAAGGAGAATTACATTCTCAAGAAGTCCATGTGAATTAAAACTTAGATTTGACTACTCAATAATAACAGATTCCTCAATCAAAATTTTCCCAAGAACAAGATGAATAATAAATATAAAAGGTAGATATGTAACTCTAGCCTGTTGTTGTATAATCAGATCAAATGGTTGATCTCTAATAAGATTTTGATTAACAGACAAATTCTAGTGATATAAACAACTAAATTTTAAATACTTAATCAACACCTGATAAATAAAATGAGAAGGATAAGGAGTTATAATAAAATAAAGTAGATCCATTAAATTTATCCAAACCAGATGATGAGGTTAATAAATAAGAATAAGGAACCTAAAATTAAATTATATAAGATATGCCTATTTAGGAATAAGTCATAGTTTAATCAGGTAATGAAATTCATATTGATTCAAATACTTCTGAAGTTAAATTTGATAGTTTAGGTTCAGTATAAGAGCAGTAAGACAAATAATCAGAGTAGGTACATATATAAACTACCAATGCAAATGATTAATTTGAAGTTACATAAAATTTTGGTAGAATAATATAAGATATGATACCTGAATCAGATGATGACACACTAATACAAGAGTAGACATTAGAAGATTAATAATCATAAACAAAAGCAAACTTTTAACCATCACAAATAGAAGAAGATATCAATTTTAATAATGAAAATGAATAATCAAATCAATTATAAGAAACTTAAGTAAAACCAGATAATTAATTACCACTTGTTGTAGGAAATGAATAATAAGAATAGTAGATTGAAACAGATGTATAAGAAATTACTTAAGAATCCTTTTAGGCAAAAAAAGATATACCTGAAGAATTGAAATAAATTAATGTTAATCCATCTGATAATAATATGAAAAAATAAGGAGTGAATAAAATTAATAATCCTTTTGAAGATGATGGTTTAAAGCTATCTAGTGAAATCATTCAAAATTAATGCATTGTAATTTACTCAGAATGTGAATATTAAGGTTTAGCATTAGAAGTTTGCGATAGTTTAAAGGATATTGAGTAATATCTTCATCTGTATTTTCGATAGGAAATTTAAACATAAAATAAAATCCATTTACATTCCAAAAGGGTATGGACTAACAATCTTTGAAAATTAAAATTTTAATGGGTAGAGCCATCGTTATACTTCATCTTAAGCATGTCTTTAGAGAGAAGTTTCATTTATTCAACTCTAAATGGATCAATCAATATTAATAAAACACTAAAATCTAAGAGGATAACATTGAATATATAATATAAGATATTCGTTGTAATTAATAGAATATAATATAGTTATATTGTAAATTCATGTATATTTAAAAGATTGAATTTAGTTTCTAATAAAAATTATAAAGTATTTTTAGAATTAAAGTTATTTCATCATGCATTAACATAAAATATCATTACTATTTAAAATTATTATTTATATCAATTATTTTGAAAAATTGTTTCTTTTTCAATAGATTGAATACAGAATTTTATTATAATAAGAAAATTTATAAACTATATATATATTATTTTTGAATTATAATATAATAATTATAAAATCAGCTATGAACTATTAGACATTTAAACCAACTATATTAAATGATACTACAAATAAGTTTCCTGTTTAATTCAGATCAAATGAAAAATCTTGCAACAAAAATTCTGATTTTAATAATAGTTTCCATGAAAATAAATTATTTGGTCAATAATTAGAGTACATCAAATAATTAGATGAATAAAAATCCATTATTGAAGGATAAAATCAATTTATTTAGATTTTACGTAATTCAATTGAAAATAAATTGCAAGTTGAGGGATTTTAAGAAGTTTTAGATTAAGTTTTGAATATGTCAAGAGAATAAAAAATTGATTTATTTGCATTACTTTCATAACTTTATCAAGAGCTTTACATTTAGAATTAAAATGTGACATAAATTGAAAATTTATAACAATTAGTTGATAATTTAAATCATTAAATCAACTTTTATGCTAAAGAATTGATGGAATTAAAAGTAGACAAATAATATTTAATTGATTAATTGGATTCATTGGCAAGTACTACTAAAGATGATGATACAATAATTTTTAAAGAAGCTTAAATACAAAAATTAGAATCAGAAAATCATCATTTGAAATCATAAATCTAACAAATTTAATAAAAGAATGAAAAATATTATTAGGATATCTAATAACTTGAAAAGAGATTAAATAAAATTCAAGTAAATTTAAAAACAGAGGAAGGAGAGAAAGAAGAGTTAATGAAAGAGTTGGATGGATTAAGATAAACCTTTTATAAGAGTTTATAGAAGGATGAATAAAAGTAAGAATTCAATTTGGCTCTTAAAGAATAAGAATTGGAATTTCTAAATACAAAAATCAAAAAACTAGAATAATAGAATGATGAAAAAAATAATTTTATTGAGGAAAAATTTTAATAAATTGAATTATTAAAATATCAACTATAAGATCTAGAAAATAAGTTTTAATATTAATTGGAAGAAGATGAAATAAAAACTAATTAGATCAAATCTGATTATCATGAATAATGTTTATATAGAGATTAACTTTAATAATAATTATCAACTTCAGAATAATTCATTTAAAAATGTATATATAAAGTAATATTATTTTAGTAACTTTAAAAGTCAATTAGATAACTAATAGATAGGATTCAGATATTTTGAAAAATCTAAATCATCTAGAGGATTTTATATAAAATTCCTCATTGGCTGAATAAAAGTATTAATAATTAGATCAAGAAAAATCTTAAATAATATTTGATTTACAACATTAGGTAACAGACTCTTAATAAATAAATTAATAATTGTAATAATAAATTTCTATTCAAAACAATTAAATATAATAATATTAAAATGACTTAAAATAATTAGACAAATAAAAACGAATATTTAAATAAGAATTAATTCACATGAAATAATTAGATGAATAAAAAAACAAAGAAATTTAAGAATTACAAATTTAATACTCAAAATATGATAAAAAATTATCTACTTAGCTAGAATAACAATTAGAATTAGAAAAAGAGAATGCTTAATTAAAAGAATAATTGATAATTTTATAATAATAAATGAATAGTAGCAAAAATTAATAATCAAATAAGAAAAGTATTGCTTGTAGTTAAGTTTCAATTTAAGAATAAAAAGTTAAGAATTTTGATTATATTGCATTATTAAAAACAGTACAATTATATTGATTAATTATAGTTTGAAATAGTTAAAACTATGTTTTAAATTGAATGTTAAGAAATAATTTAAGAGATGCTTGTGTTATAAAATAAATTAGTTAGAACTGAAGATATTGATAGTGATCTTATTTAATAAGAAATAAAATTATAGCAGAAATTTTCAAGTCAATAATTAAAATTAAAGGATGCTCAATTTTAAATGGCCAAATTAAGTAAAGAAAATAAAGATTTAAAATAAAAAGTTAATTAATTAATTATTTTAGATTGCTAATAATCATACTTAAAGTTTAAATCAAAGTTATAATTAAACAAATTAGTCATTTGGTTAAAATAACAGTATAGCCAGATATCATAAATAATCAATATCAGTTCATACTAAACTACGACCTTAATGAATCTATATACTTGTTTTTCTATAACATATTATTTATTATAAACAATCTATCATAAAAACAAAGTTATAGATATGATTATCTATAAATATAAACTGTCTTTTATATTCAATAATAGTTGTAATTAATTTATGAAAGATAATAAATAATCTAAAGTTCTTCTAATATTTTATAATTGTCTATATATGATATTGATTTGATAATAACAAAATTACCAAGTTAATCACAATTAAAAATAAACAAAATTAAAGTAATCTATAAAATTTATTGAGAACATGTTTTTTTTATAATTAATTTTAATTACATTAAAAGTTTGCTGCTTTAGGGATAATAAAAAGAATGGGCTTACAAAATATTATCATTTATATTAAGATATATGAATTTGAGGATTATAAATATAATTATAAATATATTTTATATTTATATATGAGTAAATAATATAAAGACATTAGAGCAAATTTTGTATTTGATGTTGCTCCTAAAAGCACTCACTAATCAAATGATGAAATGCCATAGACAATTAAGAAATCAGAACCAATAAAAATTGATAATCAGTAATAAGATGTGCAAGGAATCAGTTAATAAAGATAATAAAATTTTGATGAGGAGAAGTTGAAATCATATTAAAAAATGTATGAAATGTGTCAACAATTATATAATGATAAATCTTAACTTATGGATGTATAATTGTATTTAATTAGAGACAGTTGATTAATAATAGAAATAAATATTAGAACTGGAAAGACAAATTAATGATTATGAGAATTTATAAGCAAATTATGAAAAGGAATAGTTGTAATTAAAAGAGGATTAATTATAAAATATTTAGGAAATTGAAACTTTAACAAGTCAGTTATAAGTGGTGATGGATTAAAAATAGGATATAAATTAGAACAATTTAGATGAAGTATATGATAAATTGATGAATTTTCTATATAAAGAGAACCTAGAAGAGTTGATAAATGATTTGGATAAAAGTAATAAAAAGATGATTGTATAGTTTTTAGTAGAATATGTAAATTGTTGTTTTGATGGTTTAGTTAATAAACTAATATGTATTAAAAAAAAATCAGGAAGAAAAATTCTAGATTCATATTTAGGATAATATTTAAATAATTTATGATTTATAAAGTAAAATTTAGGACTTAACTTGTAATCCATACAAAATCACCACACCAAAGAGTGTATTAAGTGACACTTTAAAATAAAGTAAATTAAGTAATAGTGCAAGTCATTTTCATAAGACTAATAGTATTAATAATTCTGATAAGGAAGAATTACAATCAAAGATTGGTATTTATTAATGCTTAATTAGATTCATTAAAACGTTAAGGGAAATAAATAAATAAAAAATGGTAAGAGTTTTGTGAAAATATATTAAGAGAAAGGAATGATGTTATTAAATATCATAAAAAATAAATTGAATCAATTAGTGATTAGAATTTAGAGTTAAAGAAAACTATCTCTGAAATTATATAATATTTGGGATAGAGCTAATAAGAATTATGGATACAAATGTTAGATATTAAATAAAAAATACATTTGAAAGTCATTGATTTGAGTAAGAGTGACAATATCAATTAATTATTGGTAGAAGCAGAACTTAAACAATTATTCTCTATATAAGCACAATTAAGAAACCAATTAAATCGCAATCGACCATTAAGAAAAGATTTATAATGAATTATATGTTAAAGAGATAATTGTTGAGTAGTATACGTGTTAATTTTTTATTTTAATTTATGAGACTTCTTCATCTGCTTAGACCAGCACTTTCTATTATTCCAGAAGTATAAGAGCCAAGATTCCCTCAACCATTAAAAGTAAAAGTGCTCATTACAGGAATTACTCTCTTTATCTATTTGATTTGTTGCTAAATCCCATTATATGGTGTATATAGAACCTCAGGTATATTTTTATACAATACATATTAGGATCTGACCCTTTCTATTGGATGAGAGTAATATTGGCTTCAAATAAAGGTACCTTGATGGAATTGGGTATTTCACCAATTGTAACATCTGGAATGATTTTACAATTCCTAAGTGGAGTAGGATTTATTGAAGTTAACCATTCAGTTAGAGAAGACAAGGTATTATTCAATGCAGCCTAAAAATGTATAGCTAATCTTAATTATTAGTATTATCCTTTATTATGGCAATTGCTGAAGGAATGGCATACATATGGTCTGGTGCATATGGTGATATAAATTAAATTGGAGCTGGTAATGCCATTCTAATTTTATTATAATTAACATTTGCTGGTGTTGTTGTTACAATGTTAGATGAAATGCTTTAAAAAGGATATGGTATAATATAAAAATTTAAATCTTTTAGGTTTGGGATCAGGTATTTCATTGTTTATTGCAACAAATGTAAGTGAAAACATTCTTTGGAAATCATTTTCACCAATTACATTGTCTACTGAAGCTGGTACTCAATTTGAAGGTGCTATTATTAATTTCTTCCATTTGATATTCACTAAATAAAATACACGTATATTTTAATCTAATACTTTTAGTTTAAGCACTTTATTATGCATTTTTTAGAGAATCAGCTCCAAATCTTAATAATTTATTGGCTACTTTGCTTGTGATCTCATTGGTCATTTATTTATAGGGTTTCAGAGTTGAAGTTCCATTAGCAAGTTAAAAAATTAGAGGATTAGTGTCATCACATGGAATTAAATTGTTTTATACTTCAAATATTCCAATGATTATTCAAAGTACCCTTGTTTAAAATGTTTATTTCCTATCATAATTACTTTATAGAAGATTTAAAACTAATTTCTTTGTTAAATTACTAGGTACTTGGTAAGAGGCAGAATTTGGTGGTTAATCAGTACCTATTGGAGGTTTAGCTTATTATATGTCACCATTAAGAGATGTAAAGGATATTATTAATGATCCAATTCATGCAATTGTTTATGTGATATTTGTTGTTTTTATGTGTGGTTTCTTTGCTAAATTTTGGATTCAAATTTCAGGAGAAAGTGCTAAAGATGTTGCTAGAAAGTTTAAAGATGAATAAGTATAAATAATTTATTATGCAAGATTAAAATTAAAGGTTTGAGAGAAGAATCTATGGTAAAATATTTATCTGGTTATATTCCAGTTGCAGCATTTTGTGGAGGAGTTTGTATAGGATTATTGACTATTGTTGCTGATATATTAGGAGCTATAGGATCAGGTATTTATAATTCTTATTATATTAGGAACTGGAATTTTGTTAGCAGTTACAATTATTTATGGTTATTTTGAAACATTTCATAAAGAAAAATATGATAATCAATCCATATTTTGATCATTATCATTTTATCTATATATATAAATATGTATAAAAATTATCATATTTTAAATATAAAATGGTTTTATTTAAATTATTCAATGTTAATCCCAAAATTACTTAGAGTATCTAAATACCATATTCTAGATTTATTATATAATGTACATTCTAATATTTAAGTATATCTAATATTAATAAAATAATAAATAAGTGAAACATTGTAACTTAATAATTCAATTTCATTCATCAGAGTTAGTTATACTTAAACATTTGCTGATTAATGATTAAATTTAGTAATAAATATATGCTTCTATGTAAATTTCATCTCATTTGCATTTAATATACTGGATTTATAAATATTTGATTTTCTTTATTTAAACCATCATTCAGGCTATTTTGAAATTTCAAACAATTATTTAAGGATACATGATTTAAAATTCAAAGATATTTTATAGAATTATATAAACTGAGTTAATTTAAACCAATAATAACATACGATTATGTAAATTAGTTATTTTTCTACTACTCAACATTAGTTTAGCTTAATAACAGATAATTTTGAATGAAATGTTGTGTGTATATGTTATAATTTTATATTATTTATATTTCCAAATATGAAATGGGAATACTTTAAGCAATATCAAGGCTTGATAATTCAAACTAACTTGTCTCCTACTATAAATAATTTCAGCTATGCAAAATTCTAAATAGCAGTGTATTTCCTATAATTGTCATACTTTTTAATTGGCGATTCAAATGAACAAGTGTTTAGTCTGATAAAATCATTCACAAAAATATGTTTGATTTCTCCATACTTTATGAATAACAAAGCAATAAACATTTTAATAGGCATTGCAATAACCCTGCTTAATTGCTTTCCTTATATAATTATCACTTATCGTTTTATAATGAAAAGCCACAATAGTGTAGATAGTATATCAAAGAGTGTTTTGGATGTACATAATTATTATCATATTTTAGTTAATTACCATATTAATAACTAACTATTTTCTTAACTTTACTTGGTTATTTTATGTATCTCAACTATATTACGTTTGTTGGAACTTGTTGAATTCAACATATCCATTGTTGTTATTGCTTTCTATTTTTAATTTATTGATTGCATTGGTAAGTTTACTAATTTCAAATATCTATTTCATAAATTATGAATTCTTTTAGTAAAGTTTAAGAAAATACTTTAATTACAATAATATAATAGCTCAATTACTATTAATTCCTTTAGTATTTATGTCAATCAGAACATAGTTTATTTTTGTTTTGCTTTCAAAAATTGTCTTTGGATTGTTCATATGTATGTTAATAGGAGAAGCAATCATTCAGTATCCTTTTGGGTAATCTATATAATTCTAATCATAATAGATTTTCAGCTTATGCTAAACTTTATAATTAGGGATTAACAATATTTACAATTGTTTATCTAATAACAACAATTTAGAAAGCATTTTCAATAAATTCATATTCATGCATAGTGATATTTTTAATAGTGTTGCCTGTTTCATAATATTTAACAATGGCATTAGTAGAGATGAAGAGATAAACAGTTTATTAAACAATATCAAAACAAAATTAATATTTTGAATTGATGTATATAGAGAATATGTTTGAATTGAATGGTGAAGCTTAAAAAAGTAAGTAAAAGGAGATAGAATATATAACTAAATTTTGTATGCATCATTCACATTGTAGATTAAATAAATGTTAATGTAAAAAAATTGGATTTGAAAAGATAATCAAACTTGACCAAACTGTTATTTTTGTATCATGCTTATTTAAAAGAAGTTTTGATAAACATAAAGCTACTGTATAAAAAAGAATAGGAGATTTTGAAGTTTTATCTTTGAAATTCTTAACATTCATAAATAAATTTAAAAGGAATGGACCTAAAACTTATTAAGAACTTAAAGTTTTATTTTAAAAATAAAGAGAATATTCATTCTATTTTTTTTAAATGTGCTTATTTCTTTAATTCATAATTTAGGCTTAAATGTAAAAGGATGAAGATTATAATATAAATTCAGAATCTAGAAGTAGAATCTCTAATGTGAAATTGTAGGTGAGTAAAAGTGAAAGAAGTATTGTATAAAATTTATATTAAATGGAATAAGTTAAATAAAATATGTTACCTTTATTAATCTAAGTAATAAGTATTCAAAAGTTATTAGATCTGTTAATTTAAATCTGGTTTCTGGAAGTAAATTTAAGAAGGAAAGATAGTAACATTTATTGAGATAGAAAAATAATTGTAATAATTATAAATATTACAATAATAAATAACACAAGAATATAATAAATATCGTTCAATCTTTTTTGTTAATGGAAGAACTTATAATGTTTAATTCTTAAAATTTGATGCACTTATATAATTGATTCTATATAATAATGCAAGAGCATATTATGAAATGGAAAAAGGTATATAAAAATATATAATCATAATTAGATTGTAAGGAGATATTAGCATATGAAAGAAGTATGAGTACTTTTGAAATTACTAATATTAATTTTTTTAAAGGAGATGCTATTTCAGTTAAAGTATGTATAGCATTTGGACCAAATATTGGAAAGGTTAGGAATAAAGTTATTTCACCTTTGATTCCTCGTTTTTTTGGATTTGCAGATATGGCTTCATTTATAGATTATACAAAAGGTAATATAAATCCACTTATGCCTAATTGGCTATTGGGTGTACATGATGAAATGATGTAAAATTATATAAGAAGAGGATCAACTTAAAGAATTGGAAAATACTTTTAAACATTTGCTAAATTATGTGATCAAACATTAATTAGATGTTAAGTTTATTTAGCTCATAATTTCAGTCCAGATTTAGAAGCAGATTTTTCAATGATTGGATGTTTGAAAAGATTAGAATAAGATGAAATAGATCCTAAAGATGAATCTAAACGATTGAGAAATCTAATATTTAAAGGATAATAACATGTTTTATTTGATATTTATGGAAATTTAATGGGAATTACATAAGGATTATATAAAATGATAGATCGTATGTAAAGAAAACTTAAAGATATTAATAAATAAGATGATGTGAAATAGAAATCTTTTGAGAATGATGAATCATCTGCAGATTCAGATTCTGAAGTGTATAAATAAATATTATTAATATTAGTTTTGATGTTTATGAAATAAAATGGTCAAATTAATAACTAACTATAGAAGACTTTTACTTAAAAGTATTAATTTGGATGTTGTTTCCATTTATAACAGCTGAAATTGAGTAAACAGGGATAGAATTTCTTATGAATGGTTAAGTACCTCCTAAAGGAAAATATCCAAATTAGATAGATCTTGAAAGTAGTAATACAGTAGTTTCAAATAAAGAGACATATATGTTTGTACCAGAAGATATTAATTTATTTGTTTAACAATATAATAAAGTATTAGGTAAAATAAATGAAGATGAGAAAATTTAGACATCTAATTTCTCATTAAGTGGCAAAAGATAATAATATATAGAAGCTGAATCATTAAATGCAAAATAATAGGTTACAGTATTTAATGAGAAATTATGTTCATTCTTTTTTGAAGAATTTTTAAGAAAACATTAATAAATGGTGTTAGGTAATTTTTCAAGGTAGGATATGAGAATTTCTAATCTTAATTAAATGCAAACTACTATATAACATTCTGAAAAAGTAGATTCATCTTCTGAAAGTGAAGGATAATTAAAAACAAGAGCTGAATAAATGTATTATGATAAATTCCAGAATTATATACAAAGAATTACTACATAAGATTTTAATCCTATTCCTGTTATTTATTCTATTAATTATGAAGAATTTAGGTATAAAAAAAATGAAATAGAAAATAAAGTTTAAATGTTTGTTATTGAATTAACTGTTAATGAATAATAATTAGCAAGTATGGAAAAAGGATATCGTAAATAATTAAGAGATACATTAAAATAAATGTAGGTATAATTGAAATAGGAGAAAACTGAAAATTTAAATAGAGGATCTACTAATATAAAATAATCTTAAAATTTATCTTAAATATAAGTTATTTCAGATGATTCTATTAGTTTGTAAGGTAATTTTAGTGAAAAGATAGATTAAGATGATCAAATCTCTTTATATTAATTTTTGAGTCATCCATCTAAATAAGATGAATATTGTTTTAGTGATTAAAATATACTTACTGATTAATGTATTATTACATCTGCTAAAGATGAATAAAACAAATTACTTTAAACTAATAGAAGAAGTCTTTAATTATTTGAATTGGGTATATAAAGTGCAAAAAGCAATGGTACTGAAAATTAATTAGAATAATAAAGTAAAAAAAATCCATTTGATTTACTTAAAGTATCAGAAAAAGAAGCTGCAAATAAAGTAGTAATGAAATTATCACAAAAAAATAAATAATAAAAGTTTTATAATGAATTAGAATAAAAAGTAATACAAAGTAATTAAGATAGAGAAAGAGAGAAAGTAGAAAATGAAGATTCATATCTTATATAACTAAAAAATTTTGATGAAAATTATAAAGCTATTAATTAAAAAATAAGTGAATTCTAATATCCTAATTCTTATAACTTTTAGAATTATATTCTATTTGCTACATTACTTTTAGTTATAGCATATATATTACTTGTATCTATTGCAGTTTGGAATTAATATGATTATGGAGACTGTATGGATTTAATATAAATATTATTAAAATTTTAAAAAACTTATTCACTTATAACACATGGATTATTTAGAATTTAATATTCATATGATTTTAATATTTCTAATTTTGATTAATTACATTTATTCTATGATAAATAAATATTTTAAGAAATTGATTAATTGATTAATTTTAGTAATGTTTAAAAAAATACAATTAATGATATTGATATTTACTTATCAAATTTTTATGATATTGATAATACTACAAAACCTAATTTATCAATTACTGAAACTATTTAAAAATCCTTAGCTCAATTTTATAAAATTATTGAAAATAAATTTGATACTAATTATGAATTACATACACAACTAATATAATCTAGTGTAGCAAATTTAAGAGAAATTGGTTAACTTCCATAATTAGCCTTTGATTCATGTTATGATACAAAGATTGATAAAGAAAGATATTATTAATAGTTATTGATAATCTTTATGGTTATTATATTCATATTAGTGTTAATATTATAATCCTCACAAATTCCTATGATATCAACATTAGGAAAATATAAAAAAAAACTATATATGGCATTATTAGATATTAATCAATTATAATTTGCATAAGAATAAGAATCCTTTGAAGCACTTGCATCTACACTTAAAAAATCAGTTTATGATTGGATGATGATAGATTTCATTGTTGAAGGAAAAATATTTGATATTGAAAAGTTTTTCTTAAATGGAGTTTATTCTGAAAATGCTTCCACTAATTATATTGAAAATTAAAATAGAGCTAAACAAGAAAAAAATAAATTAATCAAAAAATTAAAAGCTTCTAATATATAACAAATTAGATATATAATCCTATTGATTATTGATTTAGTAGTGATTATGTCATATTTTTTGGTGATATTTTTAATCATCTTTATATTGACTGATTAATTATTATCAGGATTAGAATTAATCTTTAAATATTAGACTTTATAATCATCATTTATTAATGTTTTAAATAATGCTGATATGGTAGCTTATAAAACTTTATCTAATTCATCTTTATATCATAATATCTTATCGTAATCAGAATTTTAGAATTATTCTTCAGTACTCTAAGGTACTGAATAAGATTTTTTTCTTCAATACGATAATAATATTATTGGTACATTAACAGATGAAAATATTAATTATAAAATTGAATTCATGAATTAATAAGCAATTTGCAATATTTAATATGCTCTAGATTGTCAATCCACTTTAGTTGGAAAATATAATGAATAAATTTTAGCATATTATTAATAAGGACTCAAATCTTTAGTTGTTTAAGTTTATAAAATTATTCAATAATATCCATAATTTTATTAAGAAGATTATGTCAATAATAGTCTAATAGATTTTATTAATTTTGTCCAAACTTCTGATCACATTGCTTATTTAGATTATGGAACAGATCTCATTATTACAGCTTATTCCTCAATAGTTGATATGGCATAATAGCAATTTGATACTCAAATTTCCAAGTATCAACAAACTCTAATTATTTTTATTTTAAGTATAGGGTTTGTAGGGTTAATAATAAAAGGTTTTTTAGGAAGAATGTTAATGAGAATGTAGAAACAATCAATTGATACTTGTCAAGCATCATTATTATTATTATCACCTAGAAGGTACACATAAAAGTCTATTGCTAAATTAATTACATAAATAATTTGATTTTTTTCTTATTATTCAATATTTTAATAACAATTTAAATAAATTCAAAAAGTCAAAATAATAATTTGTTAAAAGGTCTTCTGATTTAATCTCTACAATATTAAGATGCTCCACCTTTTGTTTATTCATATAAAAATGGCAACATTTACTACAAATCATTTTATAATGGAACTTTAAATAAACTGATTATTTATTAATTATCTTATTTTTTACTAAAAACTTACAAAAGAGATTCTTTTCTTTAATTATTTTTATCCTTTTTTTATTTACGTAAATTAGTAAAAAAAGCATTTAATTTCTATCTTCCATAAATATTAGCAAAAGTTTTACTAAGAAATTAAAAATATATCAAATATTTTGAATTTTGATGCCAAAGTTCAAATTATTATTAAATTTTAAGATCTTTATTAGTAATGTATTATTAACAATTAAAATCAAAATTTTTTTCAAATATTGATCTCAAAAATTATTTATAAACTCTATATCTTAAAATAAAGTTATAAATAGATTCCTTTATACATTATAAATGTCTAGAAGTATGATGAATTTTCTCTTTAAAATTCCATAATACTGATCTTTAAATTAAAAGTGGTTAAATTTTATTGATATTCTGAATTCGGACTTTCTTTTTTATTTAATTAGCAAGCATTGATAGACAACTTAAAAAATAATAATATATTATTACAATTTCACATCTAAATGAACTCTTGCAAATAAACTATTACCTTTCAATTTACACATATTTTTTTTAGCTCTATAATAAATAGTCTTCATTTTGATCTAAATAATTTAAACATGATGTATAATTTTATGTTAGTGTTTTAACTTTTCATATATTACATTAATCAATTATAAATATGCAATTAATCTGAACATCTCTAATTATATTTCAGATTTTAAATAACGATGTTAATCTATATCTTTTTATTATTTTAATTTTTTTAATAAATGAGTTATTTCTTTTGAAAAATAATTTATCTATTTTTAACCTTAAGTATTGATTTCTAATTATTTTCTTTTTTTAACAACTTCATAAAATTTCTTTTATTACAAAGTTTTATATAATTATTTTTGAGATTTAAAACATTCATCATTTTAAATAGTTACATTTAGGATATTTTCTTAAATTAAGTTTCTTCCTTTTGATAATTAGAGCATTTATTTTTTTCTTTTCTTTATTATTTAAGATGCAGTTAAGTCACAATTAATTAGATTTTATTTTATTTATTATTTAGCTATTGGGCTTTTGTATTGAGTTTAAATACCCTAAGGAGAGCCAAAAGTAAATTAGATCTTAATGGTTGTGTCTAAATCACAAACTAAGGAAATAAAGATGAATTTTTATCTAAATTATTTATAGTCTTTGCTTTTGTATTTCCATGTTTTTACTTAAAAGATTTATTCACAAGAGAATTTAGATGGAAATGGATTAGTTGTGGATAAAAATACTTTAAATTTAGTTTATTCAACTTAATTCATTGTAAATGTTAAAGGTACAGGTTCACCTTAACATCTGATTTTATAATAATAAAATTCTAGTTATCTTAATTTTTAAACATTAACAAAATCTTATTTAAGTTCAATTGGATGCTATTATTATTAGTTATAATAATATATACATTTTCGAATTTATAATCAATCCATATTTCTCCATCATTAAGACTTTGCTGTTATCTTTGATCCTCTTAATTTGCAAGTTATATTTAATAGGCTTTACTTCTGAGAATAAATTATATGTATAATACTCAATTACTGAAATAGTATTGATGTTTTTTTCATAGTCTGGCATCATTATTTGTGTAATATAAGAAACCTATTAAAGTGCCTTATAATTTTTATGAGGATTAATGATATTAGTGGTTGCCCTTCTATGTGTATGTAAAAACTCATTTTCTGATTCTTAAGATTCAACTGAAAGTGATTTTTCTCTTGGATTGGATAAATGAAATGTCATAGCATGTGTTTATCTACACACATCTCTATCAAATCTGAATTATGAGTTACATAGAATTATGAATTGAAGTTGAGCATCTTTATGCTATTGAATTTCTATCATTATTCTAATTATGGACATCTTGCAGATATGTTCTTTTTCGCAACCTATTCTAAATTAAATTCATTATTAATTTATTTATATAAGGAGATACCTTTTAGTATTTTCTGATTCTAAAATAAAAAATAGAAAGTTATGAAGAAGTTTAATAGAATCTTTTTAAGATAGAAATTCAATAAATAAACATATTATATTGTATATGTATATTTTTTTAAACATTATTATCCTATTCGTTAATTATAATATAAAAATGAATTCAGGTCCAATTAATTATACAAGAACTATGAAACCAGTTGTTCCTACTTATTATCCATCAGAAATTCGTTAGCAATCAGTTGGTAAAGAAAATAGATAACCTATCAAACATAACTCTTGTAGTTAAATTAGATTTGTTAATGTAATATATGAAATTTATTAAACTAGAATCTACCTTCAACTAAAACATAGGATAGTTTTGAATCATAAAAACCTTATGATTAACTGTTTGAGAAATTAAAATTATAAGTTATCTAATTGCAATATGAATAAAACACTTTAAACGAATAATTTCAAATTTAAATCAAATCCTTAAATGATAGAATGGGTTCTAATGAATAGAGTGTTAAATAATTGTATGATACTGGAATTGGATAATTAAATAATGATGTTCATCTTAAAGATAAAATTAAACAATTAGAATTGAAGATGGGAGAGATCTAATTATTAATAATTAATTAAGAATAGAAAACATAATTATATACTCAATCCAATATAGATAAATTAAAAAAGAGTATACTTGAAACTACAAACAAAACAGAAATTAAAATATAAAGTTAATTAGATACAATTACTGAAACTCTAAAAAATTTACAAAAATCTCAAATATCTCCACAATAACCAAATTGTATTAGTTAAGATATTAAGAGATTTTAATAATTTAATGAAGAAGTTTCTTCTTATCTTAATTAAACAACATCTCCTAGTAGAATTAATATAGTTGAATAAATGGTAGCTGAAATTAAACCAGAATTTATACCCATTAATACTTCAAGTCCATTAAAATAATAAATTAATAATAAATGTAAATAAATTGAATTATATTTAAGATAAATGTTAGATGTCTGCAATATCAGAAAAGACACTTGATGATTCAAGAAGTGATTATTAATAGATTCAATAATATGAATTAGATAGTAATGGATATTTAATTTCAAATGGTTCCTATGTCTTAGATTAAAATGGTTAAAGATATTAATTGAGTTTAGAACAAATTAATTATCTAAAATCAATTAATGTAATTGAAGAAATTAATTCTTGACAATTACTATTAATACATAAATTTCAAAATTTCAATAAATTTAAATAGTTTATCAAAGTAATCAATACACTAAGTCTTTATTTAAATTTAATTCACAAGTGATGTGTCCTATTTACAAACAATTTAAACATTAAATTTAATCAAAATGTTTTAAAGTTACTAATATAGGTCTATAATGTATTTATATCTTTGTTTTGCATTCTGCTTTTCTATGTCCTTTTAGATGACATTTAAAACAAGCAACTTATTTACATTCATATGAATAATGATCATCTTTTAAACAATACATACAGAAATCTTAATTTTATGATATACATTGTCTTTATACATGTCCTATTTTCTTACAAAGATAACAAAAACTAAATAGATCTCCTTGAAAATATCTTGTTTAAGTATTTAGTAATAAAGACTTTGCAACACTTTATTTGAAACAATCATTTTCATTATCATAAGTTATTTCATTTTTTATTGATAATCTTTCAAGTTTCTATATCAAGTATTCATCACAAACTTTTTCTACTTTATGGTTTTTCTCATATATAACAGGTGGCTAATCACATGATAAAGATCTGAAATGAGGCAATGTTTTACTTCCAACAAAAGTATAAGAAGGTGTTTCCTCTTTCATTTTACTAAAAATTTTAGTGTAATTAAATTTGTTATTATTGGTTTAAATAATTTAATATATCTAAAACCATTTATTTCTATTTAAAAAAATGAGCTTAGAGAGACTATATGTTATTGATATAATATATATTTAAATTAAAATCCTAAGGAATGAATCATTTAGAAAATTTATTAAATTGTTCTTAATTTTATATTTATTAATACAATTTTAGTATGTTTAAAAATATAACTATAAATAGATTTTGAATAATAATATCATATTTGCAAAATGTATCATGTTTTCATTCAAAAATATATAATTTAGATGATTTAATAGAAAGGTGTATTGTTTAATTTATATTATACATTTATATTTTGTGTGTACAATAATATATAATTTATTTAAGTTTGTTGAATAAGTGAAATAATAATAATATTATTTTAGAATTAAAATGGCAATAGATAATAATACTTTAAAAATTTTATTATAACTAGAAGCAAGATTTCATGAGAAAATTTATAATTTAGATCATGTAAATTAAATGTTAGAAATTTACTCAGACTTTGTCTAAATATTTGATAACTAAAAGTGTGCTTTGAGAGAGTATTTCCTAGAAAAAATATAATTTCTAATTAGCAGACCTGAAACAATATAGTTATTAAAGAAATAAAATATACTCAACTTACCTGGGGATACTTAGAAAATCTAAGGAAGAATGAGATTTAGTGTTTATAAAAGAGCTTAAGTTAATGAAATGAAGATTTAATAAGAATTATAGAATAATGAACTTAATCAAACTCAAAATATGAATTAATTGCTCTAAGAATATGATAAAGTTCAAGAAAATATAGAAAAATAAATTATAGAATCTTTGAATAATTAAGATGAATTATTAGAGAAAAGAAAGATGAATAGAAAGATGAAAACTTAAGTAATGAGTTAATCAACTTCTACAGATAATATTATTTAATAAAAGTAATTAAATGAATATAATGATGAATAACTAATATTAACCTAATAGAAAGAAGGAGTCTCAACATATGATAAAGAAGATTTTAAAATAGATGAAGATGATTAAGAAAAGTGATTATAAATTATATATAGTCGATTATTTAAATTAAATTTAATTTATCTTCTTAACTTTTGATATAAAAGAATAATGATCTAATCTAAGATAAGTAATCTTATATTGTATTATCAATAACTTTGATTGAATTTACATTATGATACTAATCATAAACAGACATTTTAATTAATAAATATTAATATTGATATAAGAAAATAAGTATAAAAAACACAAAATAACTTATATAATATCCATATATTATAATAATATATATCAAAATTATCAAATTGTGATGATAAATTTATTATCTTTCCAAGTCCCTTCTTTTTTATGGTATTGATTATCATGAAAAATATAGGTTCCTTTTCCATTTGCTCTATTATTAACAAAGAAACCTTCAAATTTATCTCCATTAGAAAATGTCAATCTAGCATATCCTTGAAGCATTCCCTTTGTAAACATACCTTCAGCAGTTTTCCAATTACTTAAATCAGCATATCCTAAACAAGGTAAATCTATTCTAGTTTTTCTTTTAACTCCTTCATCTAATTCAATATTTGATTATTTATTATTATTTAAAATCATTTAAGAATGAAATCCTTTTCCAACCATTTTATGAATTTCTGCTGTTGGATTAGTATTAGTAGTTATTGAAAAGTGTAGATTTTCAAAATCTAGTCTTTCATCAAAATTAAATGCTTATATTTCTTCAGGAACAACTTAATCATTGTTTTATTCTGTTACTAATTATGTTATTTATAATAAAGATTCTTCAAAAATCATTGAATTGATATTGTAAAATATTCTTTTATATTTGAGTTCTGGTGAAAAATGTGTAAATTTAAGTTCTAGCTATATGAAATCTGGTCTATCTTCTTCATTTTCTTCTAACATATTTAATAATATCATTTTTGCATAGTTTTATAGTTTGAGATCCTATATATTTCTTCTAATTTTATCTAATTTCACTTTATAATTAATAAGATCATAAAAATCTTCATCTTGTGTTAAACATTTATAAATAAATAATCCTAAACAAAATACATCTGTCTTATAGAAATTATGAATAGGATATTCTACTTTTTTACTCAAAGCCTCTAATTAAATGGGAGACAAATAAAATTTGCTTAATAATTGTTCTAATTATCTTGTATTTTTTTGTAACCAACACTTTCTATAAAATTATATCAAATAAGGATGAAGCATTGGATCCAATATTTTATAATAAAATTAACCGTCAAAAGATCTAATCTATATATTTTTTTGGATTTAATTACTTTATAAACAGAATCACGTCCAAAGTAAGAATATGTCTTGCTTTACTTTTACCATTTTGACATTATTTATAATACTGCATCTAAAAGTGGTAAATAAGATTCATCATCTAGTTCTGTTACTATTGATTCTGGGAAATCCAAATAAATAACAGCCCGACTTGTTTCATCTGTGACAATTTTATGAATTAAAAATAAATGAGGATGCTATTCTCTTGATCTCCATTTCTTTAAGAAGGCTTCTGTTTCATGTGGTAAACCATTAAACTCTACCTTAGCTAATCGATACCAATCATTGTGAACTCTTTTACTTCATTTTATATACATTTTAACATGCGAAAAAGCTGGATACAATTGAATAGCTTTATTTGAATCAGGATGATCTGAAAACAATTTTTCGTATTAGTCTATAAATTATTTGTTTAAACAGATTCCCATTTGATTTTTATTCTTATAAAATATATACTAATTTTTAATATTTAACATCAATCCATATTATTTATCATACTAAATAGTTTAAAGTAATTAAAACATTCTAATTTCTAATCAATATAAATAATCTCTCATTAGTTATTTAATATTTATGTTGAAACTTCAGAATTATTAATTTAATTTTAATTTGATGGGAAATGCAATTTCAAATGGGAAATTGATATCTCCAATATCTATTGATGCATAGATAAAAGAGTCATAATTAACAATAAGATTCATGTTAGATTAAAAGAAATTAATGGCTCAAAAAAATACATTACCTAAAGATTTTGATTAATAGATATCTTAATTGATAAAAGAATTGAAAGTTGAACCAAAACTTCTCTAATAATTCTAAAGCACTCCTTAAAGTAAAATAATATAACATAATTAGATTTTAAATGTTTAATTCTAAATGAATATAAAAACATTACAGGAAAGAATTTATTATAAAATTTACCAAATGATGAAGTCAACTATTTTAATTAGAAATTAGCTAATCCAACATTATAAGATTTAGAATAATTAAGAAGATATCTTAAAAATCTATAGATTCAAGATTAATAAGATAAATTAGAGCAATTTCATATTACTATTAATTTACTTATAGAAAATTTATTTAAATTTCACTAATAAGCACAATAAATAATTGAAAAAAAGAAGCCTCCTTGTTATCTATATTAAGTTTAAATCTTAAATATTCTTGAAATTTTAGTTAAAATAGAAAAAAACTAATAATAAATGTTAACCATTCCAGATTCAATGGATATTATTTTAAAAAATCTACATCCATTTCATGTTGAATTAACAACAACTGTATTAGAAATTGCATCTCATTTATGTTGGAATACAGATGAAGGATATAATTGGGTTCTAAAAAGTTTAAATAAATTGTATGAAGATAATGAAATTATATTTTTTGTTAATACCTTAAAAAAAAGTAGAAATGCTGTTATGATTGCTACAATATGTGTATTTATTGTAACACTTACTGAATCTCCAACTTAAGAAGAAGAAAGAAAAAGAATGAGATAATAATTTATATCTACTGGAATGGCTGATGTTTATAAAATGATTATCAATAAAATTGAAGAATTTGAATATAAAGCAGATGAATTAAGATTTGAAGTTGTTTTATAATAAATAATTGATCATAATAAATAAAAACATTAAATTTTAACAGATCCTAATTTCACTGAAGAAATTAAATTACCTATGTTATATCAAAGAGAATCTAGAAAGTGTTATGATATATCAGAGTTTTCTAATTCCATTAAAATTATTGAAGGATAAATTGAAGCATTTCTAGAAAATAATAAAGATATACCTAATTAATAACCATAAGAACCAAAAAAATCAGAAGTTAAATAACATGCTAAACATTTAAAATCTACATTTCTTGCTCCTTAATATTTAAATTTAATTTAAGATGAAATGGGAAAAGCTAATTTAACTAATCTATAAAGAACAGTTGAAAATATTAAACATGAATCTAAAATTAGAGGTAGTCAAATTGTTACTGAATTTGCAGAAGGTATTTCTAAATATATTGATAAACTCAATTAACCATCTTAAAAAGAAACTGAAAATATAGAGAGTTAATAATTTGAATTAATGAAATAATAAATTGATGATTTACATGAAAAAATTGCTAGTTTAGAAAATGAAATAAAAGATTTAAATACTAAAAAATAATCAAATGAAGCATTTGTTGATGTTTTATAAAGAAAAATTGGTGATATGGAAAAAAAATTGAAATCAGATTAAACTAATTATTCCCAATTAAATGAATAATTAGCTTCCAAAAATAAGGATTATAGAGCACTTTAATAAGAAAATGAATCATAATAAAAAGCAATCTAACAATTAGAAAATGAAGTTAATTAATTAAAAGAAAAACTAAATATAATGCAATTGGCCAAAGCTCAAAAAATGGAATTAGAAGTACCTCCTTAAAGGCTTTCTCATAAATAAGATAATACTGAAGAGTTGAAACTATAACTAGACTAACTCAAATAAGACTTACATTAATAAAATTAAAAATTTATCATTCAAGAAAATGAAATTAAAAGTAATTTTATCTATTTTTATGATAGAATTTTAATAATAATTAAAAGAATAAAGTGAAAATTTATAAACAAAGGAGATTTAATTAAATGAAAAAAATAAGGAATGTAGAGAACTTTAAGCAACAAATGAAAAATTAATAAAAAAGAAATAAGCTAAAAAAAACCAATTATTATAATTGAAAGAAAAAATATTGTCTGTTAATTATGTTAAAACTTAAGCAACCAAAATTTAAAATGAACTCAAAACTATTGAACAATATTAAGAAGAGCTTATAAGATTAAATAATATTATAGAAGAATAAGCCATTATTTTAGAATAATAAAAACAATACACATCTAAACTTGATGAAATGAGAGATAAATAACAAGAGCAAGAATAAAAAATTAATCAAATGGAAGATGAAAACAAAAGTATATAATAAATAAATTATTTCCTTAGAATAATTAATTAATAATTAAACTCTACAAGATAAACTGTAATAATTGCAATAGGAAAAGGAAAATTTAGAAAAAAAATTACTTAATTAACTATAAAATGCTGCACAATCTAGTAATACATTTGCACCCCCTCCTCCGCCATTACCTGGGTCAACTTAAACAAATTCCTTTATTCCTCCACCACCCCCTCCTCCTCCTGGAGGTTCCAAAACTTTACCTCCACCTCCACCACCACCTCCTCCTCCTCCTCCAGGAGGTAAAACTGCTCCACCACCTCCTCCTCCTCCACCTCCACCTCCCGGAGGTAAAAGTGCTCCTCCTCCCCCACCACCTCCTCCTCCACCTCCAGGATCAAAAACTGGGGGACCACCACCTCCACCTCCTCCTCCACCTGGTGGTAAGACTGGATCTGCACCACCTCCTCCTCCTCCGCCTGGAGGCCCAAGACCCCCAGGACCTCCTCCTCCTCCTGGAGGGGCTCCTCCACTTCCTCCTGGACCAAGACCTCCTGGCGGCCCTGATCCTTAATTTGGAGTTTCAACAGGAAAACAAAAACATAAACCTAATGTCTAACTAAAATAAGTTTGCTGGACAGTTATCAAACCAGAATAAATTAAAAATACTATTTGGGAATAGATAGATGATACTAAATTAAAATTGGATTTTTCTATTATTGAGAATCTTTTTGCAGTAAAGGCAACATAAAGTAATGCAAGCAATTAAAGTGGAGCCAATTAACCTTAGAAGCCAGCAAAAATTTCAATGTTGGGGCCTGAAAGAGTCAAAAATTTAGAAATAGTTTTAGGCAAACTTAAAATGTCAAATCAATTAATAGTTGATAGTCTTTATTAGTAAGTTTATTAAAGTTATATTAAAGATTTGATGAAAGTATATTAAAACCAAATGTAGTTGAATCATTAATAACAGCAATGCCAAATGAGACAGAGATTGGATTGTGGCAAGATTAAGATTAATCAAATTTAGCATTACCAGATATTTTTTGTATAAATATTAGCTCAGTAAAGGGTTATGATTATAGGTTATTAATTTAAAATATGTTAGATTATTATCATTGAAATTTAAATATAATTATAAAGAATTAGCAGAAGATTTAGAATAGAAAATAGTAGGATTTAAAAAAGTGATTGAAAAAACTAGAAATGATAAGAATACAAAAGTTGTAATGGAATATGCATTAGCAGCTGGAAATTATATGAATGGTCAATCTGCAAGAGGAGGTGCATATGGATTTAAATTTGATATGATGGAAAAATTAGCTGATGTTAAAAGTACAGATAATAAAAGCAGTTTATTAATGTTTATAATTTAGAAAGCAGAGGAAGATTTAAAATAAGAATTAGTGATGGTTGATGAAAGTTTAGATGAAATTGAATTAGCTGGTATATTAATGAATGTAAAATTTAGCTAAAACACCTTTAAGTTAATTAGGTGCTGATTTGAATGAATTAAAAAAGAATTCTAGGACTGTTGATAAGGCTATCAAATCAAAAGTATCTCCTCCGATTTAAGATTTAGTTGAAGAAAAATTATAAGATTTTTATTAATAAGTTATTACTTAATTAGCTGAATTTGAGGCTTAATTAAAACAATTGGAATCACAATATGAAGATCTTTCTAATTTTTATGCTGAAACAAAAGTTCCTTTTGATAAATTTTTTGAAAAATTTTATAAGTACAAAACTGTATTGAGATAAGCTAAACAAAATATTAATAAAATAAAATTAGCAGAAGAAAAAGAATTAGAAAAAAAGAGAAAGTTAGAACAATAACAGCAAAATTAATAATAATAGAAATAATAACAATAATAATAATAATAATAATAATAATAATAATAGTAGTAGGATTAATCATAAATTAAAAAAAAATAGGAAGGTAATTTTTAATATAAATAAAAGATAATTCACTATCAGGTTTAAAGAAACTTGATAAAACTTAAATTTTAAATGAAGTTGCAAAAAGAAGAGAATCAAAAAAAACTAGTATTCTTTAGCTAGCCAATGTTTTAGTTAAGCAATAAATTTAGACAACTTTAGCATAAACTTAGGAACATTGAAATTTAGTTATTAATATAAATATTATTTAAATTAAAGTTTTTCAACATTTTTTCAATAATGTTTTCTGAATTTTTAACATAAATATTTAATCATGATTAGTAATAATAATTTTGAATGTTTACAAAAGTAAAAAATTACTTCAAATCTCTAAGAATGAGTAACTAAATCATTCTTATCAACTTCTGCATCATAACTTTTACAGTTTTAATTATATTAGTTACATATTAAGTTTAGTCAGCTATCTTTTTCACTTTTATTGAAAAGTCTTCTTAGACCTTATCATAAAAACAAGAAAAACAATTAGTTTAACTCATCTCTAAAACAGTATATATAGCACAAAAATTCTCAAAGTATTTGTAATAATTAATATATCATTATCAAATTTACAACATTCTAGTGATTTTTTTTAGTATGTTAATTAATCAAGAAATCGATATAGAGTGATTTAAATTCAATTTTAAGAATGCCTTGATTAGGAATAAATAAACATATAGACTGTAGTTTATAATTCAGATATAATATGTTAAGGATTTGAAAAAGTAAAATCTAATGATTAAGGATAATTTTTAATGATATTTTACGTTTACTCAGTCCATTTACATAATTATTGTTGTTAATGATTATTCAAAAATATTGTATTTTGATATTCCTAAAGCTTAATATTTTGGATCTTTTCCTGCATCAATCAAATTTAAGAATTATAGTTTATACACAAGACCTTGGTAATTATAGAAATAACTTATAGGTATATTAATCATATGACTTAATCTTAAATATATCCAAATTCTAGTTACTTTTACTCACCTATCTTACTATCAGCTCGTGATAACTTACCTTTTTCTGCATTGAGATATTCTCTTAGAGGCAATGACTAAATGTTTGGAATTGCATTATAATTATTACCTAGACCTGATAATAACACCTTTAAATATCTTACTTGTACATTAAAATGGTGATGTAATTTTAAGTACTATAGAGACTTTTCATTAACTTACTGAATTGGTTAGAATTACTAATACATCTTATACTGGTTTTAATGAAACTGATTGGCAAACTATTCAATAGAATTCAATGATTAATCAAAATAGGGATCTGAAATTTTATTTAATGAATAAGATATATAAAATATCAGTATTTGTCTATACATATTTTATTCTGAAGGGAAAATTTAACTATGATAGTGTATTACATTAAATTATTTTTAAATGTTTTAAGAATATTCAATGGGAGATTTCAGATGAAATTTAATTACTTATTGATAATTTAGAGTTAGAATTGATTCAATAAATTTAAATCTAGATTGGATGCTGTGCATTTTTACTACTTGTAACAGCAAATTTAATTAAATGTATTTCAGCACCATTATTATAATTAATATTAGTTATTAATTAACATGTAATGAAAATAAGTAATAATTTAAATTCAGAAATATTTAAAATTGCTTTTAAAACAAAAACATAAATAAATTAAGATTTATTTTCTTCTTTGGTATATAAATTTATGGCATTAAAAGATTTATAAACAAAAAGATCTTAAAGAAAAAGTAATCTTTGTAATAAATGGAATCAGTCTAATATAATTTAAAATTTTAAGAAACAGATTCTAGCAAAATCAAGGAATTATTATAATTATTACCTTAAAAATGAATGGAAAATTCACAATTTATCTTTTTTTTATTTTAATAATAACAATTTAATAAATAATAATAAACTAATTCGGAATTAAATGTAATAAAAATGAAATAGATTAAGTATGTAAAAGAATAATACTCATTAATGATTTGCTTTAAAAAATATATCTATAAAACAAACCAAGTTGACTATTAATTTACAATTAATTCTTAGCTTATTATAAAATATTTTTATAATTAATTTTCACATATTTTGATTTTTCCTTTGAAATATTTAAAACTAAATTAAAGATTCTTTTTAAGCTTCTCTTATCTTATTAATGAATTCAAATTTTATTGCTTATTTCTAGAAATAATGACATAAATAAAATTAAGCTATTTTAACAGTTGTATTTTATATGTTAAATATCAAATAATAGCATATTATTTATTTAATTAGTTTTACTTAAACATAGGATAATGAGTTTGCTTACTTGTTTGAAAAGATAAAAAATGGAGAATTAAATTATTTTTGGGATAATAGCAATCATGCTGATTTCAACTATATTTATTGGGATTGCTTTCCTTATTTAGAATATTGTACTTTTTAAAATGATTGAAGCTTCATCATCTACTATTTTTATTAGACAAGAGAATAATTCAATTTAAAACCTTGGCTAATCAATCAAACAATATTTTATAAGAAAACATGAATAATGTAATAAATAGTTTTATTGTTAGACATCCATAGATTAAATAACATTAATAAATTATTTCAATATTATTCAGATGTTGAACTCAAACTGAAAAAAATTGATTAATTGGAGTATTGTCTTTTTAAGGATGACATTAATGAAAATTAAATTCGTTATTCTGCTGCCTAATTTTGTTATTAAGCATGTGGAGTTAGCGACCATTTTACATTACCTTAAAATGATAAAACGATAGAGATCTTTAATTAAACTACATAAATTTTGAATTAATTCACTATCAGTTTTCCAGTAACTTTAGAATCTATATTATCATATGCAGATCTATCAGATACACAGTTTTATGCTGCTTATCCTCTTGCCTATTCAGTAAAAGGCTATGAACCAAAAAAAAGATTATGGTACACTAATCATATATAATAAATGAAGTTAAATCCTTAAAGTGATTTTTTCTATTCTCCTGCATTTTTGGTTGTCCATCTTTAGACTTATGCAATATCATTAACTCATACTCTATTTAATTCTAAAAAGGAAAAAATTGGGATGGCATAATAAATGATTTAATTAGTGGATTCAGCAATATAAGATCTTCCTTATAATGCTTTATTAATAAACAAAGAAGGTTAATTAGTATTGAATGCAGCAGATTTTTAATATGATTCTAAAAATATTAATTACATTTATAATAAAACATTAACAGGTTTTAATGAAAGTGATTGGGAATTTATGTAATAACTTTCAAAAGATAAGAGTAATTTAAAATATTGTGATGAATATGAAAATGTTTACTGTTTATATGATAAGTTGTATAACTCTACAATTATTTTATATACAAGTCAATTGAAAAATGAAAATTTTACTATTTTATTGTAATATTATTTTTGATGATAAAATAGATATACAAATTTTACATTGTAACAATAAGTGAATGAACAAATGGAATTACTATAAAAAGGGTTAGTGGAAGTTGTTAAAAGAATTTGTTTTGAACATATAGGATCTATCATAATAATAACAGTAGTTTCAATGTTGGCAGTTAGAATGTTGTTTTTACCTTTAAAATATTTAATGAATAGCATAAAAAACCATATTTTATAAATTGGAAATAATTTAAATAGAGAAATGTTTAAGATACTACATAATGCTAAGAGGAGAAAAGGGAATACATTTTCTAAATTAACATTTGAAATATTAAAATTTTAAGATATATTGAATACTAGAAAGACTCAAAAAAATCCAATATGTTATTAAATAGAAAATTTTTAATATAAATTTAAGCATGAAGAAGAAAGAAAAATCAATCTATTTTTAGATGAAATATATTTTTCAAGTGCTGATTTGTAAAATGATTTAAATGAGAGGAAATTATATCTCTTGTGCAAATAATTAATTCATGAATAATATAATTATCAAAATGATTATTAATGAATTTATATCATTACGATTTATATTTCAATAATGATGATCTATTATTTTATCATATAATTATATTAATTTTCGGTTTATTTGTTGTAATTATATTGAATTATAATTAAAAAATAAAACGCTTAAATTAATTAAATTTCTATGAATGTTAATTTGTATATAATTAAGGATCATGTCATATATTTTACTATAATTTATTCTCTATTTAATTATAATAACTCAATATAATAATAAAGTCAATAAATATAACAGCAATTAGATTATTCACTTAGTTCTGGTTATAGTTTTGTTTTATTCTTCACATTTTAACAGTTCAACATTTCATTATAATCTTCATCTACTTAATTATACTAATCTGATAGTTCATTTGATAGAATATCCATGAATGTTCTTGATGTATTCTATTAACTAACAAAAGCAATTTTATGAGATCCTCCTTTAATTATTTCATTTCCAGCCCAGTCCAATCTTGGGAGTGCTTAATTTATTTTCTATTAAGATGATTTCAGTATTGGTTTAATTGATAAGTTTTAAGAGTCTCTTGAATCATTAGTATTAATCAATTCGGTTTAAGACATTATCTTAAAAAGAAAAATAATGAATTTTATAATTAAGAAATTATTAATTTTCCTAAAGTAATATTAATGATTCAATATTATGTAATAATATTCTATAATAGATTACAATTAGAATTGTTAAATAATCATATATGACTTTATTGAATTTTTATTACAATTATTGTACATTATAAGGAATGAATTAATTATATATATGCTTAATTAAGAAAATTACAAAATATAACAATTTTTAGTACATCTCTTCAATGTTGATACTTCGTACTCTACATGCTTTCATTTAACTGAACCCATGCTTTATCAAGTTTTCATTGAATAGGTTCATCAAGAAGACCAAAGATAAGATTTCACATCATTTGTTGAGTAGTACCAAATGATTTATAGGAAAGAGTTTAGGCCTTTATCTACAAGAACACATTTACATTAATAAAGTTTAGATAATGTTAAACCTTTTACATATCCATCAAATTCTTATGTGTGGATCAAAGCAAAATAAAATAAATTAAAATAACAACTAACAGAATAGACATCAAAAGAAAAATCAATATCTACATAAAAATAATCAAGATAAAACTAATATATTGTTTATGAAAGCTTATAATTAAATACACCAAAATAAATTAAGAATACTTTATTAATTACAACCCCAAGAATTTTTAAGAAAACTTCAAATAGTATGACTTTTGATTTGAATTCTAGAAATAGAAACTAAGAAAATGATTAAAAATAAAGTATAAAAACACCATAATTTAAATAAACAAGATTTTCTGAATCAAAAAAAGGGAATTCACTTGAAAGATAGAAAGACTCTTTAAAATTTTCAAATAAAACTAAAATTACAAAAGAAACACCTTCATAATCTCATATTTAAAGACTAAGAAGTCTATCAGGAACTGAAAAATTAGCTGCACATTAATTAATTATTGGAACTATTAATGAAATTAATTAATTAGTACATAAAATGGAAGAACCAAAATTAGATCGAATTTAATCTGAAGAGAGTCCTTCTTTGTAAGTACCTTCTAGAATAGGAGTTATGCCAGCTAAATTAATTTCAATAGATGTTAAAAAATATAAATAATGATATTATTGAATTATGTTACATAATTATTTAACATTTTAATGTTTCATCTTCAAAACTATAAAGAATGTGATTGATATATCAATTATAATAATATAATTAATATAAATCCTATAAATTTAAGTTATTATTATACTAAATCAATTTATTAGAATTACAATCATATCTTTTCCTGAAAAAATATTATTTTTTTATCGACTTTTATATTTTTGTTTGAGTTTCTACATGAAATTTTCATTTATTTTAAGTTATATAATAAGGTTTCGGTATAAGTTGTATTATTTATATTTTAATTTGTTGATCTGTTAAATATTATGAGAAAATCACTGGGTTAATGCTTGCAAAAATCATCATTTCTAAGTCAAAGATAAACTAATCCTGATGTTACTTAAGATAAGAAATTAGGAGTGAGATTTGCTACTTAATATTAATTGACTGTTCCTGATATTGTGATAAATGATCCAAATTAATTAGAATTGATTAGAATAAAAGAAAAATATAAATGGAAATGTGAAGAACTAGATAGAACTAAGTAAGTTATGGAAGAAGAACATAAATCAATAGAAGAGAGGTCTAATGTATATATACTTTTATATTCAGAAATTAAATAAAGGAGAAAAAGAAATGAGAATTTTGGCAACATAAATAAAGGAGAAACTTAATATTTTAGGAGAACAAGAATAGAATTTCAGAGAGAAAGTATGCTTATAAGAAGAGAAAATGAAGGAGAGGGAATAATAATTATAGATTAGTAAAAAGTAATTAGAGGAATAACAAAGTACATTAGAACTTGAAAAAAATAAATTGAAGATTAGAGAGAAATGTTTATAAGAGAAAGAATTTATTATTGATTAAAAATTAAGAGAAGTTGAATAATATATTGATAAATTAAAATATCAATTATAAAATGTTAATTAGAAGGAAAGTACATTTATATTATTATTCATAAGATTATTATCATTAATAAATAGATAAATTAAATTCAGGATTATAAACTATTATTTAGCATGAATTATCAATAAAAAATATTGAATTTAATTTAAGCAAATAAGTTTAACAATTAAGAGAAGTAGAATAAAGTTTAATTGAGTAATTGCATAATTGTAAATAATAAGAGGAAGTATTTGATTAAAGAGATTTAAATATATAAGTTAGTGAATAATTAATCAATCGTAAATTAGAATGGGATAATAAATAAATACAATCAGCAAAATTATCTAAAATAAACACTGAAAATTCAAGAATGGAGATCTCAAACTTTGCTCATTCTGCTTTTTCACAAAAATATTGAAAGTTATTTAAATTACTATTCTAAATCATAATTTATAAAAAGTTCTATAATAAGTTTATCTCATTTCTAAATAATATATTTCCTTAGAGATAACAATTAGAATTGTGAAATAAATTATATTTTAAGTTCAACATAAATCATATTATTTTATCCCTACTTCTGTTTTACATGATGAACATTTATGAATTTTGTCTTAACAATCAGGCATAACACATGGAACCCAACAACATAATATTCTTTTAAACAATAAATAATAATTTAATACCCTGTACACAGAAATAATAAACATGATACAAGATAAGTTCCTGCTCCTATCTCAGTTGTCACATTTGTAATGCCTTATGTTTTACAAACTGGACATATAATTTAAATAGGAAAGGGTGCACCATTAGCATTAAACGATGGAGGAGTATTAAAATTACTTAATAATAAAGAATAATACTTTCCAACTACAGTCTATAAATAAGGTGTTCCAACTTGAACTGGCTAAGTATAAACATTAGCAACAATTGGCTTAAATTATTTATATTTGATATACCTATCCATAAGTGACTTACTAGGACTATTATCCATATTATGTATATTGTTAAGCATAATTAGGTTATTAAGTAGGAATGAATTGTTACTAAGGTTACTATTATTGTGTTGTTTAGACTTCAAATGATTGTGTAGTATTGCCCCAATATTAGGCTTGATTTGGATCAGATTATTACATTTTTAATTTATTCTATAAAATTTAAATTAAATCACTAACAAGTGAGCAATTCTAATGTCATATCATAACCCATGTAATTAGCATGATCAGATACAGATAAATCAACTAAATTAGCATTAGAACAATTGTCATCTTCTTTAAGGTTATCATTACATAATTAAACTCTAAAATTTAATAATTTATTACTTCTTATGGATGACTAATAAATAGTCTTTATAATAAGCTTCTTAATTCACATGATGGAATCCTTAAATAAGTGCTGGGAGATGAGGAACTGGATCATGATTATGAGTAACTCTAAATTTAGGTCCTGGAAATAGTTATTAATTAACATAAGTAAAGAAATTCTTATCACCAACTCTAGGTGATCCAAAAGTATAGAATTTACTTATAGTAAAACCTCTCTAAAATATAATTAGAATAATACTGTTGCCAAATACACAAGAGCATGATGAGCCAAAGCACCTCCTAAACTATGACCTGTAACAGTTATTTTGGCTAAGGGATATTTCTTTGTTAAAGTTTTCAAACAATTTAAAACTTAATCTTAAATTCCCAAAAAAGAATAATAGAAACCTCTAAAATGATATTTATAGATTAATAAAAATACCTATGAACTTAACAATTATTTGAACAATAGGGATAATCTGTTTTAATAAAGTCAATATCTTCAATCCAATTAGTTAGACTCCATGGTAAAGTTCCTCTAAACACTAAATAGATTTCATCTGTTTCAGGATGATATGCACCATATCCTGCATTATCATTTGTTGCATTGATGAAGAATGAAATATCAGTGATTGGTTTAAGTTCTTTGCATGGTTTACCACAGTTCCAATTCTTAATGTGTTGTTAACTGCAATAACTTGCTGATGTTAAATAAAACAAGTGTTTTGCAAATGCTTCATCATATGTGTTATATTCTACTGTCTAATATGACAGTACTATAACAAGACTTATTAGAAGAATTTTCATCATGACGTAATTTTATAATATAGAAAATAATCCAATTCATAATAATTAAATATCCTTAATATTTATAATAAAATCGTATTATTTATAAAGATGACGATCTTGAGAAATTCATCATAAATTATTTATAATAAATTTTATATCTTTTCTAATGGTTTACAATCACTTTTTCATTTATTCTCAAACTTATATGAATATCCAATAAATATTTAAAATAATTACAACTAAATATTAAATTTCCTATTTTTAGATATAATATATCTAACAAATAATAATTATTTTTTAGACTAATTTACTAAAACTCAGAATAAAAATATTCTTAATCTTAATTATTATTTTTCATTATTAATCATTAAATATAAGATAGTAATTTAATCATCATCATTAAATAGCTTATTCTAAGTATTCAGCAAATTCATATTTCAATAGCTTTTAAGGATCATCATATTCTGAATATCGTTAAATTTTTAAGTATTACATATTTAATTCTCTAACATCTTTGACAGTTTTAAATAGCATCAAATATTACAGTAAAGATTTCAATTCCTATATTAATAATAGATATTTACTTCATCTTATTTATTATCGATATAAGGTATAATTGGAACCCCATTTTATAATTAATACAAATAAGAATGAGGAGCATTATCGATTAAAAGCATATCACTTAGTTTTCTTGTTTTAAAAATACGTAAATCTTTAATAAAATGTCCATCTTCAGTTGGTATACAATGTTCTCTATAAAATCTATGAGATATTAATTTTTTATCAGGATCCAAGTAATCAATAACTGCATTCGCATAATAAGATTACGAGGCAGTAAATATAATCAATTCAAAATGTCTACTTAATTATTATAATAAATGAGAAGTATAAGGTCTAACATTTAAAGAAGCCTAATAAAAAATAAAGAATTTGATACATCCATAGTTTCACCATCATGATTAATATTTAATAATATATCTCCAGGAGTTGAACTATTAGAATTACAATGTACAAGAGTTTCATCTAAATCAAATAATAAGGTTTTCTTATCAATTTATGGTAGAATTACACTTTATTTCACAGGAGGGACTTTAATTTTCTTTGCAATAATAATACCCTTTAATTTATGATAATAAAATACTTGCATATTATGAATGAGATGTTCTTTAGCAGAATTTGACCCCTTTTATTTAAATGCTTTTATAATAGATGAAATGTAATATATTTTTGGAAGATTCTTAGTAATATTATCCTATTAAATTTAAATTGTTCCATTCTCTTTTTGATCCTATTATTTATTGTATCGTTATGTTATTGGATTATCCAAATAAGATGATGGAATGCTACTTTGTTGTTTTTTACTTGAGTTTATATCTAGTTCTTTTGGAGTTTAAATAGATATAGTAGGTAATTCATTAGATGAATTGAATAATGGTTTTTTAGTAAAATTCAAAGAACTTGTAACAGGTTATGCACTATCAAATCGTTCTGTAGTTATTTATTAATTATATATAGGAGTTTTAGAAAATAACTATGTACTTTTTGTAAATACTCTTTAGTTTTAGTCTTCTATATTTAAGTATTAGCAATTTTTAGATGTTGATTCTTTTTTTTAATTATTATCATTTTTTATTGTAAGTCTTTAAAAAAAGTTATCTTAAGTTGGAGTTAATGATAACATTCTAGTTGTAGTATTTTCCTTGTTTTCTTTACTTTTTAATCCAAAATTGGTTCTTCCTTGAAACTCTGTGGGATTGAGTTTTCCTGCTAGATTTAGAAATGATTTTTATTCAAGTGAATTGATTAATGATGTTTCTCTGGTGGAACTATTCTTACGGAGCATTTAAGAATAAAAAACTCGTTAATATTTAATTAATTAATTATATTAATTTAATATATGAGAGTAACATAACCTGTGGGTATTGTATAAATGACAAATATTGCTATTATTAAATATCGTACTAATAACAATTAAAAATTTGAAATTGCTTGTTATAAAAATAAGGCTATTAATTGGAGAAATGGAGTTGAAAAAGATTTGAGGTCTAATTTAATAAAATATTTAGTGAAGTTCTTTAAGTCTATGAAATATTCACTAATGCTACAAAAGGAGATGTTGCATCAGGAAAAGAATTATTTATTTGTTTCTAAACACATGATAAAGATTAAATTATTAAAACAATTTTAGAAAAGGGAGATTTGTAAGTAGGAGATAAAGAAAGAGAAGTTTAATTAGATCATTCTTATAGAGATATAGTTAAATTTATATAGGAAAAATGTATCCATGCCACTTCAGGTAGACAACTTACATAATAATCAATTGAGTATGCAATCTCAAAAGTTTAATTTGTGGTTAAAAGTGATAAACCTGTTAAATTTTAAGCATTACAATGTATTAAAAAACTTAAGGAATGTTTTTTTATAAAACGAGCTCCAATGAAAGTATCTATCTCTTTTATTGATGAATAAATGGAATTAGTGTATTAGATTTTATAAGAATTAGAATTTAAAGATATTGTTCAATAAAAAAATAAATTTATTGTTATTATTGATCCTTAATTATTTAGAACATTATCAACAAAAATTAATGAAAAATAATTAAAAAGTTAATTAGAGGTAATAGAAGCAACAATCAAATAATAAATTGATGGAATTGATAATTTAACTTAAGTTGAATTAGAATAGAGATTAGAAAAATTATAAATTTCAGATTCCTCTGAATCAGAAGATGAATTAAATTAGAAGTAAAAATAGAAAGGACCTAAAAAAAATAAATAATAAAAAAAATAATAAATTCAATAATAATAATAAATTAAAAAATAATTTTAAGAAGATGAATAGAATCAAATAAAATAAATTTAATAATAATAATAAAAAGATAATGCCAAAGATGATTTGAGTAAATAATTTAAATGTACTTAATGTTTAATATCATTTGACACAAATCAAGAATTTAGATAACATTATAAAACAGATTGGCATCTTCACAATATAAAATTAAAATAAAGTGGAAAATTATGTTTATCATATGAAGAATTCTTGGATTATTAAATCTAATAAGAAATGACCAAATGAGATTATCAATCTAATTCATTGATATATATATTATTCAATATCAAAGACTTATCTATATTTTTATGATAATTATTATTATAATAAAATGGTTCTTGAAATAGATGTTAGAATTCTAAAAAATAAAGAAACATTAGTAGAGATACTTCCAAAATTATATGAAATTCTCTAAACTGGAAGGACATTAACAATTTCTTGGCCTAAAAATTAAAAAGACATTTATTATGAATATTTCAAAGATAATCAAAAAATCAAGAATTTAAGTCAATATTAAACTCTTCTTAATTTAGTAGAAGCAACATTACCTTATCCAGATTTATAAAGCAAAATGTAATTTTTACATTTTACTATCTAGAATTGTAACTCTTGCCTTATATCATGTTGAATAAAAGTAATGTCTTGAAGTTTTAAAGTATGTTAAAATGTTAAATCAAAAGAAAATACATTAATCTCTTAGACAATAATATCTATTTACATTGAAATATTTAAAATAAAATGTTAATGAGATTTAAGACATTAATTAAGTATAAATAATTATTGATATATTACTCTATGAAAATTAAATATCTAAAGAGGAACTTAAGCAATTTTATGTATTATTTATTAAATATTCTAAGGAACAAAAGAAAATAGATATTGAAAAAAATGAATAAATAAATATTTGGTTTATTGAATAAATTTGGAATTATGAAAAAAATAATTTTAAACTTTTGGATATATTATTTTAATATTTTACAAATTAAAATAATCATGAAAAAGCAGAATAGATATTTATGTCTTTTGTAAATTTATAGCATCATTAATATATTGGATTAAATTAAATAAATGCTGAATTTGATTTATGTAAAAAAGAATATGAAAAAAATCTTATTGAAATTGATTCCTTGTCTACTATTTTTGAAGATAAAAATCCAACAGATGAATCTTTACTTTTTTAATAATAATCATTATAATCTATAACAAGATTAATAGAACTAAAATAAAAAGTTGGTTGTCCATTAGTTGATATGATCTATTTATATTAAAAATAAGCATAGATTTAGAAATCAAGATCTGATTTAGATTCAGCCATAAAAACACTTATACATTGTTTAGAATTAATTAAAGCTGAAAAATTGATTAATTATAATTCTAGAATTATATTATTAGAATCTTTATGTTATGATCAACTTGGAGATTATTAAAGATCAAAGAATTTATTATAAGAAGCACTCCAATCTTTTTAGGACTCTAACAGTTTAAAAGAAGAAATTAAAGATAAATGTGATCCAAAAAAATTAATTTTAACTAAAATGTTGTTAGCCAGTACATATTATAAATTAAAAAACTTAGAAAAATCATTGGAAATATTTTATTAAGTTTTAAAAATATAATAACATGTAATTTATATTATTTTATGATAGGAAGACTATGAAAGTCATCTTATAGGTTCAACCTAAAACAATATTGCATCAATTTTATTGAATTAAGGAAAATTTATAGAAGCTAAAGAAATATGTGAATAGGCAATTGAAAACATAAGTAAAAAATACACAGACTCTGATCCTGTAATGAAGAAAGTTAAACAACTTAAAGAAAAAATAGATGTTTCAGTATCATCACAAAAAACTTAATGAATGGTACTTTATTGATATAAATTTTATTTGTTGTTTATCATAATTAATTTATGAAAAATATTGTTGTTTTATGATAATGCTAAATATAATTCATATTTTGATTTAGATTTTAGTTCTCACATAATTGTTCAAAAAAATTTAAGATTATCATAAAAATTATTAAACAAATTTGAATTACATAATTCATATTTTAAATTACTATATCTGCTCAATCAATTACTTAATTGAAAATATAATTAATTAATTAAAGTGTGAATGGAATTATTAATCAACTAAATTTCTCTATTTGTTTAGGGCTCTCTTATTTTAGAATAATTCATTTGGAGTTTACCTTTGATGATATATTTCACTTTGGGAGTCATGAATGAACTACAAAATATTGCTTATATTAATATATTGTCTACTAAAAAGCTATTCAGTACAGCATCTGAAATGGATTTAATTACAATATTGTCTAGACCTAATACATTATTACAATATTCAACTATATTATCTTATATTCCATTAGCATTTTTATGTATATTTATTCTTAGTAGTATTGGCTTCATTTTTATTGTGAAAAAAAGATCAGAAAATTTAGTCATTGAGTTATAAATTGCTTTTAACACTAATATTTTCATAAAGGTATTATTTATATTTATAAATGTCTCTATTGGTGTAATTAAATAAACATTTGGATACATATTGTTAGAAATATGTTTTTAGACAATCAAACATAATATTAATGATATTGTGCAAGTGTCTTTAAATTTAATAGCAATTTTAGGAATATTTATATTAATTCTCTTTTTTACTAATATGTTTTCATATAATTGGGCCTTAGATTTTTAAAGAGAACATTTGATGATAAATGAATCCAATCTAACTTATTGTAGAATTGGAATCAAATTTCTATAACTATCCTTCATATTATATATTTAAGATGATAAATTATATCTAATTACATCATTACTTCTACCTATAATATCATCAATTATATAAATATATTAAATGTAAAAACTAAAATAATTAATCTATGGAAATTATTATAGAGTAATTTTAGCTATTAATCTAATAGTAATAACAATATGTTTGTAATATTTATTACATGAAATATTTCCTTAGCATAAATTTTAAGAAATTTGGATAATTATGCTTATTTTACCATTTTATTATTTCCAAAATTAAATTAAAATGGATTTATAAAAAAATTTTATAAATTTCTAGAATTCCAGTATTGAAGATTGCAATTTTGTTCTGTTCTAAATAATATATAATATTACTTAATAAAAGAATAGCTTTAATTAACAAATAATATATCTTATGTTTCTTTAAAGACATACAAAAATGTGTTATGATATTGTATGTACATGTAAACAAAGACTTTTAATAAAGAATTTTTAGTAAATCTCTCATGAAATCTATTTTAAAGAACTTCTATCTTAATATGAAAGATAGATATCAACAATGTCATTTAATTGTACATAAGATTAACTTGTCTTTAGTTATTTATAACTATTATTTTTTTAAAAGCAATATCTTTTAATTTATTAGTATTTCTAAATTATATTTCAAAAATCAAAAAGGATAAATTTCCAAAATTAAATTTTAATGTTAAACAATTACAATATCAATAAAAAAGTATTCAAAATTTATTAATTACATAAAATTATAGTTTTAAAAGTAGCTTAAGATTTAATGAGATTAGATATTGCATAATAATTATAAAACTAAAAGAATACATCATTTAGTGAATCATAAAAAAATCATACTGCTATTAAAGAATATTTGGAATAAGAAATTTAATATCTAAAAATTAAAAACATTCTAAGTTAAGTTATACATAATAAAATTAACTATTTGGAAAAAGTAAATTCAACTACTACCAAAGAGAATCTAGAAAAATTAGCTTATAAATCAATATAATATTAAATAGATGGATTATAAAAATTAAAAATTTCCTTTAAATAAACATCAGGTATTATAATTTTATAATTTATAGATTAGAAATCACAAAATATTTTAATGTTTTATAATATGGAAATTTTAAATGATATGATTTCTTCCTCAAATCAAAATTCATCTTCAAATTGTAATGATGAAATTAATTTCAAATATAGTAATGCATTTCTGACAAATGAATTTTCTAGTATGTTAATTTAAATAAACAATAAGAAAAATATTAAAATTCTTAAATGTAAATATAACCAATTAGATAAATTTGATAAATTAGATATATTAAACTTTTAAGATATGATACCTAATTATATTTAGATATCTCATATGAGATTGATTGAAAATTTTATTGCAGGATAATAAAACAAATTTTATTAATAAATTAAAGAATCATATATATAAGTATCATAGTGTTTGTGTAAGAAAATTGATTTATTAATGGATTTAAGTTAATTAAATTTAACTTCAATTGAAATGGTTGTATTTTTCCGTAAAAAAAAAGATAATTCTTATAGTATTTTTTTAGATGATTAAAAAAGAATCATAAATATTGATGATGAACTTTTTAGTGATGTATTAAATATTGATGGAGTTTTCTCTTAATACTTTATTGGTTTGGATATGAATATCATTTTTGAGAATATTGATTAGTTAAAATAGGATTAAATTTATAATCAATAAACCTTTCATTTTGTAGATCCAAATAAAATAAATTCATCTTATTTTACTAAATAATAATAAATGAAAATTCAATCCTTATGGAATAATTAACAATATTTATTATGTTATCAATGTGATTTATAATTTTCTTATAAAGGAAATGAGTTTGGCTCTAATTATTATGAACTTATTATTAAAAATCCAAGACGCAGTTATAATAATGGAGATACTTATATTTCTTAATTTAAATAATCAGAAAATATGATTACTATTACACCTATAGATGAATCAATAATAGTTGATAAACCATTTTTGATAGATTAGAGTATAAATGATGAAAAGTTATATAGTCAATAGTTTATTTAAAAATCTGAATTAGCAGATTAAAATTTGATATTATCAGATATTTAATAAGATGAATAATTAGTTATAATGAAAAATAATGACGAAGAATAAAATATTAGCTAAGAATTAGATGTAAATACAGTTAAGAAAAAACAAAAAAATTAGAAGTTAAAAACAGAAGGCGTATCATCTCAATAATCTGTTATTTCAGCTATGCAAAAATCTATATATTATAGATAATTTTGTTTAGTTAATGAACTTGCAAATTCATAAAAAGTACCTTAAATTTTTAAGAGAATGATATATTTCAGAATATTTTTAATTATTACTTCATTAGTTGGATTTAGTTTGGTAATTCTTTATATTATAAATTTAGTATTTATATGAAATAGATCTATTTCATCATTTTCAGGAGGATTTCAAATTATTAAGTATGAAAAATAATATATTTTATCCTATTTTATCTTTTTAGCTGATACGTTTGTCAATTGTAAATTACAATGTTGAACTTTTTTTAAAATTAATTACTTAATAGTAATATTTGGAATTATTGATTTATCCAAAATCTAAATTAATAGGAAGTTATGATAAATTAAAAGTTAGTATCTCAGATATCATATCTGAACCTATTTTTTTTACTCTTTATCATGATTAATATTTAAATCTGGAATTTTTATAAAGAGGAAATGTTGGAGAGATGAATGAACTTGATCTTCGTAATAGTTTGATTACTTTATTAAATTATTAATTTGATACTTAAAATGCATATATTGAAAATGGATAAGCTGATTATGAAAGTTCATACTTTTATTATTGTTATAAGAATTTGCATACTTTATTAAATGCTTTTACATAAGCAAATGAAATTGCCTTTGGAAATTCATAATAAAAACAGGATGATTCTTAGTAATAAATATTAGTTATCTTTTTTGTTCTTCTTTTCTTTATCATTATGATATAGTCAATAATAACATTTTCTCATTTACAATTTTAAATGTAAAAAGAAAAACTGAAACTTTTACTATTAAATTAAGATTAAAATTACATAAATATAGAAATTCAAAGATTAACATTACTATAAGAATTAATTGATAAGAATTACTATTAAATTTAACATTATAAACTTAATTTATCAGAAAAAGATGAGTATTTTAGTAAAATTAAATCTTTATGTACTCAACATTCTAGATAATAATTAAAAAAGAATACAGTAGATGCATAATATTATCATCCAAAAGGAATTTTACTTACATTAACCCATTTTGTTATTTTAACCTTAGTCTTCATCATTTTTACTGTAAAAATGTATGGTTCATATTAAAAAATTAAATAAACTGGATAATTATATGAAATATTTGCTAGTTTAAATATGAATATTTTAAGTTTATATCAATCAAGAGAAATTCTCTTTTATAAAACAGCTTTACCATTTTTAAATTAAACAGATCTAAATGAATATTATAGTATTGCATAATAAGGATTAAAAGGATTGGAAAATTATATAGATAAATAATGGATAATTTAAACTAATAATTATTTCTTTGATTCAGATTTTTTTAATCTTTTGAATAGGTTTAGTGATGGAAATTTATGTGAAGAGTTATATGTAATTATAATTTTAATTTAAATTAGTTAATAGATTAATCTATGAATATTTGTAATAATACTCTTGGTGGTGTTTTATAAAAAGGTATATCATCTGCTTTGGTTGATATTAAGAATTAGATAAAGACTGAATTTGAATTAACTAATTTTACAAATAGAACAAATTTCCCAATTTTAGAATTAGAAGGAATTTCTATTTTGAGTTATGGTTTATAATACTTAATTGAAAAATTTAATGNACTTTATTAAATTATTAATTTGATACTTAAAATGCATATATTGAAAATGGATAAGCTGATTATGAAAGTTCATACTTTTATTATTGTTATAAGAATTTGCATACTTTATTAAATGCTTTTACATAAGCAAATGAAATTGCCTTTGGAAATTCATAATAAAAACAGGATGATTCTTAGTAATAAATATTAGTTATCTTTTTTGTTCTTCTTTTCTTTATCATTATGATATAGTCAATAATAACATTTTCTCATTTACAATTTTAAATGTAAAAAGAAAAACTGAAACTTTTACTATTAAATTAAGATTAAAATTACATAAATATAGAAATTCAAAGATTAACATTACTATAAGAATTAATTGATAAGAATTACTATTAAATTTAACATTATAAACTTAATTTATCAGAAAAAGATGAGTATTTTAGTAAAATTAAATCTTTATGTACTCAACATTCTAGATAATAATTAAAAAAGAATACAGTAGATGCATAATATTATCATCCAAAAGGAATTTTACTTACATTAACCCATTTTGTTATTTTAACCTTAGTCTTCATCATTTTTACTGTAAAAATGTATGGTTCATATTAAAAAATTAAATAAACTGGATAATTATATGAAATATTTGCTAGTTTAAATATGAATATTTTAAGTTTATATCAATCAAGAGAAATTCTCTTTTATAAAACAGCTTTACCATTTTTAAATTAAACAGATCTAAATGAATATTATAGTATTGCATAATAAGGATTAAAAGGATTGGAAAATTATATAGATAAATAATGGATAATTTAAACTAATAATTATTTCTTTGATTCAGATTTTTTTAATCTTTTGAATAGGTTTAGTGATGGAAATTTATGTGAAGAGTTATATGTAATTATAATTTTAATTTAAATTAGTTAATAGATTAATCTATGAATATTTGTAATAATACTCTTGGTGGTGTTTTATAAAAAGGTATATCATCTGCTTTGGTTGATATTAAGAATTAGATAAAGACTGAATTTGAATTAACTAATTTTACAAATAGAACAAATTTCCCAATTTTAGAATTAGAAGGAATTTCTATTTTGAGTTATGGTTTATAATACTTAATTGAAAAATTTAATGAAGATTTATCTTCTTATAATACTTAAGTAGAAACCAATTATAATGTAAGATATATAATAATATATAATTTAGATTACTATGATAATTTGTTTATGTATTTCATTATTAAATGGATTATTGTTATTAAAATTTGATTAGATAATTTAATTGAGAAATTATATATTATTGACTAAATTTATTTTTTCTGTTCCTTTGGCATCAATTTTATTTGATGACAACTTTTTAAGGAACACAAGAAGTTATTTTGTGAATGAAAGATTGATATGAATTTAAATTTGTTTATTTTAATAATTTATTTATTTTGAAAAGTAATTGATAGAATTTTTTTGATTTTAACAAATAATGATTAATTGTATTATAATTTAAATTTACATTAATATTTTGATATTTATTTTCTTCTTTATTGTATACTACAATCTATTTTCTTATTGTAGGATACAAAATATTAATATTCAATAACTTTTAAATAAGTATTAAATAAATAAATTAACTGTTAATGAGTGAAACAAGCTTAATAACTTATTCTGATAGAGAAATGGAGTCATCTCTTAAGGATTTATTAGAGAGGATTTTGATGTAATTGGAGAAATATATTGAGAATAAAAATGATTTACATGAAGTTGAATAAGAACTGAAAGATTATGAAAATTTGACTTAATTAGTAAATATCATAAAAATCATCTTTACTAATCTAATGTTAAAAATTGAAAGGAAAATCCAGTAAGCATTCAAAATATGAAAGGAAATTAGAAAACAGTATAGATCCAAATATGACATAAAAAAGTATAAGAACAGAAGATGAATATGAAAAATTAGAATAATCAGTTATTAAATATGAGAGTGAGATAAGGAATCATATTAGGGTATTTAATAAATATGATTTGAATTTAGTTAGAACAATAATTGAAATTATATACAGAATCAATTTAATAAAAATTAGATGATAGTGAAGCAACAAGAAATGAGTTATTAGAAACAACTAAAAATATTATGAATGTATATTGAATTTAGATAATAAAATATTAGAATTTGAAAAGAGAGAATCAAAAATATTATGAAATAAATTAATCTTTGTAAACTGAAATAGTATCTTATAAAGATAAGATAGAATTACTAGAGTTTGAACAATAAAAAAGAACAATTGAGCTTGATCATGTAGATTATGAAGTTCAGTAATTAACTAAAAATACTTAATAAATAAAAGGGTTAGTTTAAAGAAAGCCAAATAATAAAGAAATTAATAAAATGAATTCTTATTCAGAACATAAATTAAGCAGTTAACTCTAGGAAAGTACTGATTATCCTACTTAATCATAAGGATCATTGAAATAAAATTATCTCAATATTTTACAATATGGATAGAATAATCAAATCTAATCATTATAATAATCAATTAATCAATAATAAGATTAAATCAAAAACTATTATAAAAAGCATAATTCGATTTCTTCGATAAATGATTTAATACAATAATAAAATATGATTAAAAATATTAAGAAAAATATAGGAAATTATACAGTATCTAAAAACAATTCCTAAAATTAATCTATGTTATAAAAAAATATTCATTGTAATTATATAAATAATTATTTATAGAAAATATTTAAACATAACCTAGAAGTAGAAGTGGTAGTGCTAAAAGAAACTTCAATTAAAAATAGAAGACATCTATTCATTAATGATAATAGTTAAGGTGAATCATTGATTGATTAAAGCCTTAATAATAATTATTATTTATGCGCTCATAGAATTAAAACTAGTTACAATCATCCAAATTTTATTTAATCGATATTATTTAAATATTTTTTTTTATTCAATAATTAATATTCATAATATGATTAAAGCATTTGCTTAGAATTATTTCAAGTCCTTATAAGAGAGCATTTGCTATGGATTTGCAACAAAGATGCAAGCTAGTTCAACTTAAAAAACTAAAGATTCTGCAGGAAGAAGATTAGGAGTAAAGAAATTTGGAGGAGAAGAAGTCTTTCCAAATGATATATTAATAAGATAAAGAGGTTTTAGATGGAAACCAGGATAGAATACTTCAGTTGGAAAAGATCACACTATTCATTCTAAAGTTGAAGTATGGTGATTTTATCACTAATTATAAAGGGTATTGTACACTTTAGAAGAGATCCTTATAAGTTTAAGAAAATATTTTATGTTGATGTGATTCCTAGAGAGAATCCAAACAGAACTCATTATCCTCCACCACCATACAGTTATCATCCTGAATTGTTTCCTGAATTAGCTAAGAATAATCCTGAACCACTTGTTTTATTAAAAAAAAGTGAAGAAAAAGTGGAAGTATAAATCAAATTAGAAGGCTATAAAATATCCACAAAATAATATAAACCAATTGAAATTCCTATTGATTATAAACCAGAATTTTCACTTTCCACTTTGTAAAAATAGTTGAGTATTAATAAATAGTGAAAAATTTATAAATGTATATTAAAATATTCAAATAATATAAATATGATTAAACCTTTTAGAGGAACTGATGGAGCATAATATGCTCACAATTTTAAAAACACATATCTATCAGAAGCTGAACTTTAAAAGCCTTCTAAAGAGGTTAGTGAATAGATTGCAATTCACACTAAAAAATAATTAGATTAATTAGTGTTTTCTAAGTAATGTGCAACTATGGGATAATTGAGAGCATCAGATGGAGCTGCCTAATAATATATTAAATATACTCCAAAACAAGGTGATTAATAATAAACTGGTTAGGAGAGAATTGTAAAGTAGAAGCATTTATTTATTTTAAAGAGTTTAAGCCCAGTAATTGGATCCAATGGAACCTCCTCGTTTTAAACATAAAAGAATTCCTAAAGGTCCTGGATCACCTCCACCTATATAAATGAGATCACCACCAAGAAAATTAACTTTAAAAGATCAACAAGATTGGAAAATTCCTCCATGCATTTCTAATTGGAAGAATGCCAAAGGTTATACAATTCCATTAGAAATGAGATTATCTGCAGATGGTAGAACACTTTAACATGTATTTAATTATCATCTATTTTTAAAAGCATACAGTAAATGCCAAATTTGCTTAATTAACTGATGGTCTCTATATTGCAGAAAGATAATCTAGAAAAGAATTAGAAGAAAGAAATAAAATATTAAAATCTATGTAATACAAAGAATATTAAGAAAAAGAAGAAGAAAATAGATAAAAAGCTATGGAAGCTAGATAAAGAAAGAATCTACTTTTGGAATAAACAACTAAATAAGAAGATGTTCCTGAAAATTAATCATAACAAGATATATAAGCAAGAGAAGAATTAAGATATTTAAGAAAAAGAGAACTTGAAAGATAATTAAGATAGGAGAATTAAGGAAAGAAAAGCAAGCTTAATAGAGATAATGACAGAGACATTAGTGAAAAAATTGCCTTAGGTTAAGCATAACCTACAACTCAAAATACTTTATATGATCAAAGATTATTCAATTAAACTCAAGGAGTAAATCATGGATTTGGGGATGAAGATGAATATGAAGCATTTGACAAACCCTTATTCAATGACAAACCAAGAGCCAATCTATATACTGGTATTTAATAAGGTGAAGAAGATGATAAGTATTATTTTTAAATTATTTTTAGTAATAAGAATAAAAGAAATGTTCCAGTTTAATTTGAAAAAGCTGATAATATCTTTGGTATGGATTCATTCATTGCAGATCCTGTTGCTAAAAAAGTTAAGCTTGATTGATCAATCAAATATATATATTTTCATTTACATAATATTCTATTCATTAATTTATCTGTTAAATATAATATGTTTTAATATTCATAAGTAACATAAATCATAACATTAGAGAATACTCTAGCCAACCATAAGAGTTCCCTCATAAATTTAATAATCTATTATTATGCCACTTGAAAATCATCCTTAATTGCAATCCACTAGAAAAGTCTAACTTAATTTTCATCCAACTACTTTAAACACATCCCCTATCAAAATTGTGAATAATAATACTCCCCTCAGTCCTAATCTTATACTGTATTCTTAAAACCCTTTCTCTTTGACTCCTTTAAAAATACCATCTAATATACGTAAAAATTTGACTCCAACAAAAAATTTAAATGCAAAAATACCATAATAAAGAAACTTTACACCAACTGGAATTCTGAATAAAAAAGATCAAATTGATAAAAATACAAATAACCTCAAAAATAGAGTACAAACTGATTTTGGAAACCCTCCTACAATACAATAGTAAATAGAAAAAGAAGAAACAGATTTTTTTAATGATAAATAATAGAGTTATTACAATAATTTATAAGAATTATTGATTTAATCAGAATTTAAAATAAGTCAGTTGGAAGAAAAAAGTAGATAAATTCAAGATTAAAGAAAAAGGCTTCATTAGTAATTTTTATCTAAATCCCCTAAATTGGGATCATTATTATGAATACTTATTTTTCTTATTTTTATTAATTATAAATATAACTTAATTCTCTTAATTAAATAGTACAAAAAATTCTAATTAATTACTTATAATAAAATAAATGATTATAATTTTAGATAAATTTAAAATACATCAATAAATAAAAACTGAACATATAAATAGAGGAAACCAAGAATACATATGAAATGAAAAAATAAATAATCAAATTTTTAAATTGTCCTTCAACAATTTTGTATTATGATATAAGTATATTATTTAATATTTTAATATAAATCATTTTTTCTTTAAGAATTAATCTAATTGTTCAGCTTTTGTAAAATGATTTTATGCAGTTTATGTAAACACTGATCCATAAATCTCCTTTTATCCTGGGATTTAATACTAGGGATTCAAAGGATTTGTATATCGAACATTAGGTAATCCTTTTTTCAAAGAACCTGATTTTGCAGCTTACAAATCTGCAAGACTGTTAGTTTCACGATAATCTTTCCTGTCACCAGTCCTTAGGAATCGAGATGACAAAGATCCAGGTTAAGTGCCATCAATATCTTATATGAGTAGACTTTGCCTTTGTTCCTTCAAATAAAGTGGTTTACTTTGACTTCCTTCTATATTACCAATAATTATTTTATTTCTAAATTTATAAAAAATGATTACCCTTTTTCATCATAATGTTCATATGTAGGTTCAAGTGGATTTGAAATTCTGGTAGTTTTATGTAATAAATAATCGTTAATATCTTTAACATAAAGAGAGTCAATTTTATCTATTAACATTAAACTTAATCTTTACCTTTTGGTTGAAATCTTGGAATTTGATGAGATCCATAAATATCTTCATGTTCTGATTCTTTGATAATTAGTTTTTTATGTGTTTATTTAGGTTAAGCTCCTTGGATATCTTAAATGTTATGAGCATCTCTAATAAATTTAGGTGGATCTGGTTGAGAGGCCATAAAAGTTGGGAGCTTATATTATGGTTCGAGAGGATTAAGAGGATGACGTGATGTTTAAAATTTAACAATATTTGGCCTTGTGCCTTTGATGTCATCTAAAGCTAACTGTAGATCAGCTCTGTTGGAAGGACGTATATTTGACTTTGATCTTGCTCCTTCAATATCATCATTTTTGTTGATAAAATCTTATTTATGATAATAATTGCATTTTTTAGCAACTGATCCTTCAACATCATGATTATTAGATGTTTCTCTTGGGGTGAGGATTGGCTTTGAATTTTCTAATTAACTTGTTATAATAATATGAGTTACTGATTGTTTGCAAATTCATTAGATCAGTACGTTTAGGAAAAGGCCATTAGTAGGGATCATTACTCATTAAGATGTTATATAAAATAATAATTATTATATATATATATATATGATTATTAGACAACTAAGACTTTTCAATACTTTAATCAGGCCGATTTAATTTCGATTTATCTTTTAATAAAAGAATAAAATTTTTAAGATGTCTGATTAGCCAGTTCAACCTCCAGAGGAAGGTGCAGAAGGAGCATAAAAGTCAAAGAAATAATTACAAAGAGAAAAAAAGGAAGCAGAAAAAGCTTAAAAAAAATAAGAAATTCAAGAAGGTATTTATAAATTGATCTAAACATAGCTTAAAAACAATAACAATAATAATAGCAAATTTAAGAAGAAGATTATTGTGTTGGAAGGTATGGAGATTTGAATTTGATTCAATCACAAGAGAGAACAAATAGAAAATGGATCAAAGTTGGTGATGTTGATTAAACTTTGGTTAACTAAGTAATTTTGGTAAGGGCTAGAATTCATAATTCAAGAGTAAAGGGAAAGTTGGCCTTCTTGGTTTTAAGAGAGAATTATAATACAATTTAAGTAGTGGCTGAAAAGGGTGAGTTTGCAAGTGCTTAAATGTTAAAGTATATATCAGGTATACCCCTTGAATCTGTTGTTGATATTGAAGCACTTGTTAAATAACCAAATAAAGAGATATTATCTTGTACATAAAAAGTGGAATTGGAAATTAGATCAATTAAAGTAGTAAGTAGATCTTTACCTATGTTACCATTTTAAATTGAAGATGCTTCAAGAAGAATAACAGACTTTGAAGATGGAGTATAAGAAATGAAATAAGAAGAACCTTAAATAAAATAAGATAAATAAGAGAAATAAGATAAATAAGATAAAAATGAAAAATAATAAATATAAGTCATGTTAAAAACAAGATTAGATAATAGAGTTATAGACCTTAGAACTCCAGCTAAATAAGCAATTTTCAGAGTTTAATCAGGTATTGGATTATTATTCAGAGAATTTTTGGTAGAAAATGGATTTATTGAAATTCATACACCAAAATTGATTGGAGGTACTTCTGAAGGTGGTACTAATGTATTTAAATTGAAATATTTCAATTAAGATGCTTGTTTAGCATAATCTCCTTAATTATATAAATAAATGTGTTTGATGGCTGATTATGATAGAGTTTTTGAAGTAGCTCCTGTTTTTAGAGCTGAAAACTCTAATACACATAGACATCAATGTGAATTCATTAGTATGGATATTGAAATGGTTATTAAGGAACATTTTACTGAATTATTAGATTTAATGGGAGATTTATGTATATATATGTTTAAGGGAATTGAAAAGAGATACTAAAAGGAAATTGAAATAATTTCTTAATAATTCCCATTTGAACCATTCAAAATACCAGAACCAGTACTTAAATTAACTTTCGAAGAAGGTGTTAAGATGTTACATGAAGCAGGTGTTAATCAAGATCCTAATGATGATTTAGATACTACTAATGAAAAGACTCTTGGAAAGTTAGTTAGAGAAAAATATGGAACTGACTTTTACATTCTCCACAGATATCCAAAGAAAGCAAGACCATTTTATACTATGCCTTGTCATGATGATCCTAATTATACTTTATCCTATGACTTTTTCATGAGAGGAGAGGAAATCGTTTCAGGAGCATAAAGAGTGCATGATCCAGAACTCTTAATTAAACAAATTAAAGAGAAAGGTATTGCTGTTGAACCATTAAAGGATTATATTGATTCTTTCAGGTATATATTATAAAATAATGATTTTAGATATGGTGCTTTTCCACATGGAGGATGTGCCTTTGGATTAGAAAGAGTTGCATTCTTATATTTTAATCTTAAGAATATCAGAAATGCATGTATGTTTCCAAGAGATCCTGTTAGATTGTTCCCTTGATTTAATAATACATAAATAGAACAGTAAAAAAAATTCATCATAAATCTGGTTATACAACAAATTATGAAATTAATTCAAATCCTTATCTCATTCTTTAAATGTGATCTATTTAAATTTCTCTAACTGCACATTATAAGAAAGAAACATAAAGAAATCTTGAACAATAATCCTTTTAATCTTATTCATTTTTTGTGTGGAATAACAAAATTACAGTAGTCTTTTATGATTAAGCTCCTTATAATGATTCAAAATTATAATCAGTATAATGTTGTTCATGAGTCACTAATAAATTAGATTCTAAGTATTCACTATTAATATGGATAAATGATATACTGATCTATTTCTATAGGATCATCTGATATTACTAAATCAACAGAATTATTTTTGTACTATGATTAATATTCTCTAATAACTCCATATGCATTGTAATCTTGACCAAAAAAAGATCTAAAAGTTGAACTTTTGGCCTTAACTAAATGTTCAATATTTTATAAAGCCTCTTAAAATAAAAAGTTGTTGAATAATGAGAAATCATATAAAGTATGAGATCCTATTATAATAACGATCAATTATTTTTCTTGAGCTTAAGTGATAATATCATTTAATTTCATTTCATCCTCAAAATTGAAGATATCTTTATTAAAATAATAAACAAGAGGATAATTGTTATGATACATTAATGAAACAGTAGTAGCTGGATGAATGATCAAATAAGGTAAAACAAAATGAGTATTATTAGACTTTTAAACTGACATAAAAAGTGAAGAAGTATGATTATTACCTATACAAATAGGAATACTTTAATTTTTATTATCATCTGATAATAATAGATTACTTGAATCATGTTTTCCTTCACATTTTTAGATACATTTACCATAATTGTTTAAGTAGTACTCTTAATATTAATAAATGATACTTCATTTTAACATTTATAACAAGTTCCAATAATATGCATACACTCAGAACATCTATCTTCACATTTTTTACATTTCTTTTCATCTTTATTCATATAATAACCACTTTCACATAGTATTTCACCATATCTAGGATCTTTTTAAACTTCATTAACTATATCTACATTTTATGTTTCATTCTTATTTTTGTAATATTCTTTTATTTCTTTATTTAATTAATCTGTTTATTTTTATAATTCTAAAATTTATGGTTTTTTATTTATTTACCTTCAAAATCTATATTATTTTCTTCCTCTTAATTTTCTTACTTATCCTCTACTTTAGTTGTTTGATTCTATGTTTAATTAATATTTTCTGATTTTTTTTATGAATCATTTCTCATATTTATATCAATTAAATTATTATCTTCAAGTTAAATTTAATCTTCTTTAGATTCTATTATTTTATCATTGTGATCAGGAATAACTTTAAATTAAAACACGTATTACTTGTTTTATTTACTTTTGTGTAATTTTAAATTTTATTTTTGCCAATTTTATTTTATCCAGTGCCTGTTGAATTACTTTAACCAATATATATAAGAATTGCACCAAGAAATGTGACTATGACAATCCAGATTAAAAAGGATTTTTAACTAGGCCTAGGTTTTTCTTACCTTTTAAGTACAATATCTAATTCTCCATCATCATCTACTATGTCTAAGGGATGCTAATCGTTAGATATTGGCTTATAACTCATCCTAAAATTTATTAATTATAAATATAATTCAATAAATAATTTTTAATAACACTATTTTGGAATAATGTTATCTGAATATTATAATATAATATTACATTATAAATAAGAATCATGCAATAATTTTAAATATAAATTAAAACAATAATAGCAAATTAGTAGATGTATATGATGACTATTTTCAATTTAAAATATTCAAAATTTGTGAATCTTCTTTGTTATTTAAGTGTTTCCCTTCTTTTTATTTAATTTCTTTGTTTTTTAAAGATCAGAAAATCCATAAAATTCCAGATAATTGATTTCTCCTATTCTTATTTGTTTAAAGTCTGTTAAGTTCTTTAATTATGTATTTCTCTTTTCTCCACTTATTATTTAATTTATTTATTTGACACAATGTTTTTCATTAGGTATTACAGAAATCTATTATTATTTAGATAGTATCTCTAATCCTGGTTTATAACTTATAAATTTTTCATCACTGAAACAACATCTTTTTGTCATAAGTGGTTCATTTGATCCATCTTCACAATTTTCAAATTTGAGTCTTTTAGCTAACATAGATGTTATTTCTTCAACATCATATGTTTCAAAATTACTTTCAAAATAAAAATCATCTATTAATTATGATTCTGTCTATTATTTTCTTTTAGATGGTACTATTATTTTTCTTTACAACATGAAAATTTAATTTTTAAATATTTTTAATACAATAATTTCCATAAGTTTTATTAGATTACATATATTTTATTATAATCAATTTTATTTATTAAATTGTTAACCATTACCCATCCATTCATTTTATTAATATTTATATTACATTTAATTCTTTTAATTATAAACATTAATTAATATGATAATTGTCCTATTCTTATTAATTGAACTTCAAAAATGCAATAAAGAAATAAATCATGAAAATAGAGTAAATTTATTAATATAATAGTCAGTTGATAACCCTCATACAGCAATATTATATGGTAATTCAACCTTGGGTTATTATTATATGAATATATATGTTGGTGAGAATATGACAAAGCATAGTGTTATTGTAGACACTGGTAGCTAAACTACAACAATTAAATGTGATTAATGTCATTAATGTGGACAACATGAAAATCCTCCATATTAATTTAATTAGAATAATTACAATAGTACTGATTTAAGAATAGATTTTAATTGTTCCTCTTTTTAAAATAATAGATGCAATTTTGCTTCTTATTATGTAGAGGGGAGCTCAATAGGTGGATTTTATTTTAAAGACAAAGTTTTAATAGGAGATGGATTAATTTAATTAGATGATTAATATGTAAAATAAGAATCATTTGAATCAATTCTTGGATGTACTTAATTTGAGACTGGATAATTATATAATTAACTTGCAGATGGTATATTTGGACTTGCACCTATTTCTAATAATTCATAATTTCCTCCAAATTTGATAGATTATATAGCCAAAAAAGATAAAGCATTTTCAATAAAGAGAGGATTTTCTATTTGTTTAAATGATGATTATGGTTATATTAGTGTTGGTGGATATGATTAATTAAGATTAGATCCTGATTTTAAAATAAATAAGATTAAATTTAAACCTAGTTAATAATATTAAGTCAATTTAACTAAAATAGCTTTTGGGGATCAAATCTTTACTATTGATGATAGTATTAATACTTAAGGTTAGGGAATATTTATTGATTCAGGAGCTACTATTTCATATATGGATCAAAAGATATATAATTAATTAGTATAGAGTATTAAAGATCATTTTGAAATAAATTAAATTCCAATAAAATCTTTGATTTAATAATAGGTATGTTTTGAATTTATTTAAAATATTTCTAATTCAGATTATTATTAATATTTTCCAATAATGAAATTTGTTTTTGATGATGATATTGAAATTAATTGGAAACCATAAGAATATTTGAATATTTAGAATAAATAAGTTTGTATAGGAGTAGATAAATTATCAGATAGAGTTATTTTGGGATAAAATTGGATGAGAAAAAAAGATATTCTTTTTGATTTGGATTAATAAGAGATCTCTATTGTATCAGCAAATTGTACTTTGGATTATTTTAAATTGTAAGTCATAAATACTTCTGATAATTAAACAGATAAATAAAATCAATAAGTTTTATAAAATATCAGATTGCCAAGTGTATTGAAATCTAATATAAAAGAAAGAGATGATGAAAATAAAGATTAAGATAATGAAATTGTAAAGAAAGTGAATGAGGATATATCTAAATAGGATGTTGTAAAAAATGAAGAAGATGAACATTCATGGTTAGAAATATTCTTTTACATTTTCATAGTTGTTATTACATTAAAAGGTTTAATATTTTTAGGATTATATATTATGAAGAGATTAGGAGGGTATATCTATATTTATTATAAATTTATTTAGTAATTTTTATACTTATCAATAAAAACATGAGAGATTTTAGAAATTAAATAACTAAATTCATATAGATGATGAAGATGAAAAAGATTCTAGAGAACATAAAATTGAGTTAGTTATACAATAAAGTGATATAATTGCTTGAGTTATTTATCTATAAAAATATTTAATATAATTAATTTGTAATTTACAATGATACCAAATACCAAAAGAGATTTAGTTGCTATAGAATATTTATAACAAAATGTTTATCCTGGATTATAACCAGCATTAATGAAAGTATTTAGAATAATTAAATTAGTTAATTGATCATGTTGTTAAATCAGATGAAGTTAGAAAACATTAAGAAAGACTTAAAAAAATAAAAATATTTGATAAAATTGAATAAAAAAGAGTTGAAAAAGAGAGACTTAGAGCTGAATTAGGATCTGAGTATGAATCTTCAGAAGGATCAGTTGATTTAGATGAAATGGGAATTAATTAATCAGAGTTTCATAAATATATGGGTAAAGATCAAAAAGAGATTCAATCACCATTGCCAATGGATGAATAAGCTTAATAAGGAGGAGCAGAAGAATAAACTTCTTAGGATATAAAAAAAGACACTTTATTATCATTAGGAGAAATAAGAGAAGATTAAGAGGATGAAGATTAAGCAGATAAACATGAATTAGAAAAAATGAAATAATTTCTTAGATAATAAAGAGAAGAAATGTCATTTAATCCTTTGCTATTCCTAGCTCAATAGATTAGAGATATTATAGCTGCAAACAATTGAGTAATTTAGATATATAAAATGTTTTTTAATTATGATTAAACATTATAAAACAAAGATTTTTATGGATTTTATATTATAATTTTTATGACAGAAAAGAAAACTACAGCTGATTATAATCGTTTACAGAACAGAAATAATCAATTTAAAAAATGTTCTGATTGTCTCAATAATACTATATCTAAAAATCCTATTGCAAACATCTTTTTAAAAATGGAATAAGCGTAATCCTATTATTCATTAATAGATTATGTTCCAGTTGTATTAATACAAATCTCTATGTAATACCTAAAACATAAGAATTTTCAGATGCAATCACATTTCCATTTACTATCTATAAAAAAATATTGTGCAAAATACATAAACATGAATAAAGATTGAAATGTTAAGAATGCTCTATTTATTTGAATGAAAAAAATTATGCCAAATGTCCTTTCTGTGAATTTAGTATATTCAGAAGAAATTTGAAAAAATGGAGTATGTAATTTTTCTTGTATTATATATAATATAGTTTATACCCAATTCATAAATGTGAAGTTTGTAATCATTATTAATGTCTAAAATGCTAGTCAATTCCTGGAATTATGGGAAATGATGCTATTGAATGTTACACTTGTTCAGAAAGAAAATAAGATTAATATTTCCACATAAAACATGCAATCAAATAAATGAATACTTTTAAAGGAATACAATTTTTAATCACCATATTTTGTGTTGCTATATTTACTCCTATTTAAATTATGGGCAAAACTACTTCTATCACAAAGTAAATCATAGATTGGTAACCCTTATAATAAGTCACTCCAAGATAATACTTATTTAAATTAGTATATACCCTTATAATAGGACCATTCTTATGGTTATGGATATATCTAAGATACTTTTTTATTTTGTATTGGGAAAGCTATTCCGACAACGTTCGCCTGTTATATCGGTAAATGATCCCTTAACCTTGATAGCTATATTGATATACATTATTTAGATATTATAACATCAATAAAATTCTGAATAATTAGAAAAGACATCACTCTCTTTCTCAACAGATTCATCAATAGATTTTTCATTCTACTTTTCCTTATTGGCAGCATTCTCATCAAAACTAAAAACTTTCACTTTTTTTCTAAACTTTGAAAATAATTCTTCATTCACAAAATTCTCATATTAATATTATTTTTACTTTTCTAACTTCAATTAAATATTTAAAATATTTATGATTCCTTTCCTTTCTAAGTGCTCTAACTTCTGATATTGTAAATTTTCTCTCTTTTTAAAATTGTAAATCCTCTAATTTTAAAAATACTTCATCTTCAGAAGACTTTAATTACTAAATTCTTTTATATTAATTATAAATTGCATCCAGTTGACTGCTTTTAGGATAATGCTTATTTAATTATATAATTAATTACTTTTAGTTTAACCATTTTTAAATCTTCCTCAGGATCTAATATAACATATAATTAATACTTATTGTAAAAAAGTGTTACTTTCTTATATCTCTATCCAAATTTGCTTGTTTAGCAGCATTAACTTGATTTTAATTTAATTCTTCTCCATCAACAATTTCATCTTGAATATTTTTCTATTAATTATCTTCTTAATCATCCGAAACACTATTACTACCACTTTCAGACATAAATTTTAATATTATAAAATTTTATAGAATTCTTTGATTATAATTATTATTATAGCTAAAGAAATTATTAAACAAAAAACAGCCACTTTTTTTTTAATAGTTATAAATAGAATCAGATTTTTTTGGAAATGGAACAGAAATATAATTTTTATAAGGATTAAAAAAGTTAGATTTTCTTGAATTGATTTTTATTCTAACTTTAATTAGAAATTTTAATTCATTTATTACTTATCAATATTCTAAATAGGAAATTATGATATTATTATATATTAAGAGATATAACTATAAGATATTTAGCATCAATAACAATTCGATTTAGAAAAAAGATTGAAAAATTCATAAGCAGATTAAAAAGGGATATTGTATAAATTATTTATATTTGTACTATTTAAAAAAAATGAAAAAAAAGTATTTTCATTAGCATAAAAGAATAAATTCAAAATTCTATCTTTAATATTGATTTCTAAAAATATTAAAAAACTTAATAGAAAAAGGGATAAAATATTATTATATAATATAAACAAAATGATAGCAAATAGCTTAACCAAATATCATGTTAAATATGAGGATGGTACTATTAAAGAAATAGAATGCGAACCTACTTAAATAAAAAAAGTTATAAGTAAATCATATCATGTGCCATATGAGAACATTATATTAATTAATACACATAATAATAGATTATATTCAGCATCTAATAGTTTTATTCAATTTCAAAATAAAAGTATTGATTTGAATGTTTTGGACATTAATTAGATTTTAAAAGAAAACATGAATTCTAAAAAGAAAATTATTGAACTATAAAATAATGAAAATGATTTATAAAATGAAATAGTTTAATTAAAGGAAACAAGTAGAGAAATGATCACTTAAATTTAGAAAAATAAAGATGATAATAAATATATTATTTAATAAAAAGATTAGAATTTTCAATAATTTTAGAGGATGGAACAATAACACAAAGAAAAATTGACTGCTTAATTATAATTGTATGAATAAAAGATAGCATAAATTAATAGAAATAAAGAATAATTATAATAAGAGAATGAGAATCTATAGAGAAAACTATAAGAGTAAATATAGATTGCATAAAAATAAGAAAGAAACTTTATAAATGAGAAGTTTTTTTTATAATAAAAAGGGGATAATGAATTAAATTTCAATCACTAAATTTATGAGTCTTAGATACTTGCACTTTAAGTAGATATAACAAATATGAAACACTAAATAAATAAATAAAATAATTTGATATAACAATAAAAAGATGAAATTGAAGATATAACAGCATTTTATAAACAATAAATGTAGGATTTAGAAACAGAATAAAAAAATTTGGAAAATAATTACAAATAAAAAATATAAAAATTGGAAAAAGGAATAAATGAAATTAATTCAAGTATAAATTTATCTGATAACAATTTAAATTTCCATATTAAAAATATTTGTAATACAGCAATTCAAGAAATAGAATATATAAAAAAAGAAATGGATAATGAAGAGAAAAATCGTAATATTGAAATTTAAAAGAAATTGAAGTAAGAAAATAATGATTTATAACTAAAGATTTAAAAGTTATAATAATAAATAAAAAATATTTCATCTTAATTAAAAATAGCAGAAACTGATTTAGATTATTAATATAAAAAATATTAAGAAGAAATTGATATACTGAATGTTTAATTAAATAAAGCAAAAAAGGATTTAGATGATAAATAGGATGAAGTCAATTAATATATATTAACTAATAATCAATTATAATCTGAAAAAAATGAATTAGATTAGTATAATTAAGAATATGAACATCGTATACAATAATTAGAATAGGCCAAAACTAAATTGGAAAATAATATAAATGAATTAGAAGAAAAATATAGATTTAAACACAATTAACATTTATAATCAGAATAAACAATAATTACAAAAAATGGTGAGATTACTATGTTGGAATCTGTTATTGAAAAATAAAAATAATAAATAAATAAAATGATTTAAAAAATTGGTAGACTTACAGAGATGCTAAAATAGATTAGTAATAAAAATTTAGGAAAAGGATTAGAGAAAGTTATATCTCCAGTAGGATAACTATTAAATTCAAGATATGGAGTTCAAAAATTTAAGGATAATCCAAATTGTTAGAGTGATGAAACTGATTATTTGGTTTATAGAATCAAACCATCAAAAAACTTTATATAATCGATAAGAAAAGGATAATTTATAAATTTGTAATAGTTTTTAGATTTAGAACCCATAGGTGAGATAAAATCATCAAGAAGTATACAACCAAATGAAGAAGGAGATTTAATGAAGGTTTATATTATAAAAGTAGAAGATACATAAATTAAAGAATTAAGAAATCGATATTTAATAAGAAAAGATTTATAAAAAGGCTAAAATTATGATAATAAAATAGATGCTGCAGCACTTAGTTTAAATAATATACTTACATAAGTATTTATGGATTAATTTGTAAAAGATTTGTCTGAATTATCAATAAGAGTATTATAGTTTTCTATTGCTCCTTAATATGTAATCTAATAAAAAGGTAATTAATTAGTTAATATTTAGGAAAGGAATTATATTATTATTGTGAAGAAATAATTGAAAATAATATCAAATAAATAAATGGAGGAGAATAAGATCTTGGAAGTAGTTAAGATGAACAATTTTTAAACTCTTTTTCTAAATATTCACATAAATTGAGTCAATCGGAATTAGTTATTAGTTATATAAATACTGTATAGGAATATATGTATGATATGATTGTTACAACTGAATTTGGTTGTTTTTCTGAAATTGATTAAGGAAAAGATGAATATATTAGGGCTGTAGATGCTATGGAATCAGCATAAGCAATTAATTTTGGAGAGTTCTATAATTAAAAATTGGAATTGAAAGCTTTAGAATTTATTTAATGATTAGAAAGATTTTTACATAAAATAATTCCAATATCGTTTTTATTATTTATTATAATTTAAAAATGAAGGTTTGTGTTTTCATTTTGATTATTGGATTAGTTCTTTGTAACTAACTTAATGGATAGAATAATCTTAGATAAGATTATTAGTTTGCACCATGGAGTTTGGATTGTACAAATAGATGTTAAAGTGCTGGAGGAGTTGTTTGTGGTTATGAAACATAAGTTTGTTGCAAATCAGTATAAAGATGAAAATATTCTGATAGGGTAGATGTTAAAAAGGTTGGAAATCTGAATCATGTGGTACATGGGATAGAATTCATGTTTTAAATTGTGTTCCAGGACCTAGTAGCAAATGATATATAAAATAATTATTAATATCAACTATTTTATATTTATATTTCAAAGTTTTGCTAATTATAACAAACTTGTTAATGGTAATTCATCCTTAAATTCTGCATCAGTTTTATATAAGGAAATAATTATTTAACAAACAAGTTACACATTCTTTGTTTAAACTTAATCTATAGTGTCTAAGATCAATTATTCTAAATATTTCACTAATCTTTAAGATAATTTATATTTTAATGCTCTTTCACTTTTGAATGTATGAAACTTTCTTTTTTAAAGTATTCTTTTGATATATAATTAATCAATTTTCTTTTCTAATGATGAATTTTTTGGTAAGAATTCTTTTAAATTATTGATTGTTGTTAAAGTTAAATCTAAAAAACATTTACTTAGCTTTTCAATATTTAATTTAGTTTGCAGATCTTCAAATAATTCATAATTTAAGACTAATCTATTAATTGTATTGATTTATAGATGATTTTAATGTTTTATTATTTAATAATTTGTGACTTAATTCCAATCACATCTATCTTATTCATCATATTATAACATATGTCTAATTAAACTTTATAATTCCTCAGAAACTTTATTTTTAAATTAGATATTATTTTTTATTTTTTCTTATGCCTTCTGCAAATCTTCTAGACTATTCAATGCCATTCTCCAAGGATATATTCCTTCAACTAATTAAAATAGGATTATTCCTATGCCCCATACATCATTTTTTTCTAAATCATACTTTTCGAATCTTAGATTTTGAGGTGACATATATATTGGAGAACCTTTGTAATGTGTAATAGTTTATTTATCCATAAATCTTGACATTCCAAAGTCTATTAATTTAGGAATATCATTTTAAAACATAATATTATCTGGTTTGATATCTCTATGGACTGCTCCTACTTTACCATCATAACTTAATTCTTTCATATAGATTAGTGCATCTATTATTTATTATATTATATTAATTGCTTAAACTAAAACTATTATTATTTCTTACCCTCTGAAAATATTTTGGTACTCATCAGGGAATCTTCATAACCTAAACTCATTCTTTCAGCTAAAGATCCTCCATTACAATATTCCATAAACATATAAAAATTATTGTCACTTCTCGAACATTCATAAAATTTCACTATATTTTTATGAACCAATTATCTTCCAAATATTAACTCTTAATGTAATTTTTCATACATCTATTTCTACAAACTTATATGATTAAAATTACATCATATGTTGGTATGGAAAACTTCTTTACACAACATTCTATCTATTTATCTGTGTTATATCCAATATAACCTTTAAATATCTCTCCATTGTTTCCAGCATCTTCTCCCACTTTTTTATTGGGGATATAGACTAAACCTTTTTCAAGATTCAAATATACGATATTGTTGATAGCAACTGTTTTAAATAATCCTTAATCTTTGTTTTACATTTTTATTATTATATTATTTTATAAAATCGTCTTTAAAATAAAAAATATAGAACTAAATTCTATTATAATTTATTAAATCATTCAACTCCATTTTATACCAAGTGCCTTCAAATAGTCTATTCCTTTGTTAACATTTGGTTCAGATAAAAACTTAGATTCTACTGTTCTTATTTCATTAAATCCTTAATCCAATTTATCCAAAAAGCCATCATAAGTTGAAACCAATGGATCATACAATTAATTTTTTACTCCTTACAAATGAGATATACAAAGCTATCTTTAACTCTTAATAATTGAATAATAAGTAAATGCAGATAAAAACTTACCTTAAGGACTTGTATCAAATTTCATATGTCCTCCATTATACTTTTAGAAATCAGGTAATATTTCAATTTGTTAAATAGCATAAAACTATATAATTATATATATATTACAAGCTTTTATGGCATTTCTTTAAGATTTCCTCCAATATAATCTATAAAATGATTAAGCTCTTTTCTAATGTTTTCAGGTTTAAATTTATTATAAATATCCAAAAGTTTCTTCTCTTTATGAACCTCCAAAAATGATAACATAATATTTCCATCTTTAGGTTGTTTCTTATCCAATTAATATTCTCTAGTATAATCATAAAATTCATTTGATTATTCACCACTCAAAGCTTCAATAAATTCTACATAATTTTTAATGCCTTCATTTTAAAGCACAAGTTATTATCCTTTTATTTATTCTGATAAATATTGTTTAAAATCCTTTTTTGTTTCAATAATATATTAATCTCTAAATTAGAAGTCAAATTCATTTTTAATATTTTTTTCATTTAATTCTTAAGTGAATTTTTTCATAAAATCTTAAGCAATAACTGTAGATAAACAATTGTCAATAGCTGTTTCTCTTGTTTCTAATTCTTCATTATCTTATTTTTTGCATTATTTTATTCCAAAAATTTTGCCTTCAAGTTGCTTTTTTGAAGGGCATTTAACACATTTAAAAAGAAAATATCGATCTAAAGATTAATCACTTGAATTAACAGGAACAAAGCATTAAATACCAGTAATATCTCCAATATTGTTAATAGTAACACATTATCTGTAATCTTAATCACTAATATTATATAGAGTTGCTTCTGCCTTGGGTTTATGTAATAGAACTTGACTCAATTTAAAATCTAATTATTAACATTTTGCTTAATTATCCTTTAAAAATGTTTCTGGGTTTACCTTATCTAACATCATGGACTCAATTGCAAATTCAATATCTTTAAAATACTCTCTTGGTACTTATTCAACCAATCTTTATATTCTAAATTAATAAGTAGGCACAATTGCTAAATTTTATATTGCAACAAGTTCTTAATCTTTCTTAAAAATTATAGTATCACAATCACTAATTTATTTTAAAAGACTTTATCTTTATTTTACTGCTTCTTCTTCAATTACTTTTTTATCATTCATTACTTTTGTCAATTCTTCTTTCAATCTTGAAATCTCTTTTTCTGAATTTTCTAATTTCTTTTGTGATTATTTACTATCTTCATCTTATTTGTTTATTAATTCTTTAAATTCTTCCTCTTTAGCTTTTAATAATTATGAAATTTCTATATTTAATTTTTCAATTTTTTCTTATTTTTTATTCAAATCTTATCTTAATTCATCCTAAATTGTTTTCAATTATTTTTCTAAATCATTAACCTTATAAGTCAAATCACTATTTTAATTTTAACAATTATTTAAATTTTTCTATAAATCTTGTATCTTTTTTTCAAGCCCTTCTTTTTCTTCAGTTAATTTTTCATTTTATTATAATTCTTATTAAATTTATTTTTATAATTTTTATATCTCTTCTGCTTTAACTTATCCATTATTTTGCTATGCTTAACCTGCCTTCTCTAATTCTTCAGCCATCTAATTGTTTTTATTTATTTAAGTTGTCAGCTTTTGAGTAGCATGTGATATTTACAATTTTAAATCAAGAATCTCTTATGATTTTTAATCTATTTGTGTTTTTTAATATTTTAATTCTTCTTGTTATGTATTTTCTAATTCCCTAAATTCCCTCTTTAACTTAGTTATTTATGATTCTAATTTTAATTTATCATCTGACAATTATTATATTTCTTCCTTACTATTTTTATCCAATTAATCAAATTTATTTTTTAATCTCTTTACTTCTCTCTCATAATCTTAAATTTGTCTTCCTAAATCTTATTATCCTTATTCAATTTATTTTTTTTCATAATCTAATTATCCCGCATATTATTTCCATTACTCTAGAGCTGTAGTTACCTATTAATATTGAGAAATGAAATTTTCTTGCATTGAAAAAAAATTCTATTTTTCTTACTAAGATGATTTCATTAAATCTTAGATTTCATTTACTTACTTCATACACTAAGCTGTTAATACTTGATTTTCTGTAGACTTTTATTATAATTATTTTTCAAACTCTTATTTCCATACTTCTTGCTTAGAATTTACATTCTATAAATCATATCTTGCACTTTCTAAATCTTTTTATTAATCCTTTATTTTATTTTATGCCTCTAATAGTTTTGGTTCAATTTCTTTTATTTTTTAATTAAGTTCATTAATTTTAGTTTCATATTGATTTTTATTTTCTTATTATATCTTTATTATTTCTTAAGCTGATTTACTTTTAATATCATTTATTTCATCTTTCAATTTTGTATTTTCTTTTTTGAATTTCTCATTATCTCCATTTAATTATTCTATTTATTACTCCTTAGTTTATAATAAAACCACTGCTTAAGCCATGTTAAACAATTTATAAGTAGTATTTGATTCCAATCTATTATATTTAATAAAAAGTTTACTTATCATTGAATTTGCTAATGAGTTTATTTTACTTTATATCATATACGGCAATAAACTCCTCAGGGCAATTTTATGCAAATTCTAAATTAAAAGTATAATTCTACATTTTGAAATGCTTCTATAAAAAATTTTATCATTATTTTGAATTTTTATTTCCATAGGGTTTCCATTTATTGACAAAAACCTTATCACTTGATCCTAAGACATTATTTTAATTATTTATTTATTTTTTGTTCAATAAATATAAATATTATTTTCCAAATTCTATTATCGAAATAATTTGATTAGGAACATTTAATATATTTCTATACATTTTTGCTTAATTTTTTGGATTCAATAATGAAAATTGTTTTTATTTAAAAAGTCAAGAATAAGATTGATTTTATAGAATTTAAATATAATTCTTCTATTTTTTAGTTTATACTTTTATAAAATAATTAACAAATAATTTATATTATATTTTTTTCTTTTATATATCAGAATGATCTAAAATTTTTATCAATTTTAATGCAGGCATCTTCTAATAATTTCAACAATGCTTCTGTTGTAGCTTCTCTTTCTCTTCTCTCAAAGCTGATATCTTATTGTAGTTTTCCATGAACATCCTCAATCATTCTAAATATTTTTCCTTAAGTTTCTTCTCTAACCTTCTTCTCAATAAGTAATTAATCTGAAAATTTATTAATTTCACTATCTATTTATTCAGTTAAAGATTCTGCTGCTTCTTCTCTATAGATTTTATAAAAATCAGTACCTTGATCTTCTTTCTTAATCTAATTAATTTTTGACTAATTAGACTTACTATAGAACTTCAGCAATTTTAGCTTGACTTCTATCTTCATATTAATGAGTGTTTCTAGTGATAGTTAGTGTAATTTAAGCAAATCTTTCATCAATTTATTTTTAGAGCTTAGTTTCTGCCTAACCTCTAGAATTTCTTTCTTAATCAAAAGATAAAGCAACATTATCTGAAAGTGTTCTAAAATCTTTTTCTTTTTTATCATCAAATGCCTAATTAAATTAAAATATATACTTCTCTTTCTGATTTTTAGTTGTGTGCTTAATCTTATAATTTTAAGACTTAATCCTTCAAGACCTTAAATCTTTGTTCATCTTTTGGCTTCTCAGAGGCTAAAACATCTTCAATTATTTTGATTCTCTCTTCTAATACTTCCCTTTTTTCTAGTTTATCTTTGTCAATTCCATTCTGAATATGATTCCATTTATCAGATAGTAATTTGATTCTCTACCTGGCTGGAGAATCCAAATCTTAACTGAGATAATTAATTGTAGATCTTTTAGGACTAGACAATTAGGAGGAAGAGAGTTTGGATGTTGCAAGCTTGGATGTAGATAGGAGCATAGGTATTGATGATATTTTGTAAAAATAAATTTATTTACGATTTATTTATCATTAATAACAATAGTATATCAATATGATTTATTCTAGGACTTAGTTTATCAAACTCTATTTAAAAGTAATAATTTATTCAATATTTATAAGAAATGAATGAAAAGACTATAATCAATAAGATAAACTAATATATAATTTATTCACTTGATTTTTAGAATCCAAGTACCGCTGTATGTTAAATCATTTTCAAATCCATCATAATGCCATTATCCACTAAAAGCCTTTACTTCTTCATCGAATTCACCCTAGTAGATTAGATGTTCCCATAATCCTGATTATCTTGCTTCTTGTTATTCTTCATAATCTTTTATAAACCAAATTTTAAGTTAATTGTTAAAATCAATAATAGTAACTCCATTGCCACTCCATGTACCATATTTATCATTTCCTAAAAGAGAAATTGCAATATATTATTCTTTTTCATTAATTTTACACATTATTTATACATCCTCTTCTTTGTGAAGCTTCCCATTTTAAGTAAAGATCAATTCATTTTTGGATTAGTTTAACATTTTAGCCACCTTCCTGAATTAATTCAACAAAACATTACTGTTTTTAATTAAGATGGCATTATTTAAAAATTACTCCATCATAATTGTCCTTTTATTTAAGACACAGTGAAACAATCTTAAGACTTACTTACGTTTCCAAATAATAAATAAGATTAACATCAATCCTAAAACAATAAAAGTAATGCTAATTATTTGTATTATTGGTTATTCTTTCTCAATTTTACAGTCATTATAACATCGATCATAGTCATCATTATTTTTACATTAATCTTTGCAACTCTTCCCTTTTGAAGAATCATCGAAAACATTTTGAGATTTTGACATATTGACTTCACTTCCAAATACGAATGGAAGTAGTGAAAAGTAAAGAACACATTTTATATAATCAAATTAAGACATAATTTAAATAAAGAAGGAGCAACTTACAGTAAATTCATAACATCATCATATTGAACAATTAGAACTTTCATACATTCAGCTTCTTAATTAATAACTTTAACATTATCACTGCTAAAATATGAAAAGCTATAGCCACTCCAAATAATACAATAATGCTGTTCCATAATCCAAAGTCTCTACCATAATATTCCATAGGACTAATCGTTACAAGAGAAAAGGAAGCATCTTTTTAAATGATTGTATTGAATTCTACATCTTCAAGCTGAGTTCTTCCAAAAGCTTCTAAAAAATATTTGAATGGCTTAAGTATTTATTAATATAAATACTGAAACATATTAGAACCAACTAATCCATTTAGGAATTGATTTTAGATTTACTAATTGTCCACCAAATAGTTGAATTGGTAACATTATAACTGGTCCTAATTGAGCAGCTCTCTTTGGATCAGGAAATAGACATCCTGTAAAACTTAATAAGTTAAACAAATTGAATACATTCCTATTCCATTTCCACTTAATGATACAGCTATAGTTATTAATATAAATTAGATCACTTTTGCAACTTCCCAAATGAATCCAAATGCCCAATATAGAATCAGGGCCAATATTATAGAAACTGAAATATTAGATGGAATTTCTACTAAGATTTTTGTTATGAAATAGGGAAATATTTTATATAATTTTGTATTTTCCTCCTTCAAAAAGATATCTCTTTCAACAGGAACTAAAATAAATAATAAATTTACATAACATCATCATTGGATGCAAAGCTGAAAAGAATGCTCCTGTTCCTCCCATAAAACATGCTCCATTCATATTCTATAAAAATTTAGTAACATCTGAATATTTAGATAATTCAGGTGATTGATTTGGCATTTCATCACCAACATTCCAATAAAGACTCCCAATAAATATAGATAAAATAAAAGCTGCTATTAATTTTGCTCTTAATAGAGTTGGTGATCTCCAAAAATGAGTTTTTGCTCTCCAAAACAACATTTTAAACTCTTAAACAAAAGTACTCTAAGTTTTTCTTTTGATAATTCCATTTTATTAAGTTGTGAAACTAGTCACTGCTAATTCTAAATATCTTGAATAATTCTCATAAGTTACTAATGATTATTAATTATTATATATGGGATTTAGATTATTCATAATAGTATCCAAAGGATTTGAATATGCTTATACTTACAATCCAATCTACTCACAATATCCAATTATTTAATCAGCATTGCCTTAATAAACATTTTATCCATTATTCATAATTATCACTCGATTAAAAAGTGATGAGATATCAAAACTTGGTTAATGTATAGTGAAAAGAATAGTCCTTTAATACTTTANATACATTCAGCTTCTTAATTAATAACTTTAACATTATCACTGCTAAAATATGAAAAGCTATAGCCACTCCAAATAATACAATAATGCTGTTCCATAATCCAAAGTCTCTACCATAATATTCCATAGGACTAATCGTTACAAGAGAAAAGGAAGCATCTTTTTAAATGATTGTATTGAATTCTACATCTTCAAGCTGAGTTCTTCCAAAAGCTTCTAAAAAATATTTGAATGGCTTAAGTATTTATTAATATAAATACTGAAACATATTAGAACCAACTAATCCATTTAGGAATTGATTTTAGATTTACTAATTGTCCACCAAATAGTTGAATTGGTAACATTATAACTGGTCCTAATTGAGCAGCTCTCTTTGGATCAGGAAATAGACATCCTGTAAAACTTAATAAGTTAAACAAATTGAATACATTCCTATTCCATTTCCACTTAATGATACAGCTATAGTTATTAATATAAATTAGATCACTTTTGCAACTTCCCAAATGAATCCAAATGCCCAATATAGAATCAGGGCCAATATTATAGAAACTGAAATATTAGATGGAATTTCTACTAAGATTTTTGTTATGAAATAGGGAAATATTTTATATAATTTTGTATTTTCCTCCTTCAAAAAGATATCTCTTTCAACAGGAACTAAAATAAATAATAAATTTACATAACATCATCATTGGATGCAAAGCTGAAAAGAATGCTCCTGTTCCTCCCATAAAACATGCTCCATTCATATTCTATAAAAATTTAGTAACATCTGAATATTTAGATAATTCAGGTGATTGATTTGGCATTTCATCACCAACATTCCAATAAAGACTCCCAATAAATATAGATAAAATAAAAGCTGCTATTAATTTTGCTCTTAATAGAGTTGGTGATCTCCAAAAATGAGTTTTTGCTCTCCAAAACAACATTTTAAACTCTTAAACAAAAGTACTCTAAGTTTTTCTTTTGATAATTCCATTTTATTAAGTTGTGAAACTAGTCACTGCTAATTCTAAATATCTTGAATAATTCTCATAAGTTACTAATGATTATTAATTATTATATATGGGATTTAGATTATTCATAATAGTATCCAAAGGATTTGAATATGCTTATACTTACAATCCAATCTACTCACAATATCCAATTATTTAATCAGCATTGCCTTAATAAACATTTTATCCATTATTCATAATTATCACTCGATTAAAAAGTGATGAGATATCAAAACTTGGTTAATGTATAGTGAAAAGAATAGTCCTTTAATACTTTAATGCAATTTTCTTTAAGATATTCATACAAATAAATGCTGTATATGAATCTAATCCTGATGTAGGTTCATCTAAAATAATAACTGGAGGATCACACACTAATTCAACACCTATAGCTGTTCGTTTCTTCTCTCCTCCAGATATCCCTTTTAGCATTCTATCCCCTACATAAGTATCCTAACATAAATGTAAATTAAGATCTTTAATAAGTTCATTTACTCTAATTATCTTATCCATTTGTGAGCCTTTCAATCTTAAAGAAGCTGAAAATAATAATGTTTCTTTGACTGTAAGTGTTGCCATCAATAAATCATCTTGCATTACAAAAGCTCCAAAGTCAGTAAACTTATCATATTCTTCATTGTTTGCTAAAAATGTTCCACTAACACTTATATTATTATTTCTTTTATATCTTTGACTTAATAATGCAACTAAGGTTGTTTTTCCTGCTCCTGATGGACCAAGAATTGCTGTCAGTTAACCTCTTAAAGCATATCCTGTAACGTTTTACAAAATATACTTTTTATTTGAGTCCTAATCAAGAAGATACTCAGAATATCCAACCTAAGTTTTTTTCTTAATTTCTTAACTCTATTTTATAGTTCTATATTTTATACCAAAGTCACAGTTACATTATTCCATTTTAAATCTATCACTTATGTATTAGAAACACTTTCAGATCTTATTGGAAGACTTATTTAGCATTCTTTTTAATTTTTAACTTTCATATATATTTTAAACTTAATTTAATATTACATCACAAATATATACCATTAATTTATTAATTATTTTAATCGATCCTCTATAAGTCTAAAATAATATATAGTACAAATCTAATACATTACATCTCTTCAAAATTTAATAATTGAAAATTACTGAAGAAACCTAATATAATTAAAAAATATATATCTAATATCAATATATCCATTTTGTTAGACTAAATGATATATTTAATTGATAGAATATAGTAATATATTTTATATATATTTTGAAACTCACTAATAACAAGAATCTTATACATCAATATTATTTAATTAACAAAATTTACAAAAAATGATAATAAAATAAATGAATATAACTTTGATATTGTGAGACTGATTTGATTTCTTAACTAATAAGAAAACATTAATCATAAATAATACTTAACTTGTATAAACTATTATTATTTGATCAAGTAAATATTATTTGATTTAGTATTATGATGACTGATCAATAAAAAATGAAGAATCAAGCTAAAAGATATTAACTTTGTAAGACTTCAATTTAAACGTTTCATATCTAACTACTGAAACAAATATTAATTTAATGACTTTTTATAATATAACCAGATGATTTGAAAAATAAATATAAAGAACATTCCAGTTATTATTAACTTTGATATAATTATTATAAAGGGATAGAAGGAAGGATCATAAAAATTTATTTATCTTATAGATATCTTAATAATTGAAAATTCATTTTAAAAATTATATATATTTAGAGATAGTTTGATTATTAAAAACTTTAAAATTGTTAGAATTTAATGGAAAATATATCTTTCATATAATAGAAATAAATACTCTACTCAAAAATAATAATTATTCTATTGTGAATAAGATACCTATTAATAGAGTTTCTATTTAATTGTTAAAGTCTTTTGATAGAATATAATGTAGTAATTAGATTTACACTTTAGTTGATATATCATTTTCTAATCTAATTCTAAAATAATAGGGATTAATGTATGTTGATTGAGGATAACTTGATTTCTAAATAAAACAAAGAGATAATTATTAACAAATAAATGTATATTAGGAAGTTTGGTTGATAATAGTTTTGTTTAGAGATCATAAAAATAAAGATTTTGATTAATTATTTTCTAAGTCTATAAGAATAATTCATATATGAAGTGATGAATGTATAGTTTTATTTAAATGCTTATAAAGATGAATTATAAAATTAATAAGAGATATGGATAATTTAGAATTTAATTGGATGGATTGATATCTTTGAAATGAGATTTGATATGAAAACTAATTTTTATGTTCACATTATTAGATTTAGATTGATATTTATTGTAATAATATAAAACTAATAAAAACGGATTATTATAATATATTTAATATTGATAATGAAGTTTTCAATTGTACTTCCAATCCTTCTTATTATTGGTTGCTTTGCAGCTGATTTTGATTAATAAGTAGAAGAGTTATAGAACTCCAACTTTGGTTAAACAATATTACAAACCATTTTGATGGAATTGCAAACCGGCGATCCTGTAGTCTCTAATCTTATAGATATGGTTTAAGGTTTAGAAACAACATTAGAAAATGAATAAGAAAGAGATGATAAAAGGATTGCAAGAATTACATAAAATTGTGACATTGATATAAATACTTTAAAAGATCAAATAAATTAGAATACTGTGAATTCTTTAACACTAAAAAGTGAATTAGACAGTTTAAATCCATAGAAAGTGTCAGCAGTAGCAAGTCTAGAAAGAAAAAATAGCGAAATTAATGATCTTAAAACAGAACTTAACTATTAAACTCATAAAAGAGAGACAGAAACAATTACTTATTAAGTAATCTTAGATAATTTGGAATAAGCATTATTTGGTGTTAATTAAGTCAAAGGATATTTCAATAGTTATTTAGATGTACTTGTCAAAAATAGAAAAAGATTTGAAAAACCTGAACCATCTTTCTTATAAGAAACATATAGTTTCAAATATGATTAATCTGAAATTGAAGATACTGAAGATTAAGGCTAATAATTTACATCATTCACTTAAGTAGCCGCTAAAGTCAATAAATTAAAGCATCATGTTAATTACAACATTATTTTAGGTACATTTAGAAGGCTACAGAGCCATGCTTGAAATGATGAGTCGTTTAGCTACCAAAGCACAAGATGAACCATCATAAGCAGAAGTTTTAACTAGAAAAGTTTTGTCTATCTTAAAATAAATTGAAAATTATATTTAATCTGAAAGAATTAGAGAAGATTAAGCAGAAGCTCTTAGATCTGGTAATTTTGAATTACTTTAAACATTATTATCAGATTAATTAGTATAAGCAAGTTAAGATAGAACCTATATGGAAGGTTATATATAATAATTAAATTTTAGGACTTGTTGAGTCATTATCAACAAGAATTTAATAAGCATCAAATGAGAAATTTGAAGTAGATTAAAGAATTGTTGCTAAAACTAGAGAATTGGAAAATAGAGAAACAGATTGCAGACTTAAGAAAAATGAATATGATACTGACACAGCTAATAGGTAAAATATTATTATATAAAAATTTAGAATTAAATAAAAGAGAGTTGTTGCAGTTGCAGTTGATCTAATCTCATCAAAGTTAGGACAACTTAAGAGAAAATTGCTTGCTAATTGAGTTAATTATGATAGCAATTAATAACAGATAATTTATAAATTAATTTATATCACATTTTTGTGATTTAATAAACTTTTTTTTAATGATCAATCTTTATTATAGTTTTATATTGTAAAATTAAATTATAAAAATAAATTACAATTACTTTTATAATTGATTATGGAAGAATTTCTATATTATTGATTATAAATGGAATACATAATTTATTATTTTCATTATAAATATTACTTTCAAATAAGAAAAAAAATAATCATTCTCAATATAATCAAACAGGCCTATCAAAAGTAGTAGGATCCTTAAGCCAAGTGATAAATTTACTGAAGAAATCAGATTATTTTTTAAAATTTTAGCTTAGTTTACTAATATCAGGAGGCTATTTTTATATGAGTCCAAAATTATATTAAAATTCTAACTATTAAAATATTATTTATATCTTACAATTTAAATAAATTGATTTATCATTTATTAGCATTAATTATAAGATTCTTTAATAATTTTCTTATCAGATTTTAGTAAAGTTGTTTCTAAAATTTTATTAAGATAATTGCTCTCAACATTTATGATTTCATCAACTGATTTTGCATTTGTTAATTATTATTTAAAATCATTCCAAGTTGATTCTAAAACATCATAAAATATATAATTTTAGTAAATATCAATAAAAGTTTACATTTGATAACGCAACATTCCATAACTATTTGCTATTTTAGGATCTTTAATAAATTATATATATTTCCAATTTCTTCTTAGATTGTTTGAACAATATCTTAATTTAAGAATTTAATCAAAAAATATTAATATTTATTAGAGTATTGAATTTGTAAAACATGCTTTGAGTAATTAAGCTTTTGATTCTATCTTTATTTAAAGTTAATCAGATATTTAACATTCATAAAATCCTTGTCTCTCTCTTGCAAGTTTACTTTTGCTTTTCAATTTTGGAAATATATCTATTTCTGTTAATTAATTAGGAATAAAATTATTTTCATTATCAATTAATTAGAAAATATTTTAATCAACAAAATCTCCATCACTTGTAAAATAATACTTTTTTATATTATTCCATAATTATAAAAAGTTCAATTATTCAAATAATAAAAAATGAATAGACTTATTCACTAATTGATTATGTAATCTAGCATGCATTCCAATACAAACTTCTAATTATAATTAAAATGAATATTAACAATTATCTTATAATTCTTCTTCAAATTTTTATTAATTTTCTTATTTTATTTATGTTATTTAATTAGAATCATGTTATTTCTCAATTTATTCTTCAATAATATGATTATCATTAGTTTATTCTAATAAATTATCTGTTAATAATTATTCTTCAATATTTTAAATATTTGGAGTTTCAATAATTAGATTATCAACTGCTTTTTTTGTAATTAATTAAATAGGAGTAGGATTAAGTTCAATTTAAATTTCATTATTTTTTTTTGTATCTTAAATATTAATACCTAAATCTGCTAATTGCATCAATAATTATTCTTTTTCTTTTTATAATTTTTTCTTTTCATTTAATTCTTGTTCTAATTAAAGATTTCTTTCTTCTTAATTTTCAATTAATTTATTATATTTACGATTAATTCTATTTACTTCTATTTAAACTAATAATTCATTTTTTTGATTTTTTTAAGATATTTATTTTGCTTATTAAGATTCTAAATATTTTTATTTTTATATTCTCACTTACATTTATATTCTCTAAAATTCTATTTTTCTTTTAATTTATTCTTATTATTCTTTTTCAGTTATAAATATATGATATTTTCTAATAATTTCTTTTAGATTTTATTCTTTAGATTTATATATTGTTTAAATATATTAATTCTTTTATTTTAAATTTGATTATAAATATAATTCTGATATTTAACAAATATTTAAAATTTCTTCAACATGTTAAATTTTTAAAACTTTTAATTATGTAATTAATGCAAGACTTTAAACAGTATTTGCATAAGTTGATGAAAATTATGAAGGAAAATGTTAAGGTATTTGTAATTCCACATCTTAACTATTAATACCTTTTGCAAAAATATCTAATTAAAAATTATTTAATTCATAAAATGCTTTGACTAAAAATTCATCTCTCTAATTTATTTATATAATTCTTTCATAAAGTGCTTTATTAACTAAATTACAATCATCAGCAGTAAATATATCAAATATTATTTTAATTTACTTATTTAAATGTTTAGTATATATCTAGAAATGCAAAATTGTCATATTTTCATCTAATATAGTTATTTATAATATTTTTTATTCCATTTCATCAACAAATGATTATAAAATTGTATTTATTTTACTTCTTAATATAGTATTTGAAGGTGTTAATAAATAAAATCTCAATCTTTGAATATAATTGGCAAGTTCTATAAATTTTTGTGTTATTTATTATAAACTAGTCATATCTTCCACATAAATTGTTTATTATTATATATATGATAATTGATCTAAATCATATACAAAATATTCATTTTAAAAACCCTAAATATATTTAATTAAATACTAATAACATCTAAATTACAAATTATATATATTATTTCTATGAAATGATAACCAATCCTTAAGACTTTAATTAACAAATACAATCAAATTTTTACTTTATTTAAATAGGTTACAATTCAACTGCTTGACTATTCATTTAATCATCACCTAAATTTTATATATATCATACTTAAATCTTCCCAATATTTTGGTCTTTTTATATTTGTACCTTATAAAAGTTCAAAAAAGCTTAATTCTTTTGAAGTATTTGTTTCACTTTCTTAAGTTAATTAAGGAGTTGGAATCAATTTTGACTCTGCTAAGGGTTGTCTATGAGTCAAAAATGATGAAATAGACATATGTTCACTCAATCTTGGAATTTCAAAGTTTAAGTCAAATGGCTTATTTGATGGTTATAAATGTGTCATAGATCCTAATAAATTTTATTGCTCTAAAGGTTTATTCAATTAAAAGACTTCTGGAACCTCTGATTTTGAATCCCAAGAAAAAGTTTGATAAGGATGGAATTGTTCACAAGAGATTGATTACATGAAGTGACCGCCTTTTTTTATAGTTTCTTCATAATTCAAAAACCCACTCTTAATATGCCTCTTTTTTTCTGCTTTAATGAGTTACACAATAACTTACTTGGTCTGAGCTATTGTAATTCATCTACTTCAACCATCGTATTAATAGATAACATGCAATTTAAAATAATATAAATCAAAAAGTTGAGAAATTGTCAGCTTGACCAATTCTCCATTTCTTAGGCAAGTACCATATTTTTAAGGATTCATCATCACTTCCAGTCAAGAGAAATGATTTATTTTCATTCCAAATAATCTTGTTTATTTTTTTAGAATGAGCCTTAAATACATCTAATTATGATAAAACTTACAAAATGGTTATAAATCTTATACATACCAAATTGATATTGTGCCATCTTCATTCCCTATGAATATCTCTCCCCTTTTCTTAGACCATTCAAAACATAAGCTCTATATTTAGTAAATTTAATACCTTATTTTTTATTACAATATTAGTCTTTATTTATGCAAATCCATTTTAAAGTCCTTTAGCATAATCAAAAATAATAATATGGCTTGGATCATGATTCAAAGCCATTAAATAATTTCTCTCATTATCTATCAATAACTATATAATTTGAGTAGAATGAGTTGAAACCTTGAGTCCAATTTTAACAAAAGGTACTTAACATAAATAGATTTCTCCAATATTATTAGAAATAACTATAAGATTTCTGTTAGAATTGTAAATTATATTAGTTAAATCATGTTAACCAATTGGAATTTCTTATTATTCTTATATTTTTTTAGTATTTTATATTTTCAAAAAATTACTTGTAATAGCATAAATATCTCTTTAAATTAATACACAACCTTATATTTTAGTTTAGGCAAGCTAAAATTATTCTTCCATATCAATTGTATATTTTTCATCTAATCTATAATAATAAACTAATCCTGATGAAAGTCTAATGAAATAGAAATTTATAGTTTTACCCAACAGCAAAGGCATTTTCTGTATTATTAAAATTCATACAAGTCAAAGCTTTTAAGAATTCTTTACTAAATAGTTTTTGTTTAAAATCATTCTGACTAAAGCATATCAATGTGCTTATTGGAGATTGTTTTTTTGATTCCAAAATATTATTTATATAAGTATCTATTCTAGCCATCATACTAGAATCATAAAGTAATAATAAAGTAATGTTATCATTCTCATGTATATCTTTCAAACTCATATTTAAAATCTTGTGTTATGTTTGAATTGGATGTAAAAATTCATCATATTGATCAAGCTATTTATGACATATATATTACTATTAAAAAATCTCTAAAAATAACTGAGTTCAAGATTTCTTTTCTACTCAACAATTAATTCAGATAATTATCTAATTATTGCATTCTGAATTCAATTTCACTTCGATTTAAATGAAATAACTATTTTTTTGGAAATTAAGGAAGATCATTAAATAATTCATGTAATTTATTATGGATTTCTTCAACTTCTGAATATCTTTAATTGATGAATATTTATTATACCTTTTGTATATTTGCCATTTTTAATTGCTGCATTCTATAGCTATAATATATTTTGTGATATATTTTTCTTATGTAAATGAAGTAACAGATATTTTAATTTACGTGTTATTTTTATTTGACATGTTGGTTTACAAGCTATAGAAAATTTTTATAATAAATTTATAACTAAATGGAAATAATTAATAAATATTTCTTTAATTTTATATTACAAATCAACTTTATTATTTTTCTTTTACTCATAAAAATAGAATTAATATATAATTACACTATTTCTAGTTGGTTTACCTTTTTTATCTAGATATCAAAGACTTTATTTGTTAAATTAAAGTGATTTGTTATAAATAATATAGATAAATCTTCATGATAAGGTACGAAATTAGAAATTAGCATAAAAATCCTTTTTATAAAAAGTCTTTTACTAATAAGAAATTTAAAATCATATTTATTTTAAATAATTTTTTATCATAATTTTTCATAGAAGTTTAATAATAAATTAAATGATTTTTAAAAAGTTGAAAGAAGTATAAGGAAAAATATAAATGAATTCAGAACTTAACCCTATATATATAATGTAAAACATATAATTATTTTTTAACTGGTTATTCATTTTTTTTGCATATGAATGATTTATATTAACTTTTAACTAATGATTTAAGTAAAATTAAAAGTTTAAATTACCTTTTATTATTATAGTGATAGAAATCAAGTTTTAGCGAGCATCAAATTTCGCTTTAATTTATTCAAGTATAAATATTAATCGAATTCATAAATTTAGAGATTAGAAGATGGTAGAATTAAAATTTTAAAATTATTCAAACCAAAAATTAATTAAGATTTTTGAGATATTTGTTTCATTTTATGTTTTTTTACAATAAAACTATTTTCAAGTTTAAACTTATATTTTTTAATTACTATATAATTTTATATATCTTTTTATTTATTAAATGATTTTCATATGTTTTTTATTTATATATCATAAAATTTATAATATTTCACAAGTTTTAGATGGAGAAATCCAAATATTAATATTAGAATTATAATGAATAAATGATAATTAATTTATTTCAAAAAATATTAATTAAAATATGAGATAATAAACTAGTTCTTTTATTTAATTGCTTTGCAAGTGTCTCAAGTTTCGAAAAACTAAATCATAAAATTATGAATAAATTAAGAATCCGATTGAAATTCCACAATAAAATGAAAGATCTAAAGTACTTTTGTGATTAGATTAGGGGAGAAAAACTTTAGTAATTGATTTAGATGAAACTCTGGTTCATAGTTCATTTGAACCAATGAAAGTAAATGATTTAATCGTTGAAGTATGTATTAAATAAATAAGGTTATAATGAAAGATTAGAAATATAAAATTTATGTTAACATAAGACCATATGCTTAAGAATTTATTAAAGAAACTTCTAAAATATTTGAGATTATAATTTTTACTGCTAGCATTAGTGAATATGCAAATTCTGTTATTGACTTTTTAGATCCTCTAGGTTTAGTCGATTTAAGATTGTTTAGAGAAAACTGCACAGTTTATAATGGTGTTCTTGTAAAGGATCTATCTTTATTAAAAAGAAATTTAGATTCAGTTATTCTAATTGATGTATAATAAATGTTAAAATAATTAGAACTCAGTCAATTCTTTTATGTTATAACCAATGAATGCTGTGCATATTTTAAATTATTTTGAAGATAAAACAGATTAGGAATTAGCTTTGTTGATACCTTTTTTGAAACTTCTTTCTTAAGTATCAGACTTTACTTAATTTTAGTTTTAAGATGTTAGGCCTGTTCATGAATGGTTATTTAAGTATGCTCACTTTGATAAATTTGAATATGTTGATATTATGGGAACAAAGTAATAATTCTATGATTTGCCAACAAGTTCAGATACTTAAAGAGATAAATTATTAAGTCCTGCAGATACCCCAAAATTAGAAGAACATAAAATATTAATTAAGAGTGGTATTTAAATTCAAACACAAGAAAAAAATAAAGAAGATGAGATAAATGATGAATTAGAAGAAAAAAAAAATAATTCAATATCAGTAGATAAATTTACTGAAACTCCTAATAGAAGTGAAAGCAATAATGAAAAAATATCAGTACTTAGAGAAAATTTAAATATTAATTCCCCTAATTCATTAGGTAAATAAATATTGTTTCCATAACACTAATGAAATTTAATGATATATTTACAATTTATTGTAATAAATCTATTTTAAACTAAACTAAATTTATTAATGTATCATCAAATAATTAATAGTATTTTTATAAATATTCAGGATTATTAATGTTTACTATGATATTAAGATTCATATTCTTTTATATTTTAGTACTTAAACTAAATTTAAATTGTAATTTACTATATAAAATTATTAAAATAACACTAATCACATAATTTCCAATTGAATTTGATATTTTTACTTTTATTATCAGTTTGTACACTTAGATAATACATATCAAAATAAATTAAATTTTATATCTTCATAAGAGTCTTAAATTTTAAATATTTCGATGATTGAATAAGCCTTATACTTATTAGTTATTTCAATAGTTTTTTTTGATTATGATTTTGGCATAATCATTATAATATTAATGTTTTAAAAATTCATTCTTTTGTAAATTTCCCTTATATATAAATTTAATCTATTTATCATTCAACTATTTATCTTATTTCATTTTTAGACTTAGAGAAAAATATAATACTAAATTTAATTTGATTTAACAATATTAAATTTTAGAATCTATATTTTTTTAAAACTGTATATATTTTTATAAAATTCATGGGATAAATACTAGAATTTTCATGTAAATCAACAACTTTTGATAATCATCTGAAAATTTGAATTTAATGATATTTTTTTTATCATCATAAAATAATGAGATATTAAATTTACTAACCTTAATGATTAAAATAAATATTTATTAAGTACTGAATTTTATGATTAATAGTCCTTTGACTATTTTAAATTGAATAAGAAAATATGATAGAAAATATTATGTATTACATAATTAAAAAAAAGAACAATTGGAATATAATATTTCCTTAATATTTTATAAATAATTTATAGTCTTATTATTATTATTTTTTCAATAAATTATTATTAATCTCACCCTTTATGATTATATACATTCAAATACAACAAGAGTTTAAAGTATTTTAATTTGATTTTATTGATAAAGATGACTTTGATTAAGGGTTTTCAACCTAAATTTCATTCATCATTAATATTTGATATATATCTAATATGTAATTAGAAATTTATACTTGAGACCATTTCTTTTAAAATATCTTCAATTTTCTCTCCACTTGCTGCACTACATTCTTCAAATAGTAATTAATTAACTTAAGCAAAACTTTAACCTGATGACCTATTCACTTCTCTTAGATATTACAAATCAATTTTATTCCCAACTAAATACAATACGCAATATTAATCTAAATATTATTTACACATTTTAAGCCAAGTCTAGAGTTTATTTATATTATTTACTTATATTTAATCAAAACTATCCTTTTTTGTAATATCATAAAGTAAAAACACTCCAGCAGCATTTTTAAAATATCCTGATGTCATACTTAAGAACTTTTCTTAACCTGCAGTATCCCATAATTATAATCGAAATAAATGAGATTCAACTATTACATCTCTAACTCCAAATTCAATTCCTATTGTTGAATGTGATTCTATATCAAATTAATTTCTGCAAATCTTTGAGATAAAATTAGTTTTTCCTGTTCCACAAGAGCCTAGTAAAATAATTTTTATTTAATAATCCCATTTTTTATCTTAATTTTCATTATTCATTTTATTTCTAAAACTCAAATATATTTATTTGATTGAAATAATGATAAAAATTAAAGAAAACATAGAATTCAAGTATCTATTAGATTTAAACTCAAATTAAAAATTGATTAATGTATTATTGTATATTGTATATGTGATTTTCAAGCTCTGTTGGGATAAAGGAACACTCTAAGGGTTGATCCAATAGCTCTTGGAGGAAGATTTCTACCAAAACGAGCAATTACAGTTCCATTGCTGCCATGAGATTTGCTAATACGTCCCCAAATTGCCTGAATCAAAATAATTCATACTCTAAATTTAGTGTTATTCTTTAATGTATGAGCCTTGTAAATGTATGCAACTCTTTTTCCCCAATAGAATCTGCTTGAAGCAACATCATTAACATGTTCAATTTTGAGTAATGCTTAGTTTTCATTCTATTAAACTTTTGATCTTCTAAAACCTGTAAATACAGCCTTAACCCATAGTCTAATTTTAATGCTAAATCCTACCTAACAGGTGCTCTCTTGTTTGTGGTTTTAACTTTCTTGACTGTTTTAGTTGCTCCTTTCTATTATTCAGCCTATCCCTTCATTAATTAAAATCTTTGTTATTTTTTTATTTAAAAATTAAAACAATCACATTCATTAATATATCATGAACATAATTTTTTTACATACTAATCTATTTGATGCAATTATTTTTGCTTTCTAAGTAGAAGTAAACAAACTATTGTTATTTTCTCAAACCATTTATGCGAATAATGTTTATGAAATCATTATTTTTTCAATTTTAAATAGAATATAAGATGGTTATTTTTTAATGTCATTTGATAAGTTAAATAAAATTATAAGTTCAAATAATCAGAATTTATATTCTTATGTAAATGATTAATCAAATAAAATTAAAAATTTTATTATTATATATTCTTTTTCTTTATATTTGAGAGTAAGAAGAGATTATTATTTTTTATTTTCTAAATATATTTCATCCAAAAATTATTTTGAGCATAAATATTATTATTTTTCTAACCAAGTTGAAAGAGGTTATATTTTTATTAAATAGTTATTAAAATATTTATAAGATATAAATAAAAGTAAGAGTAAACATTTAAGTAATTTATTTAATTATATATAATCAACTAGATGCTAGATTTAATTACTTATATTAGATTCTATTTTTCATATTTTTTTAATTTAATTTTAAGAGTATAAATTTCAATTCTTTTGTTGTTACTACTAATACTCTTTAGTTTAAATAATCTACTTAATTATTACTTTTTTTGATTCATTGATGAGAATTTCTCTTTTAAATTATATATATATATATTAAAATATCTTTATTACTTAATTGAGTCTGATTCTATTAACACTCTTTATTCTGATTGCTATTAAAGAAGTAAGTCTTTTCCAATCTAAAATTTGATTTTTATGGCATTCTAATTGATATTTATGACTGATTTGATGAGTAAAATAATAAATTTAACTAAAAAAATAGATGAAATAAGAAATTGATAATAGAACTGTGATAACTTTTGATTGATGTTATAATAGATCATGCTCCTCTGAGTTATGATTTAACGTAATCTTAGAATCTTGGTTAGTTTAACAATTCTAAGGCTTAGTTGGCAGCATTGATTTCCTTATTGTATTCTGCAACGGTGGCATTATAGACATCAGTGGCAAAAGCATAGTCATCGTTTTCAGCTTACAATTATCCATTAAGGGTTGCCAAATCAGCATCAAGTTCATCGATGAGGTCAAGAGTTTATTCAATCTTGGCTAAATTGATTAGAAATTTAGATAGTACTGGCATTAGCTTCAATTTCAGCATTCTTAACAACAACTGCTCTTTAGAATTCAGCATGTTCTTAGTTTAATTAGATGACTTAAGCATTGAAATCAGCAACAGCTTCAGCTTCATCAGCAGTGATTTAGTTGAGTGAATCAACTAATTCAACTCTCAAATTATTGAAAGCAACAATAATCTATCATTTAAGTTGTTAGAATTACATCTCTAAGAGCACCTTAGTCAGCAAAGTTAGATTCAACTGTAATTTCTAAAAGGACTTTAACGAAGATTTAGAATTAGTTATGCTTTTTCAAGGAGTTTTGGATTTTGCTGAGGTTCTTTTAAACTTATTTGATTTAAGCAAGAGATGGGGTTGCGATTGTGCTCAATAATTAAAGACATTCATCAATGGCACTAATAGCATCATTGTGCTCAGCAACTTAAGCTTCAAAAGTTTCATGATCATTAGCTCTTTAGACTGTAGCTTATTCAAGAGTTTATCTGTTATGGGCAATATTTTCTTATAATTATTCAAGTTAGGCAGCAAATCTATCTCTTTATGGGATGAGGACATTATCATAGAAATCATGAGCATTGAAGAGTTCTAAAACCATTATATTTTATTATACCTCTTTCCTTATCTTAAATTTCTTATTCAAGTCTGGCAACTTCTCTATTGTGAACGTCTGTTCTTCTGTTGAATTCGTGATGGACTCCAGCTAATTCCTCTTCTAATTCACCAACCTTAAAAATTAGTTACGATAAGTAGTTACGAGTTTTTCAATTTCGCTGTTGAGTTCAGAAAGGATACCTCCTGTTTACATATGAAGTTCGGCATAATTCAAAATGAACTTACCCCAGCCAGATGTGTGAATTTCAGCGAGAGCCTTTTAGTCACGACTTGTCCAGATGGATGATTAGACATTGATTGCTGTTGCACCGAGGACTAACAATACACAAAGAGTTAGTTTTAACATTAATTGTAATTATTATTGACATAGGTCCGGGGATTAATTTGTGCTAAAAAATTGAAAAACGAATATTTATTTTCATATATAGTATTAATTATTATATTATTTTTTATGTTCACTCCATCATATTTTCATTAACATAATATTTAATTGATCAAACTTTTTTATGTTTCTTATTTAATATCATGAGATCTACCTTAACAACTAAACTTAAAAATGTTTCTAAATTATTGATAATTTCTTGTTTACTTAATTAAACTTTTATATGGATCTAATTTAATAAAACAATCAAAATAATATATTTTATTCTTATACAAAAAGTAATCAATATCAATACATAAAATTTCAAAATTATTTAACCTAATTTTTAAATAACTATATAGTTTCTGTTGATATATTGCAATATATCTTCAAAATAGATTAAAGATTTATAACTACTTTCTATATTTGACTATCTTATATACAATGGATTTTTATTATTTATTACTCCCTTACTTGTTGAAGTATTTTATTAACTTATTTTTTTGTCTAATAACACAATACAACCAGATTATTATGGTTTATATATTGAATCATTATATGATGTTGTTATTTTATATATAAAATAGTTATGAATTTTTATTATTTTATACACTATATTGTAAGAATTAAAAACAATTAAGATTTAATTCTTTTTGTAAATGTTGAGAATCAATCAAATTAAAATAAACTTGATCTATATATATATGTGATTTTAATTAGATTTCACAATGACATAATAATTGCATTAATTAATTTAAATGAATTTGCAATCTATCAAGGAAGCAGCTTAATAACTGTATGAATATCAATTTACCTCAGCAAGGATAAACTTACCAAATCTCCATTAGAGTAGACGTTATCTGAGGCAACTTCTAACGAGAATTGGAATACACCTACTAAATTGCTCTAAGAAGTAGCTGAGGCTTCATACGGATAGTAAGAATATGTTTTTGAATATCATTAGTACATCTTGTGATACAATAATGAAATTCATATGGAAGCGTCTTGATTCGGATAATAAAGAATGGCGTCGGATTTTGAAAGTATGATTCTTTTTTAAAATACTAGACATTAAATATGATAGAGTATTTAACAAAGAATGGTGCACCTCGTTGTGTTGGAGAATTTAGAGACAATATTTACAAGATCAGAAGTTTCTCAGATTTCTTTTTGGTTGAACAAGGCTCAGACAAAGGACTCTCAAGTATATATAAATGAATAATGATTAGTTCGTGATAAAACAAAACAATTAGTTGATTTATTGAGCAATGAAAAGTTGATTGAAGAAGAAAGAGAGAGTGCTAAAAAGATACGAGAACGTTTAGCAGGTAACATTTAATTTAATATTTTAAGCTGCTGGTGGTGTTGGAGCTATTGGAAGCAATACATCTTATTAAGGTTATGGAAGCAGTTCATATGAAAGTAATAAGCCAAAAAATTATGGATAAGAATCTAATTCATCATAATAAACAAGTTATTGTAAGAATTCAATTTATAGAAAGCATCAAGTTATGGTGGTTTAGAGAGTGGAGGTGGTTTAGACAAATACAAAGGATAATCTAATAATAATGTAAACCATAATAATAATACTACTAACACTAATAATTCCAATACTCATAATAATAATGCTAGTGCAAATAATAATGCTAATATAAGTTTTAATGGAATATAATGGACAGCTCCTTAATAATAATAAGCAACTGCAGCTCCATTTTCAGAACCTGTAATGAAATTAGCTAAACCTGGTGAAAAGTGGGATGTTCCTGGACCTAAACCTTAATAAACATTACCATAATAATAACAACAATAATCATAATAATAATAATAAAAATAACAACAATAAACAGATCTATTTGACATTTTTGATACTCCTTAATAGGTTCCATAATAAAAACCATAAACTGCATAACCTTTATAACCACCTCCGTCTCAATAATAAAATAACCAAAATGAATGGGGGTAATTTTAAAATGCTACTCCAATTAGCAATCCTATTCCATAAGTTTAAACTCAATAAAAAGCTTAAACTAATTTATTGCCTAATGATATTTTTGCACCAGCAGTAGTGTAATAATAGTAAACTGCTGTTACTTTTGGATAATATTAGCCTCCTTAACAAAACAATTAATAATAATTTTATTAATAATCTTAATAATTATTATAATAATAATAACCTTAAGCATAATAAAGCATATAAAATTTATATCCTATGTAGTAGTAATAAAATTAAAATCCATCTAATTTGTACTAAAACTATTAAATAAATAATTATCAACAATAATAATAATAATAATAATAATAATAATAATAATAAAATCTCAACTATGGTAAAACATAAGTTGGTGCATATTCACCATAAGTTAATTTATAAGCTGTTAACAATAGTCAACCAAAAGAATAATATGATGAATTTAATTTTGGTGAATTTGTCTCTGCTACTAAACCCAAGAGCAATAATAATTAAACAGATTTATTAGGAATGATTGATTTGAAAAAAGAAAAAGAAGAATTAGAATAAAAAAAATAGATGCCAATGGCCCCTTAAATGAATTAATAGCCTTAGTTGTATTCATAGTAAGTTGGATTAGATGGATTCTAATTTAATTATTAAAACAAAACACCAGTTTATGGATAATGTATTAGTATATTTAATATATAATAGATTAATACCAATAAAGCAGATGATTTATAATAAACATATATATGATATAATTTGATAACTATTAAACTCATCGTCCTTCAATAGCTAGATATGAGTAAATGACTAGACCAAGCACATCTTCAGCATTTTCTCGAACATTTCGAAAGACTTAACTTTTACGAAAGTTAGACATCATTTAATAAACAAAGAAGTAGGAGTTGATAAAATTCATGTGTTCAGCTACAAGATCTCCTTTGAATTGTTTTAACCGCAATAAACGATAATAATCAATCTCTTGCTAAACAGAGGAATCAATGTCAAATAGAAGAAGAACTTAACACAGTTGTAGATAATTAACAACTTCAGATAGTAATAATCCAAGTTATAGGGTGAAAATAAATAACTTTAATGTAAAGGAAAGGAAAAATAAATAGAAAGACTCTTTAGAACGCTTTAAACTTATTGAAATATAGGATAATGATTTTTAAGATTACATGCAAAGACAGATTAGAAAATAATATGATTGATATAAATATATATTTTTATTTTTTGCTTTTTGTATATCATTCTCTTCTACGATAAAATAATACATATGCTGCACTTGTAATTAATGTTGAATTAACAGATTCCTCTCTGATTGGATACACCGAGCTATCATCAAAATTATACCATGTGTCGTCATAATAGTTTTTAGCAAAGGCTGTGTAATGTCCACCTCCCAATCCTCCAAAATGATTGGAAATAGCATATAGATCATAATATACAGGATTATTGAGTTCTAATGATTAAATATTTGATACTTGGATTTTAAGGATCTTCTGTATGGAATTCAGAAGGTAAATGATGATTCTAAACAAATTCTCTAATGTCAAAATTTTAAATTGGAAAATCTATTAATGTTTCAAGTTTGCTTTTGAAAAATTTGTTTGAGTTTTTAAACCTCTTTAAATGGAATATTAATATTTTAGGTGTTTTATAGATTTCCATAACTTTAAATGCACGTCTAATAGATAAATAATGATATTATACACATGATCTTTGCATTAATTACAATACCAAGTATTTTCTTCATCTAATTATTCTGGTTGTTCAGAGAATTTCAAACATTCTCCTAATTTCATTGATTTTTCTGTTCCTGCTTAAACATTAGTAGATTAAATTGTTGGTATAGAAGGTCCTAAAGGTATAACACATGTATTAAAATTTTATTTCTAAGCTAATTATTCATCAGATAAATTTTCCTATTGTTTTGCATCTTCTATATTATCTAATTACTATTCTTAATCATTTTATTATTTTGGTAATTCTTCAACATCAGTTTATTTTCTTTATTGATGTTTTAACCAATCATTATATAATTCATCAACAGAACTTGCTAATTTAAAACCTCTTTTCCAAACTACAAATACTTCAATTTCTAATTTAGGTTCTTTTAATAAATATTTTTCAATTAAATTATCTTGATTATATGCACAAACACAGTCATTACATTATTTTGCATCACAAAAGGCACACTCAACTTGCCAATTTTAATTGGATTTGAATTCTAAATAATAAACTTTATCTAATATATTTTCTTCATAATATTCATTCCAATTATTGCCTTAATATTAAGGAAGATCTTCAAAAGTGCTTAAAACTCCAATATGAATATCAAATATGAATTTATGTATATCTATATGTTTAGTTTTTGTTTTATCAAAATAGAAGTTGAAGGCAGGAGTAATTTCCCTTTTCCATTGATACTAAGCATTTTATTTAAATGATTCATGTATCATAATGCAAATTTTATTTTCTTTTTCAATATTGATTTCTGATTATATAGCCTTTCTGATATATAACTTTTTGTATTTCAATTTCTTCCTTAAACTTGACATTTTTTCATTTTCATCTGTATCATCATGTTAGTAAGATGATGTACAGATATATATTAATTCAGATGGGTTGATATGTTAAATTTTATCTTAAATTTCTTGAGATTGTAGAATTTAACCAAGTGTAGGATCTTATGCTTTATCATAATTATAGATAAGAGTCTAACAATCCCATAATAAATTTGGATCTATAAATTGAATTTCTAATTTTTTAGTTGTATTTTATGGTATACTTACATTAACCATCAAATATGGATCAAATGTAATAGATATTTTATTACAATTTGGACATCTTAAAGTACTTTTATATTATCCATAAAGATTATCAACTACTACACTATCATTTCTTAACTTAAATTAATCCCAAGATTCTTTAGCAACTTCAAAATCAGGTCTTCCATCATAATCTTTTCTCTCAACATATGGTTTTTATTTAATACGACATAAATCTTCATTTAAACCATCCAATAAATATGTAATCAATTCTTAACTGTCATGTTATTAAAATCCTTAAAATTATGGTTAAAATTTTCCAATTGCTCTTTTAAGTGAGAATGGAGGAATAGGTGTTTTATCAGCATACCACATTCTTCTTAAAAGATGAGCAAATTTTGAGGCTAATTCTCCTTTTGTACCTAAAGTATTGAGTTCATTTATATCTTATTTATATAAATTTGTTAATAAGTATTCTCTTATTGGAAATGTATTACCAATACATTAAATTCCTGAATTCATAAAACAAGTATTTCCTAAATTCTTTAATCCAACTTTTCCATCCATAGAGTTTTCATTTCTTTATAGTTTATCCATAGTTTCATCATCAGAATCAGTCTTTTCACATCTAGGTAAATGGTATGCTTCATCTCTTTTTTTGCATTCCTCTGTACAATAACTAACTTTTTTGCAATCACATGGAAATTAAAGTATTTTGAAATTGTAACATCCTTCACATTTTCCTTCCATAGGGAAATTGGGATGTTTAATAGCCCAATTTTTTTAGATTTCTTTAAAATCTCCAAGTATAATTTAACCTGGTGCTATTTGACAATCTTCAATAGTTTCATATTTAGCTGGATCTAAATATTCAGCATCTTTAAAATCAAATACTACATCATCATATGTTCCAAGTGTCTTAATTTCTTCAGAAATATACTTTTCAATTTCTGTTACAGTCATTCCTAATGGAGATTTATAAAGTCTTATTCCATCATGTTTGACAAATTGATATCCATTTCTATTAATGATTTTATGATAATTACGTACACTGTCTATAAAGTATTTGCTAATAATTCAATAAACGAGGATAATTTGCATGTTCGAGCAGCATATTAGTCTCCTTTTATAAGTGATACTGTTTTTCCTCCATTGAATTTTCGAAGTGAAGAAGGAAACACTGCACAAAAATTTAAAGGTACAAGATTGACATTTACTTGTTTCTTTCCATTTATAATTACGGCATCTCGTTCAATAGCTGTTACGTGGAACCTATATAATCAAAAATATTATGACTTTTTAGCAATGATTTCCCATGTTGCCTTATCTAAAATTTCATAATCAACTCCCTCTTAAAGATTTGGCAACATTATCTTATTCCACATGTGACTTTGAATTGGATCGTACTTAAAAATGGTTGATGGCTTAGACAAAAGTAGATCTGAATTCACACAAGAGTTATTGTTAAATGCATTTCCTTTTTCTTCACTATCTAGCCACTCTTCCAACCATCTATTCGTTTACATTTTAAATGCTTTACTTCTTCGAAATGATATTGTAGATTAAGTCTTAACTAGTATGGAACTCATCAATCCCTCTTTGTCTTGACTCTTTGAATTTTGCTAAATCACTCATTAAATTAATTAAAAATCAATCTTCATACATTGTAATTCCTAATCTCATATAAATTATTACAATAAACATTCTAGTATTATATTACAACTTCCATCATATAGTAAAGATCCAAACAATTATATAGATATTTAAACTTTTTAAATCAAAATTTAAATGTAAATGCCTATTCTATATTCCACTTTATTACTTTTTCTTTTATGTAATAGTAACTTGAGCATTCTGTATCATTATTAAATACTCTAACTAATATTTAATAAATGAATATTGTCATTCTAAACGAAGATATTATTTAATATAATCACTTGAAAAATTTATTAATTATTATAATAATCCATGTTAATTAACAAAAATTTAAATTAGAGTGTAAAGAAAATTAATAAATGATATTATATCCTTTTATTTAAAAAAAAATCAAATATTATAATAAAATATCTATTCTTAAATATTTAAATCTCAATAACAAATTTTTAGTTCTGGCTTTTAAGTATAATTATATGCGATCACTAAATTTACTCAATTATATATCTATATTTTAATATTTCTTTAATGATTTAAATATAATATAAAGATAGCTAACAAAAACTTTGATAAATTTATAATATTAAAAGAAAAAACTCTAATTAGTGAGAAAATAATATTAAATAATGAAAACCTATAAGTAAATAATAAGAATGAGTTTTTATAAATCTTAAAATTTGAACTAATCTCAAATTAAAAAAAAATATATAATATTAAAAACAAAAATAATTAAGACCTTAATCATAAAACTAACATTTAAGATGATGGATGTAATAAATTCTAAAGTTCTTAATTTAATGATTATGATAATGAATAATAAAATTTAAGGATGCTGAGTATGTTATAACTAATTAAAAGAATTTTTAGAACTGTCCAAAGTTATTTTATCATTAACTTTGAATTTATCCGATATATATAATTGTCTGTGTAATGAAGATACACAGTTAAAGATTAACTGATGATTAGCTTAAAAAATATTATCCTTCTTTTTTGATTTGTATTAATCATTAAAAAAGAAAATAAATTTATTTTAATAAAATTAAAGAAATATTTCATTATATAAAACAGCAGTCTTCATTGGGTTTTCGTGGTTAAGAGATTGCATTATCTTTAGTTTGTAAGTATTAATCTTTCTCATCGTATAAATTGGTTGGATTCTCATTAGATCTATTTGATTTTGGTTGTGATAATGTATTATTCAAGTTTTATCCCAATAACATTTGCTGAAGTATAAAATCAATCTGAGTACAATCTAGTTAAACTCCAGTATATTATGATATTAATTCTCTAGTTTCTTTGACCTTTATGAAATAGTTGCGTAATTAATTATGCAGTTAATAATCATAATTTGGTTCTTGCTTATTAACTCTTTCAAAAAACTGCATGAATTGGGAAACTGTGATTCCAAATTCTGTAAGTTTGACTATTTGAGCTGATTGATATATCTACTTGAGTTCTAAATATATTGATTTTAGATCCTTGTTCTGATAAAATTCAGCAATATTATTGATTGATGGACATAGTGTAAGTGAATCAAAAGTGATTAGGGATGTTTTATATTATCTCTCATCTCCGTTGAATTATTTGATACCTTAATCAATATTCATATAAATTTATTTATTTTACAAAATAAGTTGCTTTTATTAATAAAGGTCTAAAGTATTATATAAAATATCGATTATCAATTTTATACAAAATGATTAAAACAATATTTATATAGAGGGTAAAAACAAAAGATTAGAACCAGTTAATACATATGGAACAATAAACTAAAATACTTTCTACTTAATAGATGAAATTGTAGATATTACTATTTTATCAGGAATAAATTAATTTTTCAATAGCTTTTAATTATGCTAACATATATTTTATAATTTACAATTCATACGGTTAGATGATATTTTCATAAAAAAAATGTGTTATTCTATATGATTTTTTTTATTTCAACTTTTTAATAAAAGTATGGATTAACATACTAAAAAATAATTTTTTGTTATATTAGATGATTGAAAACATAAAATGCATAAAGAACTATTGTTCATAATTTATTTATTTTAATAAATCAATTTCTTTTGCTGATGAATTGGGCGGTGGTTGATAATTTCTCACTGATGTGTTCTTAGAGTCTATCAACGATTTCATTTTAAGCAGCTCTAAAATAAAGTATTATTGTAATAGTACCTTTCAGCAGTTTAAGTTTCATAGATTTCTGATTAGACTGCATACCATGCTTATTATCCAGCAAGTCTTTCTTCACTGTTTTCTAATTCTAAGGTGTGGAATTCGATCCAAGATTAAGCATCTTCAATTGTATCCTTTTATTCTTAGATTTAGACTTCTAATTAAGCTTTTCTTTCAACCAATCTTGTGTGTTCATTACTCAAATGAGCACTGAATTCAGCCCAATGAGCAGCTTATCTGTCTTCAACGTCCTTAATAATTTAATTAATTAAATTACTGTTTTAACAGCCTTTTCTTAGACTAATTATTATCTGATTTCGCTCAATAATTAAGCAATCTTGGTTAAGGCCTTTTAGTTAACACCGTGAGTAGCTAATTCAGTAAGAGCAACAACGACTGGCTAAAGTAGATAATAGAAAGATAGAATTTACTTATAAGAGTTGGCTGTGTGAAGTGTTATCGGTAAGTCTCTTGTGAACTGTTTCATACTTTGATTTAACTTAGACAAATGAAGCACCTAAGCTCAAATGTTAGATGAGTTTGGCAGCATCATCAATAGCATCAATAACATCATCAATGGCAGCAACTTTAGCAACAAAGGTTTCGTGTTATTAATTTCTTGTGGCTTCTTCTCTAGCATAAGTTTATTCATTTGTTGCAATGTCTGAAATTGTAACTCTAATGTCTTCTTCAGAAACAGCCAAAGCTTCAATTGTGTCATCTCTCAATTATGTGTTAGATGAGATTTGATTTTAATGATACAAGATTTCCTTTTCTAAATCTTCAACGATCTGTTATATAGTTTAAAATTCTTACTCTATTGTTTGTGGTTGTATCAAGTTCAAAAGTGTGGTCGTGGTCATTTTAATCTTATTGTAATCCAGCAGCAACACCGTTCAATAACATATTAACTTCGTTGGCTGGTGTTTAGGCTTACAAGTGGGCTTTGATGGCTGACAATACAACATTTCCGAATGGATTGGCATCTATTTAAGCCAAGCTTGCATGTGTATCTACAAACTTGGCAGCTGCAAGAGCAAGAACCAATGTCAAGATAGCTAGTTTCTGCATTTATTTATTTAATGTTTTTAAAAACGGATCGAAAAATGCTTATGTATGTAATTAATTTATAAATATTTATCCCCATTTTCTTATAATTATACTAACATCATCTCATAAACTTTTCATTATCATTTCTTCTATCAATCATATCTTCCAACTATATCCTTCTCAACAATCCAAAATTTTATAATTTAATATTTTATTCAAATTTATATCTCCTTCCTCTTATTATCACTCTAATCTATTTTGATTATGCAAAATTCACAATAATTCCTTTTCAAATTTCTATATATCTATAATATACTTCCTAATTCAAATAACTTAAACTAAATGATTTATTCTTATAATTACTATTCATTTTTGTCTTAAATAAAGAATAATGATTATCTTGATAAATAAGCAATTATCTTATTCTCTGTTTACTACACAATTTATTTTTAGTGAAAATAAATTTAGTAATCTAATTCTTTTATAAGAATTTAGTATTTTCATCATACTTATTATGCTATTTTTTATTATAAAGAATGATCTTTAGCTTTTTGATTATTAGATTCATTATCTTATTGGTTATTCTAATGATTTAGGAATCATAGCTTTCACATAATAAATATGAATTGAGAATTGACTAAATTGAAAGAAAGTTAAGTATAATTGATTAAATACTTTTATTTATGAGTTAAAATCTTGCAAATATTCAAAAAATAATTTAATTTTTCTTATGGCAACACCATTTTTCACAGTGAAAGTATGAATAACTATTTAAATTTAAAAGGACGTACCTGCTTAAGATTTTATTCGTGCTTATGCTGAATATTTGAAAAAAAATAACAAGATCAAAATTCCAGAATGGGGTTCAATTGTAAAGACAGGACTTGGTAAAGAAATCTCACCAATTGACTAAGATTGGATGTATGTTAGAGCTGCAGCACTTGCTCGTAAAATTTATGTCAGAGGTCACTGGGTATGAAATTTTAAATTACAAAACAGGGAGTTGGAAATCTCACTCATATGTTTGGTTCAGTTAATGATAATGGCAAACATGAATCAGGATCAGGAAAAGTCATTAGATACTTGCTTCAATAATTAGAAGCTATTAAAGTTTTAAAGAAGGATAACAAGTCTCTTTTAAAAAAGGGATCAAGAATTGTTACAAAAGAAGGATAATAAGACTTAAATAGAATTGCAACTCAAGTTGCCTTAGCAGCCAGAAAATGATTGATATAACAATACAATACATAAGTACATTATATAATAAATAAAGTTAATAATAAATATATCTATATGATATTTTATATATGTATTTATATATATATATAAATATCATATCTGATATTCATCTTTTAAAACTTAATCTATAAATGAATCAATTGCTTGTTTAAGCTTTTCTTCTCTTGTTGGTTTTGGCTCTGGTATTAGGGTATATCTATTTTAATATGAGCAATCATTATTTTAAAGTTCTTTTGAATTCGTTAAAGATTGGCTACTGATTTGCTTGAAGGATTAATTTATCCAATCCTTTTGAGGCTATTATATTGAAATTTTAATTGAAGGATCTTATTGGATAATTTTAGGCTAACTTAATTTGTAATAAACGTATAATTTGATGGACTTCTTATTATGAGCCTGGGATTACTGATAAGCATATTAAAGATCTTCATCTGATATTATCACAACTTTATCAAAATCATTATCATAAAAGCTAAGCTTAAGTAGAAATAGCTTTGGTACTAAATTATGATGTTTCTTGTTTATAATCCTATTCTTTTGATTTCTGTCTTTAAGTCTAATAAAGTTTAGATCTCCTTATAGATTAAGAATGTATCACTTTAAGTTATTATTTTAATATCCATTTTATATTATTTTAATATAATATAATAATCAATTTTGTTCAATACTGTCGGCTTGATTTCATGATTCTACTCAATGATTATTGCAAAGAAGACAATTCATGAGAATGACTATAAATATCATATAATATTTCTTACCCTGCAGTAAAGGTTCCAATTTGAGAGGGTGGAATGGAATTCAATTTGGCTGTCAAAAGTCTCATATCACTTTAATTTCCACCTACACCTAATCTACTTAAATTGCTGCCCAAGAATATAGCTGATTTTGTAGTCTGATGATGAGGTTAATGACTTAAATAAGTTAATTCATTATTGAGACGTGTAAATTTGGTATTTTATATTTGGAGTTCTAGTCCTAACTTTGAATCCCAATTTTTAAATCTATCCAATCTTACCTTTGCTCTTTATGGTGACTCATTATAATTTCTACTAGATCTCAGAGGTGATGTACTTTTATGAATACTACTAAAAACTATATTAGTAGGTGTCAATGGACTAAAATATTTACTTAATAATCTTACTGATATTCTCCAACTACTATTCCTTGTAATCCTTTGGTTTATTTTGGAGAAGAATCTCTAAATAATCTCATTCTAACTGGAGACATGTTTGTGGACTCTCTACTTTTTGAAACAAAGCTAGAATCGCCTAGTTTACTAATTGCAGTAGATAACAACCCAACTTAACTGGCCTTTGGTTTATATACTTTGCTAGAATCAACACTCACTATAGAAGATGTTAACATAATTTTTATTTATGTTTAATAAAATTTATATTTCCCCCCTTTTAAAATAAATTTATGCTATTTATTATTTAGAATTCTTATGTAAATTAAGAATTATATCTTTTGAGTTTATAATTCTATGACATTAAATTCACATGTTATCTTTATTATTAAGTAAACAAAATCCTAAATGATTAATAAAAACATATTTTTATTAAAGTTTCTTTAATAATAATTATCTAACAGATATTTTACAAAAGGTATCTTATTTATAATCAATAAAATAAACTAATATTCCTATTATTTAATAGATAACAAAATTTTGCCCATCTTTCCTTAATATCATTAGTGACCAAATTTTTCAATTTACTTGTAAATATCATAAATAATTGGTTATTAATTATGATATTAGCAAATCCATATTTTAATGTAATTGAATAGAAAATCCTTAATCAAAAATTAAATGGCCTTAAATTGAAATTTATCTAGAATTTTATAAAAATATTAATTTTTGAAAACAAAAAATAGATAAATAAATATGATTATATTCTTATATTTAAATTCATGAGGTAACATTTTTCTGAATTTTCTATTAAAATCATTATAAATTGAGTCTACATAATAATTTAATTTTGGAAAAGTCATATTTAATATAATTGAACAATTATATTCAATATCAAATTTTATGATAAACTTACTCTAAGAATTCTTCTTCTATTATTATTATTCATTATTAATAAAGGATCCAAAAACAAATACAATCTAGTAATCATAAGAATTAAGTTTGGATTTTTAAGATTTAAACATTATATATACTATTATAAATTATAAGAAAAAATGGATTTTGATTTGATAATCAGTTAGAAAGATTTTGAATTAGGAAAATTAGATTGAAGTGTTATAAATGATTCATTTTTTAAATTGAATATATTTGTATTATGGAAATCATTTTCTTCCAAGACTGGTTTATGAGGCTAAGGATCTAACTTAGTCTTTGAACAATTAGATGACAACATCGATAATGGCATTTTCCTCTATTGATTATTGTGATAAATGGTACCGGCTCTTCTTGCAGTTTCGGAGGCATAGAATTCTCTTTTCTCTTCTAAATCAGCAGTGGCTCCAGCAACAGCGTTTAAGGAATCTTTCCATAATTTGAGTGCTTTGGCTTATTAGGCAAGGACAGCTGGGAGTTGCTATAAAGAAATAAAAAAAATTGAAATACAGTTTCTAATTTTTCAACAAGACCAGTTCTTCTTTCATGTTCTGAATTCAACCAGGCAACTTCAGCATTTGTGTCTGAGACATATTTAGCAAGAGCAAAGGCAGCATGAATTTCTTATTCTTATAAAGTGGCAAGAGTGGATTCTAATTCAGCTTATAAGTCTTATAAGATTTAGAGGACTTATTCTCCGGTTGTGCCTTCTCTCTTGACTTCAGCAAGTGATTAGAATTTTTGGAGGGCATCTTATTAGAAAAGATGGCTATATGCTGATAATTTATCGGCGATAGTTTAGGCTTTTTCAACGAGTTCAACTCCAGCATTGTTTGTGAGGAAACCAGCAACATCTTATTATAAGAGTTAGACAACTGCTACGGCATCAGCATGATCAGCAAGGGATTTGACAAAGAGTCCATTGGCCCAACATCTTTAGTCTTGGAGTTAAGCATTTCTTCTTTCGATTTCAGCAAGTCTGGCTTCAGCCCAGGCTAACCATTAATATCCATCCTTGATAAATTAATGAGTTTTCATACTCTGACTTAAGCTTCAACATCTGTTCTGACAACACCAAGTGATTCCCATTATTGTTTGTTGAGTGAGGCAACATTTGTCAAATCACCAATGACTTAGGAAAAGATTTCTAGAATGAATGAATGAATGATATACCTTCATCTGTATTGTTCTTTCTGTCGGCAGCAGCTTACACATTAACATTTTCTGTCTTTAAATCTCTTAAGAGATTGTAAACTGATTCGACGGCATCATTTCCTCTTGTGCCTGCTTAGAGAAGCACGGCGAATTTGTTTGTGTCAAGTGCAAACACAGCTGCTACGAGGCAAATCACAACGAATGTTTTCATATTTATTTTTAATAATACCAAAAACGGAATATAAAATCATCGTTTTAATGTTGATTATATATTATTATTAATAATATAATCTTGATGCATTCATAGGCTGTCTAGATATTAATTAAATTTATTCATATATCTTAATTTTCATTATAAGTATCCTCACAGATCAATTTGCACTAATTAAAATGGACTTCACAAATCCCTGTTCCGTTTTTACGACACTGTTCCAATATGATTCGACATTCATCAATACAAATTATTTTTGGACATTCATCTAAACATCCATGAACCACACTAAATATTAGGTTTTAATTACTTCTAACAATTTTTATGGCAATATGATGGATTACCAATACTATCACATCCACTTGTGCAATCTAACCAATCCATAGTACAATCCCGTTTACATTCTTCATATGTAATTTAACTTAACGTTATACAAAACATTATTGTAACAAAGAGTAGTGATTTCATTAATAATTTATATTTAAAAATATTAATCAAATTCACTTAATTCACTTTAATTTTTGCATCAGATTTATTAATTCATCTAAAGAAATCTCTCCATCATTATCTTTATCACATTCTTCTAAAATATTCTTCCATTAACCATCATCAATCTTAATACCAGACATAATATATTAAAGTTCAGCTCTTTGAATTTTACCATCCCCATTCTAAAATTATTATGTATTTTACTTTATCAAACATTTAGAACACTTGTTTTAATTTCTCTTAGGAAAGTATTTTTTCTTTATTAACTGCAGCTACTAAAAATTCTAATAATATTTAAAAAATAATAAAAATACCATTAAAATCAATTTATCCTGATTAATTAATATCAACTTATTTCATAATCTCTTAAACTAATTTCTCAGCTTATTCTTATCCATAAAGTTTAGAATAATGTTTCTTTAATTCATCAGGACTAATAGTTCCATTTCCATCAATATCCATAGCTTTAAATTATTTTAACTATTCTTCTTTTTCTTAATAAGTAGTAACTTGAGTAACAATAAATAATTAAATAGCATTTTTTAATTTAGATGTACTCTAGAATTAATCTTAAATATTGATACATAAAAATCTTTTAAATTATTAAGTGCATTAGCTTGTACTGGAGTATTTGGAGCTTTTGATTAAATCCATGGATCTTACAAAGCTTATTAAGCTGTGATTCTTTATTAAGGATCAAATTTAAGCATTTTTGTTATTAAATCTTTTGCTTCCTATGAAATAGATCTCCATTCAGTATCTAAATATTAATGATTTTATTACCATTAAATTCAAAAGTACCTTTTTAAATTTTCCTTTTAATTGTTGTATCATCACCATTAAAAGGTGGATAACCACATAAAAGAATATATAGAATCACACCAACACTCCAAACATCCACTTTAAGATCATATTAACCTTGGAATACTTCAGGTGCCATGTAGTATAACTTAAATTTAAGATAAGAAATACAGTCCCAATTTTTAATTTTAATTTTTCGTCTTCTTATACTTTACGAGAAGTACCAAAATCTATTACTTTAATATTTGAATTGGCACTTTTAGTTTCTAATAATATGTTCTCTAATTTAAGATCTCTATGAATAATTTTTCTTTCATGACAATACGTCACTGCCGATAATACTTATTTCATTATTTCAGCTGCCTTTTTTTCAGTAAAGTTCTTTTCAGAAGCAAGTTTATCAAATAGTTCTCCACCCTAACAAAGCTCAGTAATCATATAATAATAGATATTGTCTTAAAATAGTTTATGTAACTTAACAATATTAGGATGGTCAATTAACCTCAATATGTCCATCTCACTAAATAAGATCTTTTAATCCTCCTTAATTAATCCTTATTTCTTTATTTATTTCATAGCATATGGCATTTCTAATTAGTTTATATCAATTAATACTAGTTTTACGATGAGCTACTAATTTTACACACCCAAAAGCTCCTTCTCCTAAAGTTGACCTGACCTCATACTCTTCATAGATGTTACCATCCTTTAAGTCTACAAAGATCTCTGATGATATCTTTTCTCCTGTAAACTCTTTTTATTGTTCTAATTTTCTAGGATTATTTGCAGAAGCAGAATCAGATGAAGCGCAACCCATTATTAATTATATTTATGTATTTTTCAATTCTAATCTTTACTATATTTTTTGATGCTCTCTTCTAATTTACTTGAGCATCCGCAATCTCCTCCCCATCTTTCATGAACTATACTACAATTAAACAAAGTCTTATAATTTATATAATTATTATTATACCTTATTTAATCTCTAATTAACTTCATTATGAAGCATACATAAATATTACATGAAATCGACTCTTGAGTTTCCTTCATATGGTAAAATTGTTGTCATATTTAAAAAATGTCCTGCACATTCTTTACATGGATAAAATTAGCCACTAAAATTATATAGAAATCAATACAAAAGATTTAAAAACACATTAATTTTGAATGTGAATTTCTCATCAAATTCTACAGGCAAAGTTGCTGAAATCATATGTAATAATGTCCATCCATTTCTACCAAGTTCTTCTCTAGTAATACCACTGCTAAATTTCTTTTCTAATATTGACAGTTTGGTAAAGCTATATTACCATTAATAATTTCAATTTCATCTTCATCCATATTCTCAAGCTCCTCCTTTTCTGGTTTAACAATATCCCAATCTGAAGGTACTTTAACATCCATCAAATCTATTGCAAAAGGTTATTTTTCCAACTCTATCTATTCAACTACTTGCTCGTACTAATTAAATGTGTTCACCATAAACAAAACCAAAAAGAATATTGATACTCCTATTAACACAATATAGTTTTTTTCCATTTTTTTTTATATAAATATATTATAATTATAAAATAAATAACATAATAAAATTAATATCTGTGATATTTTCATAATATAAAACAATCATAATAGATTTATGTATATTCAATAATATTTTGTATTTCAAATTTATTTAACATTAAGAATTTCATTATTTCTAATAAAATATATATTTTTTATAATCTTTAATATTATTTTGAATGCTTGGTTGGAATAAAATTACTTAACTTACAAGTAAGGCTGGTGGAGCTGTCTCTAAAGTAAAAGATTTTGCAAAAGACTTAATAACAGTTGATACAGAGGAGAATGAAAATTAAACAAATAATGTTAATCAAGATTTTCAATCAGCATTTGCTTAATTATAAAAAGGATATGGTTTAGCTTAAAGTCCTAAAGAGATTTAAAAAAAAGCAAATGAATCATCTACTAGAAGTCCCATTGAATCAACATCTCCAATTCAAATAGAGAAGAAAATTGAAATGTAAGAGATTAAAAGACCTGAAATTGATAATTCACCCTTTATTGAAATTAAAGAATTTATTTAATAGACATTTACATCAATATAATAAACAATTGATACATCAATTAATATTTCAGAAGAATTGTAAGATAATAAGGAAGGAAATAATCCTGATATTTTAATTGATTAAACATTAGAATAATCTGAAACAAATAAATAAGATCTTAATAATAATGACTAAACTAATTTAGTATCTCTTAAAGATAAATTAAATGAAATCTATAAGAATGCATCAAAATAAGTAGATATATTGATTCTATAAATTCAAAATGGATTTTAAGAGTCACTAAATAAGTTAAATGATCAACTTTCAATTGAGTAATAATCAATAGCAGATATAGGTGCATTGATTAATTAATTCTTTATTACAATATCTCGTTAGAGTACTTTTTATGATAGATTTAATTAACTCAGATAATAAAAAGGATAGTCTAAAGAGATTGTAAGTTTAATTGAAAAATCACTTGTTAATACAAGTACTGAAATAATGCAATCAAAATAAGAATAGTAATAGAGCAAAAAAGAATAATAATTGATAAATGAAAATGCAAATCTATAAAAAAAGATTGTAGAAATGTAAGATAAGATTAATAATACAAATAATTAAATTAAGGATTTATAAAATAGAATAAAAGAACTTGAAAAATATCAATAAGAGTGGGATAAAATAAAAAGAGATTATGCTGAAGAAATAAAATAAAACTTTAATGAATCAGAGAATCTTAAGGCTAAACTTAAATAAAAGGAGTAGGAGGTATTAATATATATATTAAATTTAGTTATAATAAAGTAATTCAGATTTATAGAAAATGCAGGATCTTAGAACAATCTTAGAGTAGAAATAAGAAGAAATTGATAGATTGGAAAAACTATTAGAGGAATGGTAACTTGAAAATTAATCATTATAAAGTGGTATTCAGGCAGCATAATTATAATTAGAAGCAGAAAAAGTATTGTTGAATTCTACATTTTTAGGATTAAAAGGAAAAGATCATAAAAAAGTTTTAAGATGAATTTAAAAAATTAAGATCTGAGATTAGTAAAGAAGACATTAGTTAATTAAAGTTTTTAAAAGAAAATAATGAAAAATTGAAATTAAACAATTCTTAATTAAAATTATAAGTAGAAGAATTAACAATAAAACATGAATCTTTATTAAGATCTTATGATGATCTTAAATCAGAGGCTTAAGCTCTTCATAATAAAATTAGGTAAGATCAGAATTATGTTAATAATATGGTTGATAAAAGAGTAATAACAAATGTTTTAATATAATATTTTGATTTCAATTCTGATTTCAAAGTTAAAGTGTAAATATTAGAAACTTTAGGAAGTTTATTGGATTTAACTAAAGATGAAAAAGAAAAAATAAGTAAATATAAAATATTATAATAGATCCATATAGAAATAGATAGAATTAACCATAAGGTCAATAATAGTCTTCTAGTTTTAGAGATAAATTTATTGGGTTCTTAAAACAAGGGGAATGATTTATATTATTTTTAATTAAATATGAAAGCTCTCCTATAATAAACTATGTAGTAAATTAAATTAGACTAAGAATTAAAGAAACTTTTAGCTCATAGAAGTGATTCTTAAGATATTTTAATGAAGTATAAAATATGATTACTTATGATAGATTATAATCAATATTTGAATAAGCACTTGATGATCATACAGAATTATATTGGAAGAAAGAACATTCTCATGCTAAAGCTTAATTAGAATGTTCTATTTAAGAATGTCTTTCATTAAGACATGATTTAAGAGAAATGGATGAAGATAGAACAGAAAAAAAAAAAATAATTAAAGAACAAAATAAATAGATAGATGAATTGTAAGTAGCATTAGGAGATATAGAATAAAAATTAAATATTATGCAAGAAAACATTTTATAGTAAAAATAAGGATTAGCTGAGGAATTTGAACAAAATTTGAATTAAATATAAGATAGTTATAAATAAAAAGAATAAGAGTAATGTTAATTTTTATAATAAAAATTGGCAGAATTAGAATAAGTAGTTAGTGATTAATAGGCAGCTTTAACAAAAGAAAGAGAGGTATAATAGCATGTTGGAAAGGATTTTAAATAGATAAAGGCATAATTGAAAACTGAATAAGAAACAGTTACTTCATTAAGGTAATAACTGTAAAATATGAAAAAAACTAATGAAACTATTAGTATAGATAAATAAAGTTTAGAAAATAGATCAAAATAATTGAAATAATAAAATGAAACATAATACAAATAAATAAAGTCATTAGAAACTAAATTAATAGATTTGAATGAAGAAATAGAAAGATATAAGAAAAAGAATTAGTAGGACTAGACTAATTTAAAGACATAATAAAATGAATAAGAAAAAGTATATAGAAGAAAATTAAGAAATTATAAATTAAAGGTGGATGAAATTAAAAATAAAATTAAAATAAGTATGTAAAAGATATTCTCAAGTCTAAAATTAGAAATGGAAACTTTTAAATTATAAATCTAAAAAAATTTATAACTGATTTCAACATAAACTTGTTAAATTGTTTTTAAATAATTGAAATTTGATTAAGAGTAAACATAAAGAGATTATTCTGATAAAATGGAATAAATTAGATATACTATGCAATCACATTTTAAAAATACTTTAGAAAAATAAATTTAAGAATTTGAATCTAAAGAAATGCAAATGAAGAATGAATATGAATTAATAATTAAGAATTTAAAATCATAAATATAAGGTCTTGAAGATATTTAAAAAGATTTAGAAAGTGAAATTTAATTAAAATAAATAGAAAATTAAGAACATTAATTGAATTTATAAGAAAAAGTAAAATTATTGACTGAATAATAAAAAGAATTATAAGAATTATCAGATCAAGCTAAAAATTAATTGAATTTATTATTAGAATAAGAAAATTAGATTAAATAATTGAAAGAATAAAATGAAAAGTTTTAACGTAAAACAATGTAATATGAAGATTATGTAAGTAAATAAGCAATTTTATATTAAACTTAAAAAACAGAGGAAAAAATGTATAAAAAGTAGTTTGAAGATGTAACAGAATCTAATTAGCATTTAAGAAAATAAATAAAAATATTATAAGAATAATAATAATGTGATTCATTTGCAATAAATAAACTAAAAACTTAAGTATCTTCAGCAAAATTAAATACTGTTAAGGATGCAGATGAAAGACATTTAATAAGACTTTAAAATATAAGAAAAATCTGATAATATAGATAAATATAATTTTTTTTCAATGTGTCAATTTAAATGTATTTGCCTGAAGAGATTATTGGTTAAGTTCATCAAGTTTAATCATTTATTTTACTTTTTTTGGTAGAGTAGTCTTTTTTGTTAATTGTTTTTTTAAATCAACAGTTTAAGAATATAAATTATCTAGATGAATTTCATAAGTAGATTATAATGAAGAAGTATGAGATTCATTATCTAAGTCTTCATGAATTTTTTATTCAGTTTTATGATATCTCTTTTTAAGTCTTTGATTTCCAATTTTTATAGCTATAATTTCATGTGTAGGAATATCTTCTTCATCCATTTCAGTGAAATGATTTCTAAGTATAATTGGTTTTGGTTTATTATGAAGATAATCATATAATTCTAGATCTTTGGATGTCAATACATCTTTATTGTATAATTAAAATTTAGAATTAGATTATTTGGTAATTTACATTTTAGTAAGTTTATTTAATTCTTATTATTTAAGATAATGTTATCTTGAAGCTTCATCCATATATTTTTTAGTTGATTCAGTTAAATTGTTTTTTAAAAATATTTTTGAAATCGCAGGAATTTCTTTTGCATTTTTGATAACTTTGAATAGATATGAATAATACTTGGTTTTAAATCATCATAGCTGACTGTCATAGTCTTTAATGATTTAATAGAGGGAATCTTTTTAGTAAAAGGATCTTTAATTTAAGCTAATTTATCTTCAATTCCTTCAGAAGCATCCACAATAGTTTTAAACAATCCAACATTTTATAGATTTTATCTTCTTTGAGTTTCATTATCATCTTTTTTTTACATCATTCTTGTATGAATTAAATTGTTTAATCCTTAAAGTTTGGATTTTAAATAGACACTTCTATCATCTTAAGTATTTCTAACTTATTTATGTTTGAATTTATTTTTGAATCTTACTAAAGGTCCCAAAATACTTATTCCTTTTGAATCAGCATGATCTTCCATTAATTATTATCTTAATCTAGGATAGTTGGATAATTATAGTAATTCAATACTCGTTATTTTACCATCTAAAAACAAATCAAAAGAATCTTTGAATAACATATTGTTATTATGTGTTTAAAGAGCTACATTCCCTTTAGAAGATCTTTAACTTTAACTGCTTCTGACTGAATCAATAATTGGATTGAATTTAATCTGCTTTGATTTTCTAGGTGAAATCAAGTTTTTCAATTATGGAATTTTTTTTCTTTGAGTCATAATGTTACTACTAAATTCTTTGACTTCATCAGTCTCTGTTCTAAGATAAGTAGAAATAGTAGATGATTCATTCATTATTTTAATTAAATATGCGTCTAAGAGCGATATCAGAGAATAAAAAGCCTGCTGGAATGAGAAATATGGGAAGAGATCTATCAACAATGAAAGAAATGATAGCATTTTGGGGTAAGAAAGATGAACCAGTTAAATTACCTCCTATAAATGTAATAGAAAGATCAGATTTCTATGAACATAAACCCTATGAAATCAAATTTAAAATATATCAGAATTGTTTTGCTTATAATAATCTCATACATAAAGAATTTGAACTTTTATATATAACAGCTCCAAATCAAATGGATGATTCTTTTATAGAAATAGAGTATAAAATGTTTATTTCAGATTGTTATTTTGGAAGACCTACATTTACAAATACAGAGTTTAGTACATAAATATAATATTATGTTGGCTAAATAGATAAAACAAGTAATCTATTTTTTATATCAAGTTAGTTGTATGTATTAAATTGAAAACATGCCTGAACATTTATTAAGTTCATCAAAAAGTATTAGATCTATGTTTTATCATTACTATTTTAGTTCAAAACATGATAATCTACCTTTTATTCAAGTGCTCAAAACTCCAATAGTTTTTAGAGAGAAAAAAACATTAAGATTTAGAACAATGAGTACTTCAATATCAGAATAATCATAAAATGGATTATTAACTTTGGTTTATATAACAGAATAATATGTACCTCTATAAAATATATATTCTAAAAAATTGGAAATGGGAAAATTTTCTTATGATTAAAAATTACATTTTGCACTTAAAATTATGCAACTTGTTAATTCTGTTGAAAGATTGGGAATAGCTATTTTAGAATTAAATATGGAATCAATATTAATAACTAAAGGAGGTTAATTTAGAATATCAACTACTAATCTAATTCCCTTTGTATAAGTTGCTGCTTATAAAGAAGTATGGTCTATGTATGATGATTATGAAAAAGTTTATACTCATTTATCATTACATAAAACTATTAAACCACCTGAAATTAAAAGAAGAGAACCAATTAAAGATTTTAGAGCTATAACAAGATATAATATTGGTCTAATAATTTTATAACTCTATTTTGATATTCCAAATATTTAATATATAGATGAATAAAAGATGTAAAGTTTGTTATTTCAACTCATTCCAAAAAGACCATCTGGAATAGATGATGATTAAATTGATAAATCAAATAAATCTATATAATTTGAATAAACTAATCCTTTAGGTGCATTAATATTGAGATTCTTATCCATAGATCCAATAAAAAGACTAGAATTTTCATTAATCTAATTAATGTAAGTAGAATATGATGTAGATAATTATGATTTTACTGAAGATATGTAACATTTCTTTTCAAATTATAATGCATATTACAGACCATCATCATAATCAAGTTATAAAAGTAAATAATCTAATCAATTTTAATAATAAAATAGTTTTGTATCTGGAGATAATAATAATAATAATATATCATCATTTGTAAAATAACTATATTAACCTACTAATAATAGTCAAGATGATATGCCTGCTATAGCATTAAAAATGCCTGAATTAACACAAAGAAGTAAGAAGAAAATTGGAGCACCTTCATATCAATCATATGTCAGATCTAAAAATTTAATTGCTGAAGTTCATTTCAACCTTTATTTATATCAATCTGCTCTTGATTAATGGTAGTATTTATTACCAGATGTTGAAGAGTGTTTTGGTGAAACATCTCCTGAATGTGAATATATATTAGAAAGAATATGGGTATTAGCTTAACATCTTGGATAAGAGAGAGTATTAGAATAGATTAGTTAAAAATATGTAACAATAAGAAAGTCAAATGTAAAGGGTGTAAAAGAATAATTAGAAGTTGCTCATCTTCTTTAAGATTAAGCCAAAGTCAAGGCTCTTATAAGACCTAATGAAGCTGTAGATCTATATCATTAATCTTCAAAATAATTTTAGATGGTTAAAGGTAAGTTTAA